ATTTTTTTTTAAACGACAAATTTTGGAATTTTCAAGAGAAAAATAATTACGAGGAATTATTTTTAAATTATTAAAAGAGAAGATAATTTTATAAAACAATTTCCAACTAGTCAAACATTTGCTGGATATGAAACAATATTACCACAGTATGAGATGTTAAATATGGAAATGAGATCAAATAGGGCTTGATTGTATATTGGTGCAGAAGCTGAATACACAGATGTATCATAAATTATATTATTACCTTAATTAAAGGATTAATCGCATAGATAGATAGAGAGAGAGAGAGGAACTTATAATATTACAAACATAAATTTCACTTCAATTTAGTAACTATTTCATTATATTATTATAATAATATTTTTGATAATTATTATAATTTAAATATTAATTTTCAAATATTTTGCTCTTATTTTGAGAAAATATTTCAATATTGAAATAACATTAATTTACAAAAGGAAAAAATTCAAATTTTTACCAAAAGTTAACTTTTTTTTGGATTGATTAAAAAAATTCTTTTTAAAAATAGTGATTGGATCTGATTTTTAAAAGTAGAACTCTCATATTTAGCAAAAGAGAATATATATATATTTCGAAGACTCATTTCAGTATTTTTTTGATGGTTAAAGGGAAGTGATTTTTCAACGTCAAGAACTGTCTTTGCCCCTTTGGCTACAATATTTTTTTTTTTTTTTTTTTGACTCAAAGAGAAACTTTCGAATTTTATCGGAATAAATGGAACGCACCAATGAACTGAACTGGGATGTTTGAATCACTTTTTAGAGATTAACCCAGGGCTCTTTTTTACCCGAAATAATTTTCCCTCTATGATCATTGTTATTTTGAAATAATCACCCATATCATCTCTCGAGAGAGAGAGAGATTATTATTATTAATATTCAATATGCCCCGTACTAATTGAAATCTATTTCCATCACTAAATTACACAATAATACAATTAATTTTGAAAAAAAAGATGTAAGATATTGCAAAAATAAAAATCTTATTTAATCAAGATTCACGCTTTTTTTCTAATTCATTTTTTTTTTTCAATTTTAATTTGCATCTGTTTTCTCCTCTTTTTTTTATTTATTGGCACGTTTTTTTTTTATTTTTTCCAATCAATCACACATGAAATATTTGTCAAAGAATGAGTTTTTCGTCGAGTTGGGAAAAAATTGAATTCATTGACTTGCAAGCAAATAATATAATTCAGTTAGCAAACAAAAAAAATAAATAAATATGCTTTCTAGTAGAAAGATGAAAGATTGAATTAAAATTTAATTTTTAATGATAATGTGAGATAAAAAAATGTTTTTTGAAAATTAAAAGGAAAAAAAATTAAGTATAAATTAATTAATAAAAAAACGGACGAAAATTGCAAAATAAAATTACAAGGTTATTCAATGAAAAGGCGGAAGTATTTTGGGATAAGCACTTGAAACTAAATATCTTCTCTTAACTATCTACCTGAATGACATTGGGAGAGCTTTCAGAAGGGTGTTCTTTTACACCCTTAAAAGGTTACTTCTACTTATCTCAGAAATTCAAACCAACCCTTGAAAGATTCTATCTCAAAAAAAAAAAAAAAAAAAAACTAGTCCAACAATTCTCAAGTAACTCCTATCATATATAAATAACCTAAGGCCATTTTCCAAATCGGAATAAATCTCATTTTCAGTAGAAAATTACTTTGAAACTTTTACTCGATAGCAATAATAATAATAAGTAAAAAAAAATTTTCCTTACGCTTTCTCTTCTTTTCTAAACTATTTTAATATTTTGTAATAATCTTTGTTAAGGGCGAGTTTTTGACGGATACAGTAGGAAAAAAAAAAAAAAAAAAAAAAAAAAAACCCGAGATCTTTGAAAACAAATCCTTTGAGTCGCGAGGCTGCCACACAATATGGATTGAATTCAAGCCGTTGAACGCAATTACAGGAAATCACGAAATTACAATTGACGTTCACCGCATTGAATTCGATGCGCTTTGAACATATACAGTCATGGTAGCATTCTTCGAGTTCAGTGGTTTAAGATTTGGAGAAACCCTTTACTTTGAGGATTAGTTGTGAAAGCAAAACCGTATATTTACTCAAACGAAACCAAAATGTTACATTTCTCTCTCTCTCTCTGTGTTATTATAAGGATTATATTATGTAATGTATACTTTGTGACGGAGATGAATTGTGTCCTCAGTGGTAGAGGATTAAACCTAAGGATTCAATGTGAAATATACAGAGTGAAGTAGACAAATGTCCTAAAAACAGAGAAAGATAAATATCAAACAGTTGAAGAAACACTGGAAACAAAAATCAGAATTGAAAAAAATATTGTTACACCAAAAATCCCTCACTTACGAGAAAGAGAGAAAACGAAATTCACTCCTGAATAAGAGAAGAATAAAATAAAACACTATTCCAAAATTCATAAATCTAAAAATTTAAAAGAATACATTTTTTTAAATTCACTTAAATAAAAATTCATATATTAAATTAAAATAATATGTAATTCAAATTAAATTTAATAAAAATATTTTAATAAAATTCTATTCAATTAAAAATAAAATAAAATGAAAATATGATATTAAAATAAAATGAAATGAAATTAAAGTAAAATAAATTTTTTAATTAAATTAAAATACAATTAAATTAATTTAAATTCAATTTCTCTTGCTTTTAGTTAAATATCAAATGAAAATTAAATCAAATTAAAATTCGACATTTTTTTAAACAAAAATGAAATAAATCATGAAAAAAAAAAATTGGATTCAATTTTATAGAAAAATAAAAATTATCAAAAAGATTTTTAATTAAAATTCTAGAATTGGAAATCAAATACATATTTAGTTTAAAAAAATATGATAAAAAATTTACGATTCTCCGAGGTTTAATTCAACATAGAATTCAAGTAGGTACAATCTCTCTCTATCTCTCTCGGATTCTTTTAACAAATTTCTCTTTTGCTTTATAAACGTTTAAATTTTTCAACCTAACAGAACACACAACCAATGAATTATTTGCAAACGTGAAACTAGAATTGGAAGAGTTTTTTTTCCTTTTTGCCCTCCTCCTCCCCCTTGAACAAAGATTTTTCAAAGCAAACGATAATTTTTTATTCAGTTTTATTGCCTCACCTCTTAAGGGAAATCTTTTCAGGTTTTTACACCAAATTTCAAATTCAAACTCTGCTTAAATTTTAGCTCTTAAGGAGTAAAAAGTTTACTTTTATGTTGATTTTATTGAACCAAATTATTAATAAAAATTAGAATTTATTTTTAAATTGTAATAAAATAATTTGTTTTTTGAATAGTAAATAATAATAATAATAATTTTTATATAAATTAAAAAATTTTATTTCAATATTATGAAAACTTTAATGAGTTAATATTGTGAAAATATAATTTTTTTCAGCTTGTAACTCTTTTTTCTACAAATAGAAAAATTTGCTTTTTACTGTAAGTTTCAACAAACAAAAGTTTCTTATTCTAGTGAAGTTTCCATTGAGGTGATCATCGATGCTCTGTGACCTGTATTCACCCAGAAGTTTACTTGAAAAAGCGTTATAAAACTCATCTTCAAACAGAACAAATATACTCAATCCATTTGTATTCACTAACTTTTGCTATTGTTATTTTTATCCCCTCGAGTTTTCTCTTTTCATTCAATATAAAAACAGTTTTCAATTTTATTATTTGTCAAGATATTAATTAAAATTTCCGCTCCTTGAAAATATTCATTTCAAAACGAATATTCACAAAAGTATATAACTCAAAATTCTGAGAAATTTAGAATTTTTTTTTTTTTAGTAAATAAATAAATAAAATTTATAAAACGATAATCTGAAAAAATTAATTTAATTTTTTTATTTATTGATTTAATAATAATATTCACGTAAATATAAATTGACTTGAAAAAAAAATTAATTAGCATAAGAAAATACGCACTATCAAAGTTTTAATTAACTCCCACAATGACTTCTTTCTGTGTGCATCAAATGCATACACATGATAAGAAAACTGAAAGAGGAAGCTATAACTATTCAACGAAAAAGATCACTTGATAAGAAAATAAGATTCAACAATTTCTTTCTATTTGAAAAATAAAATCATTTTGCAAAATAAATATTTTCAAATATTAAATTAAAATGAAAGCTGAAATAAACTTTTATTTTTAGAGCTATTAAAGGTAATCAACATATTAGTAAGCTTAAAAAGAAATTTCCCTAATTGCAAATGTAATTAAGTATATAATGCACGTCGCATAATTAAAAATAAATTTTCTCCAAATGTGAAAGTGAAGACAAAAAGAAAATGAGTTCGAAAATATTTTCCAAAAAGAAAAATTAATTAATAATTAATGAATAATTATAATAATTACTATTTTTAATTATTATTATAATTTATAAAAATATTAATTATTAATATTATTTAAATAACGAAAATAAAAAGATATGAATGAAAAAATATATTTCCCTGTCAATACCAAAAAGACAAAACATTTTTTCGAAATTCGAGGAACTTGATGAAAAAAGAAAATTAATCAAGAAGCATAAATTCTCATCAGGAGAAAAAAATACCATCGAACGTGAAATGATTCAAATGTATCACTACTTTCAATTAATCAAAAAATGAAGGAGTTTTTTAATGAAGAAAGGGGAGCAAAAAAATACAACAAAATCACTAACAACAAATCACACTACTTCCTGGTGGTATGCCCGGTGCGGGGCGGGTCTTCGAGCAGAAAATCAATGAGAACAGCATCTCGTAGAAACGCGATCCAGAGACGATAATATACTCTCTCTCCCTTTCTCTAAGCATCAGTGTGCGTCTTCTCTTAGAAGTTTTTACTTTTTTTTTCAAAGACGAGAAAAACAACCCTTTTGATTTTTATTTATTTCTCTTTCTTAGATCACGTTAAAAAATCGCGGTTGTAATTTTAAATTTTATACGTGTGTTTTTGTTTTGTATTTTTTTTTTTTTTTTTTTTGAAAATACGTACCTCGCGCGCTCTTTTTTCGAAGAAGTGTGCGGATAGTCCAACTTTTTTTTTTCTGGAGTAGACTATAGATAGTGCGGAACCGATGCAAAAGACGAAAGACGACTGGCGCTGGTTTTCCAGGAGCTGAGATTACGATGAGAGAGACCTATGGTGGTGGTGGTGATAGCGATGACGATGTTGATGGAGATATGGTGGTGTGGTGCACGGACTTGTGCAATGCGACCAAACGCGGCTGCGCTAGCTGGACTTGTCTCTCTTTCTCTCTCTCTCTCTCTCTCTCGACTCCAAATCCAACATCCGACCTACGACCTGGGTGGCGAGTCTTTCCTCCCAATTTAAAGCGCGCCACCATCTCTTTCTCTTAAAACAATATTCAAATGTCACCAAAATATGCCAACCAAAATAACAGAGAATAATATCATTAATTATTATTAATATTCAAAATTTTGTAAAATTATAAAAAATTTATATTGGAAGAGAAATATTATTTTAATTAAAAAATAATTTCCTGAAAAAAAAACAAATATGTTTGCAGTATAACAAAATATAAAGCGAAATTATAATATGATTTTATAGAATTAGATTCATTATATTTTAATTGTAATTAATAAATAAAAAGAATAAACTCACCTAAGATCCAACAAATCAACATTGAATGAAATCTTCTTTTTTTATATCCAAATTTACCTGTTTTTAATCATAAAACAGTTTAAATCCTTTGTCAAAACAAAAAAAAAACCTGAAAAAATCATAAGAAAATAATTTTTGGAAAAAAATGCGAATAAATAATAAAAATAATAATTTCTTTGAAAAAAAAATTCCTTTTCAACTGAATACTTATTTTTTTACCTGGATGATTGAAAGAAAAACGAAATTATAATTTCGAAATGAATTGCTAATTTACTTTCTATAAGATGATTTTGATTCTCTTTCTTCATTGAGAATAAATTTTCCCAGTAGTTGAATATATACGGTACATGAGTGATGAGCCAGTGGCATTCCAATTTTCCACTTTGATTCCACATCCTCCGGGTCCATTAGCCTTTTTCTATTTCTTCTTCTTTAATTCTTTCAAGTCTCGTTTATACCGATTATTTCAAACGAAATGAATGCAACTACTACCTTGGCGACGACTTGAATTTTCCTTATGTAGTTAAGGTCACATTGTCCATCAATGCGTGTTCTTTGATCTTCCAAGAACCTATATCACTCTCTTTTCTCTCTTTTTTTTTTCATCAAAAGAAAAATGTGAAAATTTAATTGACTTCTGAGGGCGGAAGCCATTATTGATTTTAATCACGTTTTATATTATCAAAGCTTTAAAAAAAATAATAGAAAGTGTTTTTTTACTGCACTGAAATAAATTGTACCCAATTCTCCTAATATCCGTGACAATTTAATATTTCCTCATCGTTTAATAAAATAGGAGCAATACTAATGATTCCCAATTTGTCAGATTTAACAATTGTCTACTTTATACAATATCTTCATTGTTAGAAAAAAAAAAAATTTTAATATAATTATTACTAAAACTCATTCTTAGAGAAAATTTTTTCTTTTTTTCGTAAATGAGAAAAAAAATGGTAATTTTTGTTTGTTCCATGTACAAAAATAAAATGCAAGAATGAAGTTTAAGTTTCCACACGTATGAGTTGAAATGAACTGTAATTATAGCTCAATTGCCAGTTCAAGTACCAGTGTTCTAATATAGAATATATGTAACTAAACATGTACTCCGTTAAAAATTTACGACATTAGCATCCATATATATATTACATATATATGTACATGAGAAGGTTATTGAACCAACGAGAATGAGTTGTAAAGACTATTTAACCCTTGAACTTCCCCTATATAACACTTTGTATCTGTGGTGATAAATTTCATTTTAATTAATCATCAACTTTTCATGTCAAACTGTAATATCTTTGTATATGTATGTTAAAATCATTTAAGATTTAATTAGTGTCCCTGTATTGCAAAATTAAAAAAAGTGGCACACTTTTCTTGAATTTGTTTTTAAAAAACATTTCTCTTTTTCGAAATTGATTAAAAAATTGTTAATATTGAAAATTAAAATTACTGTAAAATTTACAAAATTCTAGCGCAAAAGAATTAATAAACGAAAATTTATTTTTTTTATATGAAAATTTTTTTTTTCTCTCTTTTTTTTGCAACGTTCATATAGATAGCAAGTGCGTCAGGGTTTGCTCTATTTTCTCTAGATTGCCACACAGTTATCGATAACTTTTAATAAAATTTCATCCATGAGTGTGTACATATTGTGGTCCTCTGGATAAAAGTTTTTTTCTAATAATAATAATAAAATAAGAGCCACGCGGTCATAATAATGAACAATGTGTGCTCAATGCGCAACAGCTGTTAAGAGCGATACACAGACTCTTTCTCTCTCTCTTTTAGCGAAGGAAATCACGGTTTCATTTAACACAATTAAGTTGGATATACCATCCCTCATTGCCTCGGTGACTAAAGCTCATAACTAACCTGACTGACGCAGAACGTATAATGCTCTCCTGCTTTTATTTCGGCTTCGATCAGCCCGTGTGTGTGCTTTGCTCTACACTTGAATTGAATGTCCAATTGCGAAGGAAATGAGATCAAGTTTAAGTGATTGCGAGCATCACCCAATGAGGGATCGTCTGGCAAAAAAAAAAAAAACAATCTACATTTTATAAAATTACATTCCATCAAAAAAAAAAAATATCAAAAATCCAGTGGAACCTGCAAAATTATCTAAATTTTAACAAAAAAGAAATTCATTACAATAAACTTCTAAAATAATTTTTGAAAATTTTACAAAAAGAAATTTAAATTAATAATTAAAACAGTGATTAAAATAATAAAACTACATTTTTGTCTTTCAATTAATATTAAAAGATAAAATTATTATAAAAAGAAGATTCGTTTTCAAAAATGGCAAAAAAAATTCAAAAAAGAAAAAAAGTTTTCTCTCCATCAAGGGGGGAAAAAAATGAGAATATCTTTATATATACGATTGCCTTCAAAAATAAACATTTATTTCAAAATTAATGCTTATGAGCTGTATTCTAAAGTCTAAGATTTCTAATACCTACACGACAAAAAATTGTTTTCGTAGGTATTTTCTTTTTCTTTTTTAAGATTTTCACGAGCGCATTTTTTCTCTTAAGTTGTGTACAAGTGTTTTTTTTTTCCTATTTCTTTTTCATAGAACCTTAATGGACTGTTTTTCATTTTATTCACTGTGACATGATCTTTTTAAGATTATATACATTAAAGATAAAGTTTATTCCCTGGGATCTAATCGATGTTTTTCACAATTTCATTGAATTGGCAAAAAAGAAAAAAAAATTGAAATTATATTTCAAAAAAAAAAAAAACAACTTAAATTAATGATTTACATCTATTCTTAAAATATATTTATATATTAAGATCAATTGCTCTTTGAAATAAACAATTTACATTTTATAATTCATCGATTAAATCGTGAGTGAATAAACTTGTTTTTTTTTTTTTTTTTTTTTTAAATGATAGAGCCCTAAATGTTGAATATCACATTCATAGTAAGTGCTTTGTTAGGTCAATAACATTTAAGTAAAAACAAACCTAAGCAACTTCTTTTGAAGATTGTACCAGTTCCTCGAATGATGTGTCCAAACATTGTCGAAGCTCCGCGTAACTCACGACCAGCACACTTTGTTCGTCTCGGGACATCAGGCAAACCTTTAAATTCGATTCAATTTTTTTTTATTTAGAAATTTGATCCATTAACGATAATCGTGAAAAAAGGATAAAAATTATTGGAAATAAGATAAAATTTTTTTTGTACCTTATCATGAGATCCTGAGTCAAGTTTATTTAAACAAGAAACGACGTGTGCCATATCAAGCCATGGTCGACCTTCAGCAGTGACTTGATGAAAAACATAATCTCTAAATAATTTAAGCATGTAACGATCACCAGTCTCGGCCCACGTTGGCTCCAAATTAAGTTCAGGCCTTTCGTTTATTGTTGTCAATTTGACAATCAATTTAAACAGTCTTCCATTTTCCAATTCCTTCGAAAGTTCATTCTCAAGTACATCGGAACGCAATTGTGCCGCATCTAATTGTGTATAAAATCGCGCACCAATCATAGGCATCAAATCAGTGACACTTCTTCGTTGTTGATTAGAAAGTAGATAGCTAAAAAATTTTATCATTTAAAAAAAATTGTAATTTAATTTAATGTAAGATAAAATAAATATAATGTAAAAATCTATTTTTAAAATAAAAAAGAAATACAAACAGAATGAGATTTCGAAGATCAGTGGAATAGGAACGTGCGACGAGTTCAAGTGATGTTTGCATATTGTCACGATGAATGGCCAAAAGACTACGACACGCCAATGCCAAGACCATTTTTCCTAAAGCTATCAAATCCTCCTGTTGATAATGTGGAATAAGACCCAAAGGATTTGTTGCATTTCCATCCAATGTAACAACATCCGGTAATGCAACGCAACTCAATCGAAGATGAGTTCGAGAGGTAAGTAATACTTTGGTAGGATCCAAGCATCTATACGCAAGACCTGGAAATTTTTTCTCTTCATTTCTAGATTCTTCTTTTTTTATCTTTTCAAATTCGAAATCTCACCTGCTGCATGAATAACACGAAGTGCGGCCGTAAGTTGAATAATATAACTCCAAATAACACTTTCAGGTAGTAAATTATTGTGCTGCTGTCTTAGAATATTGCCCTTCGAATGAGTGAAAGATCTCGAAGAATTTGCCTCCGTGGCAAATGGATCGGCAAATCCATTAAGTTCAGTAGCCGAGAAATGTTTCGTTAGAAGTGTTTCCGAACCAGGATGATAGTCGTAAACAAATACCATGGCTGCAATTTTTAGTTTAATAAAAAAAAAGACAGAAAAAATAAAAAAAAAGAAAATAAAGAAAAAATACTGACAATGATCACCAAAGGCCTTTGTGGTAAAAACTTCTCGTAACTGGACTAAATTCGTATGGGCAAGTCTTTTCCACATGTCAACAAGTATCATACACTTTGTATTACCTAATCTGAAATCTATAATTCGATTATTAGTAATAATTTATTTAAAAAAAAAAAAGAAATAACATTTTTACCGTGTACTCGACGTAAACAATAACGAGTTCCACTTTTAATATTAGTCGCTTTGTACGTTGATGTTTGATAACCAAGAACCGATGAGACTGGTTTGTGAATTGGCTCCAAGGGACATAATTCATGATAACTATCAACTTCATTAGGTAAATCGGGAAACTGAACTAAATCTGGTTGTTCGAGTGTTAGAACATTTTTTTGCAATATATCATTACGAAGTGCCTCACTGATAAAATAGCTGGGATTCGATTGTTGTGGTGGTGGCGTTGATGGCGCTGAGGTACTATTAGATGATGATTTTGTCACTTTAACTGGATGAAGATGAGATGGTGTTCCTGGATAAACGTAACCTAATTGTCCAGCTCCAAGATTTCCCGCCTATAATAATAAGAAAATTTATATAAAACAATTTTTTTTTACCCCACCAAAATTCTCTTTGTTTTTCTTACAATTTCAGAAGTACCCTCCTCAGAGGTAAGAGTATCGGACATATTTCCCAAATAAAAATACGTGGTACCACCAACATTTTCTTGAGAATGATAAGAATTATTGAATAAATTCGGCGAACTACTATTACTGCTAGTAAGACAGGAATTTCTACCCGGAATAAATTCCGTCGGACCGGGTGATTTTTTTTGCGAATCAAGAGAAAGATTTGCCAATTGTTTAGTAACAACTGATGAATTCATTGCAGTTGGGGTTAGCGTTATCCCTGGACTTTGTCGATTCTATAAAAAAAAAAATAATTTTTATAACACTGAATTATAAAACATCGTAAAAAAAGCAAATATAAAAGAATAATTAAATTAAAATCAATTTTTTTTTTGAAAATTAAAATACATTACCATGTAGGTTGCAAGTTTGGATTCCAATGGAACTCCGTTCGTTTGGGAAGTATAGGTAACAAACATTGACGGATCCATTTTTTTTCTCAATCTTTGCATTTACTGAAACAACTTAATTTTAATGATGTCCTTCCTCTTATTATTATTATTATTAATATTATTATTTGTTCCCTCTTGATTGATTCACTCGAAAACTCCTACATTAAGAATTTCACCTAGAAAAGAAGAAAATTATAAATTAAATCATTGTTTTGTTTTTTCATTTAAACTTTATTAAATTTTTTCAGTCATTATAAAAATGTCTAGTTTCTGAAATTTTAAACTAAATATTTTTTTTTTAATTATTCTACAGTTTATAAATTTTGTTTTAAACAAAAAAATTGATTACCTTTCCTGTTCCCGAAATGTGGATCACAAGTGTAGATCAAATTCACCGCATAGTAACAAATTTCGACATCGTCATTATTGTCCCTTGTTTATACTCCGTATTTCACAAAATAAATTACTATTCTACGAAACATCTATAAATTTTTTTTTTAATATTATAAATACAATAAATAAATAAATTTATGTTATAATATGAAAAATAATTTCCTTTTTTTTTTTAATTCAATAATTCAACTCATATGGTATCTTTAAATTTTACACTACGTAAGCAATCAACAGTTTGTATATATTCATGTTATACAAATAAATGCTCATCAAAATATTAAATGAAAACTGGTGTAAATTATTTATTTCTCGTTTGTCTGCGTCAAAAGAAAGTGTCCTTTGTGAGAACAAACAACTCGAAAAATAAAAACAATGATGCTATAGGTAAACGTAAGAATTGAAAAAGATAATAAGAAATAAAATCAAATAAACAAAAATTTAATTAAAATATTGAAAAAATAAGGAATTATTTTTTTAAAGACAAAATTTTTAAATTGTACATATATAGATGAAAAAAAAAGATACATATCAAAACGCATGTGAAAAGTAAATAGCAATGGCAGCTGATTTTGACAATACCAGAAGGTCTCGTAGGATATAACCTTGACGCCAATGAAGATTATCAGGATTACGAAACACCGGTTTTTTTTTTTTTTTTGAAAAATAATTATGAGAAATTTTCACACAACTCAAAAACGCGACTGGAGAATATGAAAATTTTTAAAATAGTGAAAAATGAGAAAAATATTGTACAAACTTCCCTTCTTTAACATAACCGAAACTGTCAGTAATGTCCGCGTCGATGTGAGCCGCCAAAATAATTATGATTATAGCAAACTCTAAATTCGCACGAGCACAACCGTAATTAAAATTAAAATTTATAAACAATAATTTTAAATCGTCTAATTAGTATTTTAATATTATATGAATTTAATTTTAAAGACAAAGAATGAAAATACACAGACAATCCGATTTTCTGTGTTTACGATGCTCGGGGGTTCGATTGTATTGCGCGCTCTCTCCTTTCCTCCTTAACCCTCTCTCTCACTCTCTCGCACTCTTTTTGAATTTCTTGTCTCTACGCGGCTATTTGCATTTATTAGCGCAGCTGTCACTAATTTCCAAGTCCAATTTTTTTTCCAATACACGCACAACTCTTAAAATAATGTTATGAATAATTAATGGAAATTTTGTATAATCATGATTAATTTTTTTTTTAGGTTAACAAATAGTTTTTTTCATTAGTTTAATAAGAGATAATTTTTTTTTTAAAAAAACCACGTATATTACTCGGAAAAAAACTAATAAATACACATTATAAATAAACCACTAATTTATAAACATTTTTACGTGATTAAACTGATTTTACTTGTAAATAAAACAAAGAAAATCTTTTGAAAATTAAAATTGTTTTTCCTTGGATTTTCAAGTTGTACGCATGTGCAAACTAACGTGTATTTTCTAAAGTAGTTTGATTGGTTGAAAATTAGGCGCTTTATTTTAAAATATGTCAAGAATCGCATTTAGTTATTATTTATTTATAAATATAATTTTCAGAAAATTTTTGTAAAATTCTAAGAGTTTTGTTATTGGTATAGATCTTAATTTATGATTTATCTATTTATTACTATTTTTATTAGTATTAGTAGGAGAATAAATAATAACAGACTCTAATTGATGTGATTGCATTTGACAGAGAGTGAACAGAGCAGAAAGTTATTGTTCTTGACGTTTTATGCCGTTTTCTGAAACTCTAAAAAAAAAAGTAAATTTTGACAAGGTATTTTCAATTTTTTAATAACAATGATTATTCCTGTGCGTTGCTTTACTTGTGGTAAAGTAGTTGGAAACAAATGGGAAGCTTATTTGGGTTTACTTCAAGCTGACTACACAGAAGGGTGAGTAACGAAAAATATAACCTCAAAATTAGAAATAAAATTACGAGAAATTATATTGAAAAATAAATATTAAGCATAATAAATAAATAAAAAACATGTAGTTGTACTTATGACACTAAACTACTATATTAGATATCAAAGAATGAAAGAAAAATTAATTATAAAAAAATATGGAAAAATTATTTTGTTGCTCCATTTGTAAAGTTGGATTTTATTTGTTTTACAAATTCAGAGTTAATTGTTTACAAGACAAAATTATTAAAAAGATACAATTTTCTTTTATAGAGATGCCCTTGATTCACTGGGTTTGAAAAGATACTGTTGCCGCAGAATGCTATTAGGCCACGTGGATTTAATTGAGAAACTTCTCAATTATGCACCTCTGGAAAAATAATTAAAATATTTTCTTTCTCTATATATTTTCTCAGTAAGTTAAAACAATTAATTTTGAATTTAATTTAAATAAACAAAAATATGTATAGAACACTTAATTATATATTTTGTAAATAAGAATGTAAGTTATATTTACTTAATTTCCTCTTTTCAAAACAAAAATGAAAGAGAAAATTGTAAATACACTTCGATGGTAATGATTTAAAAATACAATTAACAATTTTCTATATAAAAGATGTTTTAATTTTATTGTAAACAATTTTCCTTTATTCAAATGAAATTCAATAACTTATTCTACATATTTTTTTTTTTGTACATAGTTTGTTTTTTTAAAATGATTTTTAATAATAACAGTCTTTAGGAAAATACTAACTAAACGATTTTAGAAAAAAATTGTTCTCTGGGTAAAAAAAAACAGTGCACTCCTTAACAATTGAGTTGTCGATATATAAAAATTATTTAAATGTTTACACGATGAAAATAATAATTTTAATTTACATATATACTAAAAATTTGTGTGAGAGAACCATTAGCGCCTGATACTGCGGCTATTAAACCAACAATAACAATTATAATATTTTTAATAATGATCCAATTAAATGGACCAAAACCTTCATCCCAAAATGTTATCATTTCAATAGCAACTGGTATCAAGAGACCCAATATCGTGAAACAAACGGCTCCTATTAATCCAACAAAAGGTGAAATAGTCGGCACTACAATTGCCAATAAAACAGAACATATAACAAGAATGGTCCTTAAAACATAATTTGCAATAGTTGGTCTCGATTCAAAATGATGTTTCATTGAATTCCAAGCAATATCCAAGACAACGTAAAATTGTAAACCAAAAGTAACAAGGACAGCTAGGCCAATAAATATTTTTGCAATCTGCGATGGTCTAGAAAATTAAAATAAAAATTAAATTAAAGGAATTTAATTTAATAATTTGAAGAAAAAAAAATCTACTTACATTTCTTCTGGTGGAAAATTAAGAGTAATAGAAGCTTCTGTTTTGTTTATATAAGCACAATATCCCAAAAATCCTACAATAGCATAAATAACAGTAGCTCCAAACATTCCTTTATTTAAAATTCCAAAAGTGCCCAAAAAATTTTTTGGATTTTTCATTTTATTCTCCAATGGCATTATCACACCTGAAATATTATTTTTATTAAAAAAAAATTTTTCTAAATTAAAAAAAAAAAAATATTTAACAATCTTACCTATAGCTTCAATTGCAAAAATAGTGATGCTGACAAAATTTGGAAAATTTCCTATTGGCGCTATCATTGGAACTTCGCTTAATGGACGGAAATTTTTGATTAAATAATAAAATGTAATTGCCAAACTTATTCCCATAAAACCATTTGCTACCATGGAAAATGGAGCAAGATATTTTAAATTTGGTATCCAACAAATTAAAATCAATGGAATTAATAAACATGCTATTAAAACTCGTACTTCAATATCTGTTTCGAAATGATAATTTAATACTTGTTTTATATTTTCGGCAATAATCACTGAATAAACGCTCACTGCTCCAAAATATGTTATGAAGAGACAAAATTTAATTAAATATCTGCAATTGAGATAAAAAATATTTATTTTTCACAAAAATTAATAATACTTAATTATTACTATAAATTTAAAAAAAAAATTGTTTAAATTATCTCACCCAAAGGGTTTGGAAAATTTTCTTCCCCATTGTGGACCAGTAGAAAATGCATTTTCCGCAACTTCCGCGAAAGACATTTGTTTTTTTTCACATCTATAGTATAAAACATGTGCACATTTCACAAGAATATATGAACAATGTGTACAAATGAAAGCGACAAGAAAAGTTGATATTAAACCAATAAGAAATCCTGCATTTTTGAATGCATCGGGCATTGATAAAATTCCAGATCCCAAGCATGCTTTTAATAAATGCATCAGTGTATCACAATCCCTGTAATTAATTTTTTTTTTTATTAACAATTTAATTTTATATTTGTTTTTTAGTTATAATCAAATTTAAATATTTAAAAAAAATATCTTAAAATTTTATTTTAAAAATAAAATTATTTTTAATTAAAAAAAATTTTTTTTTATTTGAAAAACTTTAAATTAATAAAAAATAATATATATTCTTACGTCGTTGAAGTTTTCTCGTCACGATTTGCGAAAGGATCAAATTCTTCAGTCCTTCCCCTTTCTTCATCATCACCACTTCTCCTTTTTTTTTTTGAAGGGGAGAAAAAAAAATAATTTTATTATAACGTATTTTTTTCTATTTAAAGAATATTTATTATATATTTACTTTTGCGTTCCATTTTCTCGCTTTTCAATCAAAGGATAAGCGTTCTTTTCCATTATTGTTTGTCAATTGGCCTGTTTAACAAATAATAACTTAATATTGTAAAAGTATTAATTATAATAAATTGTAAATCGTTATGAAGAAATTAATATACTAAAAATAATAATAGAAATAAAATATGAATTGTTAAATCAATTTGAGCAAAATTGAAAATGATGCAAATTTTAAATTATAATTTAATAATTAATGAAAAATTAATACGTGATTTTAGAAGCAAACAATTCAAAGATAATTTCTTTCTTAGATACTAAAATTATCCACGTGGGTTTTATCATTATAGAAATATTTAAAAAAATTCAGTTTTTAATAAATTTAATAATAATAATTAATTTTTGTTAAAAATAATAAAATTAATTTTTTAAAAAATAATAATTATTAATAATTAAAGAAATAAAAATAAATCTCATATATAAAAATACCTCATGAAGTAAAATTAATTTGTAATTTTAAAAATTCAAAATTAATAAATTCAAATGAGAAAAGAAAATAAAAATTTTTTCTTTAAAATAAGAATAAATATTTTTTGTTTAAAAAAAAGTAATTACCTGAGAATTTGAGAATTATTGGACCAATTAACAACTTTTTCGACTTGAAAAAGTGTCAACGTATGCAAGATGCTTTAAACTCGAAGAACGTTAAATATCAACTGAATTTCAAAAGAAAGAAATTTCCATAAGAATTTTCTTTTTCTCTTCCCCCCCCCCCTACTGGAAGAGCTATTAAGTTCTTACCTTCCGAAAAACTATTAGTTTTAATTTTCTTACTTTGATATTATATCTTAGAATAATTGTCTTAAAATTACTTTAGCAAAGTTCTATTTAATTTTTTTCTAATAGAAGCTATTAATAAAAAAGAAAATTAGTTATCTATTTATAGGCATTCTAGAAAGAAAAGTTATTTTTAATTCGTTTTTTTTTTGAGGGGGAAGAAATGTTTCAACTGTAAAATATGACAATATTACATTAATATTACAACTCTAATTACGTTATTTACATTTTAAATTTTAATTATATTTAATGGGTTTAAATATTTTTAGAATTATTCACTATCATGAAACTGAAATCTTTTAAGTAATAATTTTTTTTGTAATATGTTTTTATAAAACAAATTTTTCAAATAATTAATAAATTTTAAAAATTCAGATATTATATTTTGTTCTTAAAGAAATTTTTTTTTTTTTTTATACAACTGTAATGTACACTAAATTCTTATACGAGATAAAAAGCTTAACTTCTAATTTATAAGTAGAATAAAAAATCTTATTTATATTTAATAAATTAGACTTAATAAACTATTGAATGCAACTGGTTTTACTGAAATAGTTAACACTTTTCGAAAATAAAAAAAGTCATTTCGCTTTGCGAGTTTCTATTTTAGAAAAAGTGTTTGTCATATTTTCATTCATTGAACAGTAAAAAAAAATATTATTTTCAGATTCAATTTGATTTCAATGATTTTTTTTTTTATTTGAGAGTATCTCACGTTTCTCATTTGAGAAATAATGGAACGTTAAAAAATTATCGTCTTTCATTTCAAATTCCTTAAATATTTTGATGTTAAATCTCTTTTTTTTCAAAGAGTAGCAATTTTTATTCCTCATTTCGTTATTGTATATTATTTAGATAGTAAATCTATAGAATCATTTGTAATTTTCTTGATGAAATTGTATGCATTTGTTTTTTTTTTCTTAAGAAGATTTGTTTTCACCAACAGAATAAATAGCTACGATATCTGCTATAGCATTTTTCGAACCAGCAACCACAGCTATTAAACCAACAATACCAATTATGACATTCTTTATGATCATCCAATTTCCTGGACCAAAACCAATATCCCAGTAGGTCACTGTTTCAATGACAATTGGAATTAAAAGACCCAAAATTGAAAAACAAAACGCACCAATTAATCCAATAAATGGTCCAATTGTTGGAACTGCAATTGCCAACAAAACTGAAAAAAGAATAATTAATTTCTCTCTTCCTTTAAAAAATGCAATTATTTATTTTATTTATTATTAAAATTATCAAATTAAATTGAAAAAAAATATCCTAATTGTCAAAATTTGCTTCTATAATCTGAAAATTAATTTAAATAAAACTATTTACCTGCACCAGTTACAATGGCAGTTCTCACAACGTAATTTGCAAGAACTTCTTTCTTTTGAAAACGATGTTTGAGTCCATTCCACACAATGTCTAAACAAACGAAAAATTGCAATCCAAAAGTAAGAAACACAGCCAAGGCAATAAATAACTGCACCAATTGAGCAGGGCTGAAAAAAAAAGTTTTTGTTTTATAATTGAATTATATTTCGTATATTTAATTTATAAATACTTACATATCATTTCCAAGACTCAAAGTGATAGTATCTGCTGTTTTATCGACAAATGCATAATAACCCAAAAATCCCAAAAGAGCATAAATTAAAGTAACAAAAAACATTCCTTTATTGAGAACTCCAAAAATTCCAACAAAATTTTGTGGTGTTTTCATATTATTTTCAAGAGGCATCATTACACCTGAAATATATAAAATCTATAAATATATCAAAATAAATAAACAATAAAACTTTAAATTAAATCTAAATCTTTGAAAAGAAAAAAGAATTGTTCAAATTTCGACATTTTTATATTCCAATAACATAATCTTCAATTTTTTTATGACTCAATAAAGACAAACTAAATAATTAGTAAATAATGACACTTTTAAATCGTTCATAACCTTAAACGTCATAAATCAACAAACCCTCCGATTGGTCAAAGAACCGATCGATTAGATATCGATATCTCGAAAGAAGATTAAAAAAAAAATTTAATTTCGCGATAAAAAATTTTTACTAATTATTCTTTTACTCACCAATTGCTTCCATGGCAAAAATTGTAATACTAATGAAATTTGGAAAATTTTCTATATTCCCAACTAAAGGAACTTTTCTTGATGGGTCAATGTTTTTTATCAAATAATAAAAAGTGATTGCCAAACTGATCCCCATAAAACCGTTGGCCAACATGGAAAATGGAGCCAGATACTTTAAATTTGGAATCCAACATAATACAATTAATGGAAGTAATAAACATGCTATTAAAACTTGTATACTCGTGTCTGTTTTAACATATTGTTCTAAAACTGATTTGAAATTTTTTGCAATTATTACTGTATACACGCTGACTGCGCCAAAATAGGTTATGAAGAGACATATCTGAATGAAGTATCTGTGAAGAAAATGTGTGCAAAATAAATAAATGGTATAAGTGAATATAAAGTGATTAAATTAAAAAAAAAGTGATGGATAAAAATGATTAAAACAGATTTTTTTGGAATACCCATAAACAAAATTCCAAGCGGAATTTAAATTGTTTTATTGGGAAACAATTTTTTAAATGTGTTAAATAACCTCAAAATTAAAAAAATATGCAAATTGATTAAATTAAATATAAATAAAGTGCAATTAAGTGAATAAAGTGAAAGAAAAAGTGCTGAATAATAAAAAATTTCTTTTTTTTGTGAAAATTCTCTAACCTGAAGAAAGTTGAATATTTTCTTCCCCATTTAGGTCCAGTTGAGAATGCAGTCTCTGCAACATCTGCAAAACTCATTTGTGTTCTTCTAGTACGATAATATAAAATATGAGCACATTTTACTAAAATATAAGAGCAATGAGTGCAAACAAATCCTACAAGACAAGTTGCTATTAAGCCAATAAGAAGTCCTGAATTTTCAAATGCTTTTGGCATTGAAAGAATTCCTGTTCCAAGACATGCTTTCAACAAATGTGTAAAGGTATCACAATCTCTATAATTAATTAATTTATTATTATTAATATTTGTACTTTTTGTTGAAATTTATTATTTAATTTTAATAATGCTCTTACGTTGTTGGATTTTTTACTTCACGCTCAGTAAAGGGATTAAAATGTTTTTCATCTTGTTTTTGTTTTCTCGCCTCCACGTCTTGTGAGACAACTTGAGTCTGTTGTCTAGAAAATTTCATTAAAAATAATTTCTTATAAATAAATTTATTTAATTAATTTAAGTAATGGAATTAAATTTTTTTTTCATTTTAATTAGGTAAATTGATTTCCATTATGAAATTAAACCAGAAAGAAAACATTAAATATATATGTGCCATTCCAGGAGTTTTTTAGCACTTTTCGGAGTAACCTTTCCAAATTAAATGAAACATTTTTTTAATAATATTTATTAATATAAAGGTCCAAAAAAATGACTTTTTAAGTAAAAACAATTGTTTATTTAAAAAATACAACAATAAATAATGCAAAAAATTCACTTTTTTCCTGCAACTCCAAATAAATTGGTTTAAAGATCAAAATTTTCCTTATTTTTCAAGCTTTAATACCGCACAAGAAACATAGAGTCCGAGAAAATATTCAACTCACAATTTTTTAAACAATGTTTGTTTACTTTTTTGTATTTTATTTACTGTGAAACGTCTGCTAAAGCTGCGCGCGACGTTTGGAAGTTGTCGCTTTCCTTATTGAACAGAAGCTCATTACACTAGCGTAGTAAAAAACATGTTGTGTGAAAAGGGAGGTTTTTCATCCTTCAAAAATGTTTTTTATGATTTTTTACTGCAAAGTAGATAATTAAAAACCATTCAATGTGATAACCAGAAATTTTTACGTTTCGTTTAATGACAACATAACCTCACTTTTCACACAACATGCTTTCTACTACGCTAGTGTAATGAGCTTCTGCTCAATAAGGAAAGCGACAACTTCCAAACGTCGCGCGCAGCTTTAGCAGACGTTTCACAGTTAATAAAATACAAAAAAGTAAACAAACATTGTTTAAAAAATTGTGAGTTGAATATTTTCTCGGACTCTATGTCTCTTGTGCGGTATTAAAGCTTGAAAAATAAGAAAAATTTTGATCTTTAAACCAATTTATTTGGAGTTGCAGGAAAAAAGTGAATTTTTTGCATTATTTATTGTTGTATTTTTTAAATAAACAATTGTTTTTACTTAAAAAGTGATTTTTTTGGACCTTTATATTAATAAATATTATTAAAAAAATGTTTCATTTAATTTGGAAAGGTTACTCCGAAAAGTGCTAAAAAACTCCTGGAATGGCACATATATATATCATACACTTGAAAAAAATTATCTTAGCCCATTATAGTTTTGAAATTAGAATTAAGATTATAATCAATTAAAGTGCAATCAATATATATATCTCTTTGATATAAAACTACATCCCTTTTAACTTCCGAGAAGAATTTAATCAATCGATTTTATCTTCATATTACAGGGCCATGATCTCTTCATCATGTGTGTTTGTTTTAAAACTTGTCATTAATCTTATCATCATCTGAAGAAAAAGCTCTCAAAAGTTAATGCGGCCTCAATTGAAAAAAAAAAATGAATTAATTTTTCTAGAGACAATTATTAAAAAATATAATTTTTTTATTCTCTCATAAAAATATGAAAATAAATATTGAAACTGATTTATGTCCAAAAAATTGTTACAAAATGCATTGTAAATTAAAATTGAGGGTTGGGTTTTCTTTTCGAAATCTTTTATTATACTGTTATAAAAGAAAATAGATTTGTAATGGGTCTAATTTTGTTTTATTGTTTTAAAAAAAGTAGTTTAACGCTTTATCTCAGTTAATCTCAAACGATTACATTTCTTAGATTTTTAGTTTTCAAATTAAATAATTATTACAAAAATTTATTTTCAAAAATTCTGCTGAAAAATCTCTAAAATTATTAATTTTCTTCATTGAATCGAATTTTTATTTTTACAAATAATAATTGAGAAAATTCTACAATTTGCTTTGAAAAATTATTTTTTAATTGACAAATTTACAAAAAAAAAATTACTTTAAATTAAGTAAATTTGTTTTTTAATAATAAAAAAATATTGAAATTAATTCTCTAAATTAAACAAATATTTTTTTGAACATAGAACGTTTCAGTTTTAATTTATTAAAAATATATGTCAATTTCGATTAGACCCTCTGTCCAAAAAACCAATTAAGCAAATTATGGTTGGCCCCTTATAATTCTAACGCCGATAATAAAAATAGAATATATATAAGCTGGTTCAATTACCAATGGAATTTTTATTGTTTTTTTTTCGAAATTAATTTTTTAATTTGTAATTTTTCTTTAATTCACATCAATTACTAATGGAATTTTAATAGATTTTTTTTATGTATTAAATTATTAATTAATATTAATTGTATTATTTTTATATTTTCTTTTAATTTACGTTTTATTTCATTTTTCCAAATAACTTTGTTAAAAAAATAAAACATAAAAAAAGCTTCTAACTTTTTAAAAATAAAATCTTGAAATAAATATTTAATTTTTTGTCAATAAAAAAATTATTTATTATTAATTTTCTAAAAATAATTTTTAAATATATTTCCTTAAATTAATTATTTAAAATAGTAATTTTAATTATTTAGTTTTACTCACTGGCTTGACATCCTTTATCAAAAAAAAATCTTCCGAAAATTGTTGATATTTTTTATACACTTTTTTTTATAATAAAATAGCTATAACAGTATATAAAAAAATATATTTTCTGAAAATATAATCTTTATAAAAAACCGTTTATCATAAATGCGGAAACTTTAAATTTTACAGACAAGAAAAAAGTGTTTTTTTTAAATTATGCGAAATTATCATAAAATAAATAAATTTAAAAATATAATTTTTTTTCACAAAATTGTTAGTCAAATTGTTTTTAATTTTCTTTTAATTTAACATTTTAAAATTTTAATTTTAAAAATAATATACAATCTTCTTTTCAACTGACTTCTTCTTCTTCTTTGAATTCACAATACTATATTAATATAGTGAGTTGTGCTGCACTATTAAACTTATCTCCCTCTACTTTTGTTTCCCCCTCTCGATTTTTTATTCCAAAACTTTATTCATTCAATGAAATTTATTCCTAATTAACTCTATCATCCACCTCACGTAACGTTAATTAATAAATTACTGTTCATTATTTTTCATATCTTCTATATATTTGTATAGAAAACCACATATGATTTTACATTTAAATAGAAATTTTAAATATAATAATATTTTTATTATTTAAATTTAATTTTCTGCAAAAAAAAAAAAAATTATAATAAACAAAAATATTTAATTTTTAATTATTAATTAAAACTATTTTAATTTTGTAGACGAAAACAAAATTATTTTATTTTAATTGAAATATTTCAAAAAAAAATTTTTTTTTTTGTTTTAAACGTATCAATAAATTTCTCACCAATAATGATTGTAATCTATATTTTTACAACAGAGTTAAAAGGATCACACTAATGAATAAGCTGATTAAACATGAAATTATCTTTGAATAACTTTTATGATTTTATTTTATCACGTGAATTTGGAAAATATAATAAAAAAAAGTAACTATTTAACCATATTTTATTTCTAATACAATTTTTTTTATCCTTAACTCTATATTTTAAAATATTTGATTTTTGATGTTTTACAAACAAATAAAAAAAAAAAAATTCTATAATATTATAAAAATTATTATATAATGAATTCTTTCTGGTTGAATTATTTTTTTCTTATTAATTTTGAATTTATTAAATAATAAAAATAAAAAATGCTTTCATTAATTAATATTAATATATATATGATAATTATTTTTGATACAATAATAATGACTCACAACCATTGGAACAATTTATTTGAAGAATCTCCAATTTTTGTCTTTTCTTGTTGTTTTTCACTGTTTTTATTAATTTCCCTTGCACTTTTCATTAAAGACGAAATTTTATATGCTTTTTGATTCATTATGAATTCTTGTTACATACACTGTAAAAATTATTTCTAATCTGAACATAATATGCGTCAAAGTAATTTCCATAATCGATATTTAAAATTTTCGTGCGAATTTTATGAAAATTCATATATATTTCTTCATTATTATTAATATATAGATATCGATTTTAATAAGTTTTTTTTAGCAAAAAAATTAGAACTTGTTAAATAATTTAATATAAAATATATTTAAAAAAAACAAATAATAAATAAATATTATAGAATACCTGAAATAAAATCATAATCAATGATAATAATATTTTAAGAGTGAATAATTTTTCATTATGAATTTTATATTAAATTAAATGAAGATTTTTGTCTACAATTTAAAGAGCAATTTATTTATAATATAATTAATATTTCTAACGTATACGTAAATTACCTGATTTTATAATAATTAGTAAACTTGAAGTTGTAAATTTAATTATGAATAAGGAGTTAAGAAGTTAAAAGTAACGGAAGTTTGCAATTGATCCGACTGCTAATCGGATCAATACTGATTTATGTCAATAGATGATACTTTCAAAATGCATACTTCTGAGTGGAATTTCTTTAATCACTTTCAGATATAATAGAGATCAAGATCAAAGTGACTGATTAAAAAAATTTCAAGTACTTTTTTTTTTATCAATATCCTCATATTCACATTTTGCATTGGCATAAATATTTCTTTTCGGTATTTACATAACAAAAATTAAAGTTATGTCAATTATTTCAAAAGAATGCTCATTATTAATTTGCAAATGAAATTTCATTTTCAAAATGAAATTTCAATTTTGTTGAAAATAAATTAAACCATTTCATTAAATAAACTGTCAATTAAATTAATTTTTTTTTTATCTCATATATATTTTTTGATACTTATAATATAAAATGAAAATTTAATCTAAACTTATAATTATTATACATAAATTTAATATAATTAATGACTTAAAAATTAACTTAATCGAAGGCTTAAAATGTATAACTTAAAAGAATTAAAATATAATTTAATCGATGTTTAAGTGAAATTTAAATTGATTTCAAACTAAAAACTTCAAATATATAAATTAATCTTAATTAAAAGGACATACTTAAATTAATCTTAATCTATGTTAATAACTATAAAATTACAAATTTTCTCATGTCGTATAATAAAAATTAATTGCGAGAATAAAAAAAGTTGAGTTTATATACATTGTTTAATCGCTCGAAAATTAAATTTTCTTGCATATATTCAGCTTTTACAAATGATATAAATAAAAAAATCGAGTTAAATATCCTTTTTTTTCATATTGTTGTATAACATTATAAAATAAAGTATCGCTAAAAATTCTGAAATTAATATAAAGTAATAAAAAATGATTTATAAATATCATTTTTGCATGTTCGTCAACGTTTTAACATTTTCGTCGAATAAAAATAAAGTATTACAATTTTTTATTAAAATTATACAGATAAAAATTGAAACTTGCAAATTCTTATTTTTTTTTAAATATTTCAAAAAGTCATAACTTCAATTATTTCAATAATTTGATTTAATTAAATTCAACCATTATTTAAATTGATTTACAAATAAGAAGTAAATAATTAAATTTTTAAAATCAGAAAACGAATAAAAATTACGTGTAAAGTCGAATACTGTTAATTTCTGTCCTAACATAATGAAATTTGTTCTTAAAAAAAGAAAAAAAATAATTAATTAGCTACTTAGTTCTAAATTTTTCGGTTTCTATTAATTGTACTTTGTTTTGAAGCAGTGCGCGTTAAAAAAAAGCAAAAAACAAAGGAAAACAAACGATAGCTCATTTTAGAAATTTTTGCTTTTATTTCACTTCTTCAATTCTCGTCTAAAATAAAATTAGCTAAATTTTCATGTTTTCTTTTCAATTATTACAATATTTTTTTATTTGTGCAAAAATAGTTTCTAAAATGTTTCTTTTTCATTTGTTATCACTTTCATAAATTACTTTCATTGAAAAATTAATATTCTAAAAACACTTATTTTTCATCTCTTAACGAGATTATAGTGTATTAAAAATTATTTACATTTAATTATTAAAATATGTACATTATTTGATTGACAATTAATGTACATAATTAACATTTAAATTTATTAGATGTAGAGAATTTTGCTTTGCTATAAGAGTTATTCTGAATTTTAAAGTTTTTTATCTTTTCTTTTGGTGTATAAAAAATATTCCTAAGGCTCGATAAATGTCTCTGAGAATTTGTTTTTCTTTTGTTTTAATGTAAAATTCACAAAAATTTAATCAGTCACAGGCTCAAAAAAAATTGGAGCAATGAGACAAGCCTCTTTAAATTATTAAAATGGTAAAAAAAAAGAAACTGGAACCTATTCACCTATTGTGAAATTTGTAGAGGCTCCTGTTACTGGACTTAATAAATTTCCAATTGTTTTATTTAAATTTAAACTTCCATTGAAAACGTCATGAAAACTTTCATTGATACTTTCATTAGGTACATAAAGTTTAATTATTTCAATCAAGGCACTGCGAGATCCAAATACTAGAGCCAATATGCCTATTATACAAATAACTACATTCTTTAGAGCTACCCAATTTCCTGGACCGAAACCAATGTCCCAATAGGTCACAGTTTCGATAAAGACGGGAATCAAAAGTCCCAGAATTGAAAAGCAAAAAGCCCCAAGAAGACCAATAAATGGCGCGATGGTCGGAACAGCTGCGGCCAACAAAACTGAAATAAAAAATAATTTTATTAGTTTTTAATTCAAATTTTCTATTTTTTTTTCAACCAATGGCTAAAATTTTTAAATACTATTTTATTAAAAATCCATTAAACGAAAAATGTACGAAATTTTACCTGAACCGGTGACAAGGACTGTTCGCATTATATAATTAGCAAGTATAGGTCTCTTTTGGCATTTTTCTTTAATGGCATTCCATCCAATGTCAAGACATACGTAAAATTGAAGTCCAAATGTACAAAAAACAGCGGCACCAACAAGTATTTTAACAGCTTGTGCAGGTCTATAACAAAAAAAAAATATCGTAATTAAATTTAATTTAAATGATTTTTAAATTTAATGAATCGTCTTTAATACAATTAAATTTTTATAAAAAAATTTTCAAATTCGGTGTAAAACTTACATTTCTTCAACTGGAAGATTCAATGTTATTGATTCTGCAGTTTCGTCTGGATATGCACAATAGCCAAGAAATCCAAGAAGAATGTAAATCATTGTAACGCCACCCATTCCTCTATTGAGAACACCACAGATGCCGGTAAAATGTTGAGGTGTTTTCATACTATTTTCAAGAGGCATTACAACGCCTATTGATTTAAGAAAAAAGTTCAAAAATTAATTTTTAAATTAATTTTAATGAAAATTTATTATAGAAAAAAAAAAAAATTACCAATGGCTTCCATAGCAAAAATTGTAATGCTGAAAAAATTGGGAAATTCCGAAAGTGGGGCTACTAATGGAATTTCTGCAATTGGTTCAATATTAATGACTAGATAGTAAAAAGTAATTCCTAATCCAGTTCCCATAAAAACATTTGCTACCATTGAAACTGGTGCTAGATATTTTAAATCAGGCACCCAACTCAATAATATCAAAGGCAATAATAATGTCATAATGATAATTCTCTCATTATAAACATCTCCCGTATGATGTTCGATGACTTGTTGAAAATTTCTTGCAACAATTACCGCGTACACACTGCAGGTACCAAAATAAGTTATAAACAAACTTAGTTCAATGAGATATCTATAAAAAAAGAAAACAATTATTATTAAATTAAATGATTATTATTAATTTGATATATCAAAATATTCAGATTTTTCTCCTTGCCTAGAAAATTTCGAGAATTTCCTTCCCCATTTGGGTCCAGTTGCAAATGCAACTTCCGCCACATCTCCAAAACCCATTTGTGTTTTTTTTGTTCTATGATACAAAACATGAGCACATTTTACCTGAAAAATTGTCATAGAAAAAGAATTATTTTCTTTCATAATTATTATTTAAATAATTTTAATTTTTATTTTGTAAATGTATTTTATATTTTATTTCTTTATATTATTTAACTAAATTTCGAAATAATTAACAAACTAATAAAATTTACAATTTTTTTTTCAGATTTATAATTATCAAATGACAATGATGATTTATACTTACAAGAACATAAGCACAATGTGTGCATACAAAAGCTACTAGTATCGTAGCAAAAACTCCAACTGCAAGTCCAGCGCTTTTAAACGCAACAGGCATTGAGAGAATTCCAGTTCCTAGAGATGCTTTTAATAGATGAGTAAGTGTATCACAATCCCTAGAGAAAAAAAAATTAAATTTTTAAAATTAGATTTATTGGAAAAAAAAACAAAATTAGAAAAAATAAACTTACGTCGTTGGATTATCTACTTTGCGTTCCATAAAAGGATCAAATGCTTTTCCATCGTATCCATTTTCCAGATCCCGTGTAAATGCCTGAACTTTATATCTATAAAATAAATATAATATATAAAAAAATAAATTAAGTAAAAAAAAGTAATAAAGTAAAAATTAAAAATTACATAAAAATTGATAAATAAAATTCCTATCTTCTTTTTTAATAAATTTTACAAAAATAATTTCACCTCGACGCATCTTATAAAATTGTCAGTTAAAAAAAAAAAAAAAAGAGTATCTCAGATAAGCTGCAACTAAGTAGATTATTATTGGTTTTCTTGATGTATAGTCATTATAAATAGGTCAAGGAATTCGCACAACATGTTTGTGCATAATTATTATCAGGTAGTGAGCACTTAGGCAAATTGCGAACAATTCGATTGACAGGATCATTTATCTCATTGATGAAAGGAAACTCCGATTGTATTAATTGAAGACTTTAATTAAACCACAACGAACAAATTTCACAATGAAATTGTTGCTTTTGTTTTGTTTCTTCTGATTTGCATTTTCTTTTTTTTTCAAAACGATTAAATAGAATCGAATTTGATAAAAATTTTGTTGAAAATTATTACATTGATAGGAAATTTTTAATTTTTTTTTCTAAACTCACTTGTTTGGTAAAACTTCTTCCTTCTTTCCATCATGGGGAAGGAACGTGTCCAACTCAGTGGGCGCTTTATCTTTATATTTTTCTTCACCCTGAAAAGAAATAATTATTTTTTAATTTATAAAAATTAATAGATTTTATAATCACTTTTCTTTATTGATTAAAAAATTTAGAATCCTTTTAACTCACCATTTTGATTGATTGCTTTTCTATTTTTATAAATTCACCTGAAAAAAAAAATATTATTATTAAAAAAATAGAACAATTTATTTTATAATATTGTATTTATGAGTTTGAGCATTATATACGTCTCATTAAATTTTTATGAAAGTAATTTTAGATTAGATTATATAAGAGAAAAATTTGTTTTAAAAAAAATCACTCTTCTTGGCACTGAAGACAAAACTATTTGATAATTTAATATAAAAGTATGATTTTCTTTTATATATATTATAAAAAGATTCACAACCTTTAACATTAGGACTTTGATTTCTCATCACGTTTCAAGAATGCAAATAACTTTTAATTTTTCTGGTTGGCGTTGATATTTAATTTACATTGTTTACATTTTCGATTATAATGTATGTTTATTTTGCAATTGTTTATTTCATTATTGCAAATTATTATTATTATTTAAAACTTTTTTTTCATAAAGTTAAATTTTTTTAAAAATGCATAAAAAAAATTTGAAAGTATAAAAAAAGAAAATAATATGAAACCAGTCGATGAACATATTCAATGCTCCACAATTTAATACGGGATAATATCCGGTACAAAGTCGTATATACATGATAGAATAAACCATCTGTTTAAATATTTTTATAATAGGTATTACGTCACTAAAAAAATTACATAATTTAAAAAATATAAATTTTCTTTTAATTTCGAAATTTTTTTTTAAATAAATTTATTTTTAACATTTTTTTTTCAACGTTAATAAGGTATAATGTCTTCATTTAACAAAATTAATTTTTAAGGTCAAACGTAACTGTGATAAAAAAAAATTACAACATTAAAGATTGTTCGTATTTTTGTCCTCACAATTTTATCAAAATCTCTTCGTGGCGTTTTTTAAATAAATAAAAATTATAGTTATTTATTTTTTTTCATTTTTTTTTTTTTTTTGAATAATTTTAATTCAAAATTGAATCATATTTTTCTAATAAGAAAAGTATTAAAATATAATTAATAAAAATTACACAATTTATAAATATTTAAATATCTTTATTTTAGAAAATTAAAAAACAATTAAATAAGCATTTTAAAAAATTTAAATTACTAAATTTGGGTCACGATTGAAGAGACAATTTTTAAAAAATAAACTTTAAATTTTATTCTTATCTGACCACATTTTACAATCTATAACGTGTACTTTATAGCTATCAGAACTTAATTTTGATAAAAATATTTTTTTTTATTATTCTTCCAAAAAAAGTAATTTTTAATAAAATTTTTTACATATTAGCTTAGTAAATTACATAAAAAATAAATTTCCCCCGGTATCGTTGAGTTCATAATTCATTGATAAATTAGTAAATTTAATTTATAGACAATATGAGTAAAATGAAAATACCATCAGCGCGCATTTTAAATCAACAAACATTTTCTTTTTTCAAACAATAAACAATAGTTTGATAATAATTCATAAAAGTGTGAAGTAATCTTTTGACAAATGTTTCTTTAGAAATCCATCTTTGTTTGCCAATGAATTATCTGGAATCTATTAAAACCCACATTGTAAAATAGATGCGGTAATAATAAAGTTTGAAATGAGTTGTTACTGTTCACTTAAATAATTATCTATGATTTACAATTTCATTAAAAAAGAAAAAATAAAATAATAAAAAAATTTTTTCAATAATTATTGTACTAAATAAAACACATAAATGTTTACACAAAGTAATTATTGAAAAAAAATAAAAATTTGTGATACTTGGTAATTTTTTCTCAATTTAAAAAAAATGACCCAACTTTTAAGGAACTTTAATAATTTTTTTTTTTATAATATAAAATAATAAAAAGATTGAAATGAATTTATTTTTTAGTGAATGTCAATCAAGACGAATAGGACATCAAAAGACATTTCATTACATGACAACGAGACAGTAAAATTAAATTACACTCGAATTTATTCTGGGACTCGCGTGCTATCATTTTACAAGTAGCGTTGTAGGCAGAGGAAGTGCCCTGTCCCCTCGAATTTTTAGATAATTAATTAATCAAAAAGTTCCATTTGTAATGTTAGTAATAAATGAATTAACGAGATAATAAGATAGAAAAAAATTAGTTCAAAAATATTATAAAATAATGTTCAAAATTATTAGAAAAAAAAATTGATAAAAGAATTCTTTGAAGTAAAAATATATTTAAAAACAAGGTTTTTTAAAAAAAAGTTTAAATTTTTACTATAGATGAAATGTCAAATTAAACTTAATGAGAGAATTTTTAAATTTTCCACATTTGTAAAATTTTTTAAAAATAATTATTGAATCAAATATTAAATTAGAACAAAATTAAATTTAAAATAATTAAAAAATTAAGAATATTAAAATGATAAAATAAAAAAAAATTTAATCAGTTTTATTACAATTTAAATAAAATTGATTAAAAAAATTTTTTACGCTCCTTCGTTAGAAACTTAACAATTTACCGTTAAGCTAATTGTAATGCAAAAAAATCCCTCGAGATTATTTTGATAAATTCCCATGGCGAATGATAATTTATTCAATCTACGAGAGTAAAAAAAATTTTGTAAAATCGTCTTTTTAGATTTAATTTATTTTATTTATAATTCCAAATAACAAAAATTGAATTAAAAAAAGTAATGAATTTAAAAGTTTGATATAATTTCTGATCAATAAAATTCCTTGACCTGAGTTTCGTTTCATACAATTTAATTATTAAATTGTCTTTTGTCTCTTGATGAGCTTTCCTTATCAGAATTAAATATTTGATGAATTCTGTCGTTTTCATATATAAGAATTTGTTTTTTTAAGATCAAGATAATTATTTTCCTTTTTTTTCAATATTTTTGTTAATTTTTATATATTAAAACTAAAAGAAGGCTTTTCAACTTAATTTTTCTGCTAATATATTAAAATTCTCTTTTTTCAATTATCAAAAAACATTTTTTTTCACAAAGAAATTCTTTTGTCAAATGTATCAAAGATCAGTCTTCTGCATCTTTGACTCATCTGATCTCGTTTTATAAACTTGGAATTCTCTCTGAATGAGAAGGAAAACTTGTTTACAAATTTTTTTGCATTTAAAAAAAAGAAACCAAAGATTTTTAGTTCTATAAAAAAAAAATATTTGACGTCATTTACAAAGATATGATAATTTTTGTTCTTAAAAATATTTATTGCAAAAGATTGACATTAAATATACTATTCTAAAAAATAGTTTAAAAATTTCTTAATTTTTTTTTTCCAAATAAAAAAAAATATTATAATTTTACTACTTTTATTTATTTCAAATATACCGGCAATTCTCTTTTATATATAATATTATATTTTTTTAAGATAAAAAAGATAAAAAAATTTTTTTAAAAACAGTTATAAACAGAATAATATCTCTATCAAATAGTTATAATGGATAAAAAAAAAATTATTTCATTGATAAAGAAGAAGTTGATGATAACTTTAGAATTTATCAAGTTTGTTGCATTTGTAATTGACTCAATTGTTTTTTTAACCCATGTAGTTGCGATTATATTCAATCTTTCGTGTCTTTTATAATCGACTTATGGAAAATTAAATTTTTACTCAATTTTAATTTTTGTTTTTAATTTTCTACTTAATTGTATGAAAAAAAAAATTAATAATTTTTTTCTTTAAAAATATATTAAATTTTTTGAAAAAAAAAACATAATTTAACATTTTCTTTTATAAATAAACGAAAATAAACACATATTAAAAGGAGGAAAAATATATTGTTTTTTTTTATAAGACGGAAAAATTTAATTATATTTTTTTTGGCGAAAATCCATTTTGACAAGACGTGCATTTTTTCCCTCTGAAAATTTTCCTTGTGAATAAAATTTATGACGAAAGCACTTCTAGTCTCATATTACAAAATTTAAACAATTCGTCAATTTTTTTTTTCTTATGACATTGATAAAATAAAATAATTTTAAATAGTCCCGTTGATTGAATAAAAAAAATAAAATAAAAAAATACACTTATTTAAAAATTGCATAAAAAATTAATAAACAAATTAATTAATTAAATTAAAATAATAAATAAATATAATAATATTTTTCAAATAAAAAAAATAAGCTATTTAAGGGTTTGACTGGAAAATTCAAGAGGGTCAGGAATTTTCAATTTTGAAAATAGTATTCTATTCTTAACATACAGTCAGAGAAGTATTTATCGACTAGAAGCTTTGACAGAGATTTAAAACTCTCAGCGAATTAGAGTAACATATATAAATAATTCATTTCTACTTTAATCTGAGATAATTATTTAATCTTCTCATTATGAACCATATGCTCGTATTTAATTTATTAAATCGAATTAAAAAAAAAAATTTAATTTTTAAATATACGATATTATCTAAATATTTTCTAAAACTTGTCTTTTATGTAAAATCGATAAATTTTTTTAAATAAAAATATTATTCTCGATAAAATATTACATGTTAATTCAAGGTTCACAGACTTTATAATTATGACGTATTGAAAATAATTGTAGAACTCTTTTTTTTTTAACTGATGAAAAATATTTAGATCAATTTTTAATAGCAACTAATTAGATGATTTTTCTTTTTAACAAATACAAAATTAATTTTTTTTTAATTAAAAAAAAAATACATTTTTTATTAAGAAAAATATTTTTTTAGCAATTTTAATTACAAATGAAAAAAAAGTTACATAACAAATAAATCACAGTTGATATGATATTTAATTGTGATAAGCGAACACAAATGAAAATATTTTGCAAATTTGCAAATTAACAGACCATATTGCTAATAAAAAGAACTTTTTCTTGTTTGCTTGTAATTAGCATATATTTAAGCTATGTTAAATGGATGATATTCCTCATTTATGAATTTTCATAGTTTCAAAAAAAAAAAAAAAAAAAAAATTATAACAAAAATATTTCAAAATTAAGAATTAGATTATTGCACGTGCTATTAAAATTTAGGCCATATTTAATTTGTGATAAAAATAACGACCAAAGTAAATAGTCTAGTATGATAAAAAAAAAAAACATTTTTCCTTGAGCATTATGTACATAAATTTGAATAGAGTTCCGATGTTTGAAAATTTAATATTTTTTCTAAACTGTAAAACGGGTTGGATTATAAAAGAAAATTTTTTTCTTTAAAATTAAAATTTACTATATTTCTTTATTGTTGATAAAAATGACGTTTACCAATGTTAAAATTTTATAATGTAGAACGGATATTTCGTGTCGCTCTTGTCAAATAGAGAGTAATTTATGATAATAAAAATATATAAAAAGAAAAATAAAAAAAATGCAAATAAAATATTCCAGATTTAACAAAAAACAAAATTATCGTATTTATGACATTTTTTTTTTACTATCTCCAATGCACTAATTTTTTTTTTTATTGAAACATCAAAAGGTTGTTACATCATACACTGCAGTATATCAGCATCAAACTATCTTTCATTTAATTTTATTCAACGCTCCAAAATATTTCGCGGAAAAATTGCATTCCACGTGGTTAAGACGGTTGAAAAAAGTATGATGAAACACGTGTTTGAATTCGATAATTATTTTAAAATTATAATTCTTCGTTTTTCGCAATAATTTTTAATTCCCTAACATACTTTATACATTGTATGCATAAACAATATTCTTTATTTCTTAAACATTAAAAAAAAAACCAAAAATAATCGATAAATTATAATATGTATAATAATTACATCATTTTTACTCCCACGCGTTTTGAACCAATTTCTAAAACCGGTTATACAGCATTGGTTTGAACGTTATAATTATTAATAGAATAAATTAACTTTAACTACAATTTCCGTCGAGGGTAACATTTTTTTTTTTTTTTTGCAGAAAACCACCCTAGTTGAAAAGGTCAGTGAACGAAGAGAGAGAAAGAGAGAGACATTGATCCATATATGTATACGTTTGCAATTATATCGATAAAATGAAATTGATAGGATACCTATATGTATTAGGACTCGTGGTGCTTTAAAACATTAAAGCTTACCTGGTTTTTTCTTTTCCTAGAAAAAGGCAAATTAATTTGTCAAAAATGTTGCACTACTTTAACTTGAAATGAAGCACTATTTTAGATTCATTACTTGGGAAATTTTTATTCACTTATAATTTTGAAGGAAATTATTCAAAAAAAAAAAATTATTATAAGAGTTCACGCCACACAGGCAACTGCGCGAACCGGCGAGCGAATGCACACATCGTGTGCTTTGCACTCCAAAAGTTAAAGAAAGCAGGTTATTATCTCCCGGAAACCATGTCCTTTAATTTCTCTAAACGCCACCAGGAGCGCTACTGTACAGGAGGTTAGTAGCAGAAGCTTTTTTACACGTTAGTTTGCAACAATTGTTTTTTTTTTTTTTTGCATTTAAAAAAGCTTTTAAAACAGTATAGTGTATTTTTATTATTAACAGAACATTGCTAATATTGAAGAAGGTCGATTTTATAGTAGAGGCATATTTTTGGATCATGTTTAAAAGTATAAAACTTGAAAAAATGTACCGAAGGCATAAGAATATCTGCTTTATCACGTGTTTCACAACCGGCTAATGGATTCACATTATTTATACAAAGGTAAGATTTTTTTTAATTTAATTGAATTAAAAACTAATTGCGTAATTTCATTGTTTATCAATTTAAGTCAACATGAAAGATTGTTAAATTTGAAGGTTATGTTAAAGAATTAATAATTGTCAATTTTATTCACATAACTGTTTGTTTACTTTGCATACAAATTTCAAAATAAATACTTCATTATTATATAATTATTTTAATCTTTTTTTATGTAATATAATAATAATTAATAATATAGAAACACTATTGTCTTTGATTTGTTTGTAATTGATATATTTAAAAAAATGTTATTAAAAGATTATTCTTTTAAGCACTTTATAAATAGCTGTAAATAGAAAAGATAAGAATTACAATAAGACGTAATAATATAAAATAATTTTAGATCCACGTGTATTATAGAATTGCTTTTTTAATTAAAAATTAATAGTAAAATTGTAATTTTATAATTGTTAGATCCATAATTTAAGGACTTATTATTATTATTTACTTTTATTTCAATTTGTTGAATAATTTTTAATTTTTTTTTTCTAATATAATTTTTAACACTGAATAATTTTGATTTCAATACCTATATTGAAGATTAAATTATTTCTTCGCACGATCATTTTATTGCGCTTTGATCTCAATTTGGATATATATTAGATGATATTCAATTATGAAATAACAATGAATGCTCGGGTTCTTTAAACCGAATATGTTTCTTGGTGACCTAGAACGATGTCCCAAACCTTGACATTAACAGAGAGCAATGTCAAGATCAATTTTATTTTAATTGAGAACGATTAATTTCTCAGACTATCAAAAGCAAATGTATTCTTTTGCTTCTTAAAAGATTTGATTCCATTAATTGAATAACCCGCATATGTTCCAAAAATAGAATTAAAAAAAATATATATATATATATATATATAAATGAATTTCAAAAGAATGTAGATCTTATTTAATTATGTTAATTATTAATTTTTACAATTTTTATTTTAATTATTATGTTAATTGTTGATTATCTTTTTCGAGATATTTTTTTTCAATTACCTTCAATCTGAACTTGAGATTCTTTAATTCATTTGTATAAAGATTACAATAAGAGGGATTTACTTTTTGCAACTGCTTTTATCAGTTCAGCTAAAAATAATTACGATTAAAATATTTCTTTTGTTTCTTATCTTATTTAAGTTTATTCACATTTCTCACAGATTAATTTAAAGTAATTAAATTTAAACGGTAAAAAAATGTCCTACAAAAATTTAAATTTAAATTAAATTTTTTTAATTATCTTAAAAATTATTATTGAATTTATATAAATCTTTTTAGAGAAAAAATAATTTGTCCATTTTTTTTTTTAAGGAATGAGAACAAGCTGATAGGTCCATGTGTGAAAAATTAAGAAGAATTATGCCAGAACAGAAAAGTAGGTGACATAATGTTGATGTCGCAATCAGGAGGTGAAGGTTCAAGAAACTAGGTTGAAAAGTTGTGTTAAATAAAAACGCCCTCATGAGATTAATGGTACGTGAAAGAATTTCAAAGAAGCGAATTAAATTTATTATATTTTGGACGATAAGCCACGTGGCAATATTAGAAGAAAAAAAAATTATCAAAATCATAAAGAATCTTTTGTTCTTCTAATCTCGTTTTTTTTTTTTTTTGTAAATATTAAATTTCAGTTTTTTGCCTGATAAATTTCAAGATTTCAAAATTTTTATTTTATTTATTAAAAAAATCAATTTTCTAAATAAATAATAATTGTGATTGTTAAACAAAAAATAATATTAGTTATAGTATGACATATTTTACGTCTTAAAATAACTCTTTGAGATAAATTGTCGCAATGAATTATCTTTTATTTGATCTTTTTACTGTCATTTAATTCCTACTTGGATTTTGATTGACACGTGTTGAGAAACAATTTAGTCAAACAAAATCCCACTTAAGAAGTCAATAACCTAATGATGCATTTAAAATAATGAAAAAGTTGAATATCGTTTTTTTTTATATTTCACTTCAAGTCAAAAAAGAAAATTAAAATTTTAAATTAAACAAGTTTTCATTAATATCTAATCTTATCTTTAATTCTTCAAAAATTAGATAAATAGTTATGAAAATTTAAATTTAAAAAGTAGTAAATTGAAGATAAAAAAAAAAAAATGTCTCTAATAAAACCAACACCTGTCTTTGGTGAAAAACAACCTCCACCACCGGAATTTAAGGAACAATTTCTTTTTCTTCTTGAATTTTATATTTATGAAATACGAGGTGAACGTTTGGCAAAATTAAATCAAATGTTCTTTGTGCCGACTTGTGTGAATTTTCATTTTTTGGATTTTCAAGATGATGATTTAGAAATAACACCAGTTAATCTTATGTTTGAACCACAAGCAGGAATTTCTGATGATGTTGAATATTTTAATGCTGGACGTTCGGTTATGTTTTCAGTATCACAACACGTGGTGGCAAAGAAATTATCTGAGTTGAAAATAAAATTATTTGTTAGAAAAAAAATGCCAGAGAATATAAAACCTGATATTATCATTGGAGAAGGTGAAATTGATATGACAAAACAATTTGCAGCGTTGCGAAAAGAAATGTTTCAATGTTGGCACATTGGTATACCACCGCCGCAAATTTTTGAAAATGAAATTCCCCTATTTTTAAATAAAGAAACAATTGGAATGATGAAAGTTTTTATTAGACTCTCATCTTATGGTCAAAGTATTACAACTGAATTTGAAGCGCCAAAGGGACAAAATAAATCATTTATTTTTAAAGGCAATAAAATTAATGACAAAAGTTTATCTTACAAATGTCGAATAATTGATTCTAGGGAAATTGATATTTGTAAAAATTCGGAAGATGATTTAAAATCATCTTGTCAAATTTGTCAGCCTTGTGGTTTAAATTTTGCGGTCACAAAATCAAGGGACAATTGTTTAAAAATGGAGACGACAATTGCAGGAAATGATGATTGCAATAAAGATAATTCTAGGAAACAAATTGGTCCCATTCAGTCGAGTAGGGGATCGAAGCAACCTTGTGGAAAAGCAGTGGTTTTAAAGGTTTCTGGCCTTTTAGATGTTGGAGATGGTAATAAGCAACCGACGGTTACCGTTGCACCGGAATGTGATGCTGCGACGAAAAATTGTGATCCCGATCACGATATATTTATATTGAGAATTGGTAAAAAAGGATTGGTCGGTCCAAATGAAAAATCAGATATTCAACTTGAAATGAAAACACCCAAGGGTCCAGAAAGAGGACCGCCAATTAGACATGAAACACGCGAGGCACAAACCGAGGAGGAGAAGAAGAAAGAAACATCCGGTGGAAAAAAATCAAAAGCTTCAAAAAAAAAGAAAAAGAAGAAATAGTCAATTTTTCATTTATTTGAAAATATTTCTCATATACATATTTTAGAAATTATAATTTACAATAAAAAGATAATAATAAAAGATCTTGGAAATGAAAAAAAAATCGTCAGATTAAAATACGAGTAAAACAATTGAAAAATTGATTTTGACTTTTCTTCTTAAGGTTATGAAAATTTTTCATAAGTTCAAAAATATTTTAATTTGAAAAAAAAAATGTTATAAAACATTTAAAAAAAAGAAAAAATAATGAATAATTAATTTGTAAAATTGTGTAATTAAATTTTTTGTATTTGATTCAAGACACATAATGAATGACTCGGAGCAGGAATTGTTTTTAATTGAATTTCTTGTCAGCAAAGTAAACATTCCTTCGGTACAAGCCATGCATGATCAATTGCTTCCTGCAACAACTTGCGTATCATTTCAGGTAAATTAAAAAAAAATGTAAATATTGGAAAAAAATTTATTTTGAAAACATTTTGTTTTTTTTTTAAATTTAGATTTATAATATTAAATTAATTTTCTTTTAAAAGTGTTTTTTTTCTATTTTCAGATTTTGAGTCTCCCACCGGTGATTATTGAACAAACGTATTTAAATTCCAAAGGATGTTCATGTGAAAATTTTGATACACAAATATTTAATAAAGGAAAATCGTGTTTATTTGCCCTTCCAACTTTGGTTTTGGAAAAACCACTCACATCATTTCCAATTACAATGACAGTTTATAAAAAATTACCACCCGGTGTTCTACCAGATGTTATGTCAATAGGAAGTCATCAAATTCAAGCAAAGGATTTTATTAATAATATTTTAAGAAAACGAATTTTTAAATCATCAGTAGCGCCATCGACAACTAGTAAAGAAATTTATAAAATTACCACAGCCACTGGTCAAGCTGTTGGTGAAATTGAAATTTTCATGAGAATTTCATGTTTTGGAAAGAAAATCATAACACAATTTCAAATACCCCATAATCGTAAACCATTTTTATTTAAAGGTGAATTAGACAGTCCTGTGATTCAATGTAAAAAAATACCATCAAATTGTAAATTGGTTGAGAAAAGTTTTGCAGCTGGTGAAAAAATTGAGGAAATAAATAATTATCATTGTCCAGCACCACCACCATCGTCGCCAATTAATTTAAAATCATCATTAAAATCAAGTGTAAATCGAAATAGAGAAGAATATTTACAACCTGGAAATGTGTGTTTTAAAGAAAGAAATTCAACAATATTTGAAAGAAAAGAAAGACCTTTCTCAATGCGAAATGAAATGACAAATTTTCAAAAAAATGATACAAATACACGTAAATGCGGTTGTAGAATCAAAATGGAAAAACAATGCGGCTGTAGTTGGAAATAATTTTTATTGGAGGGAAAAAAAAGAAAAAATATGAAAATCGATTTTTCCTCTAGAACAATAAACGATCGAATAATATACTTTTTCCAACTGTCAAAATTTTAATTTTATTTCATTTTCGACTATACTAATTTTGGAAATAAAATGTCAATTAAATTTTATTTCGATTTACAATCTAAAATTTCTCAATTTAATTACAAGTAATTTAATAATTATAAATAATTTTCAACACATAATATAAATTTTTGTAATTGAATATTTCTTTGACTTCTATTATTATTTCTGAATAAATAATAAACGGCACTAGGCAACAATGATTATTTTTCGTTCACGCAATATCTTATCTGTCTGTGGTTCAATATTGACATTTATTTGTCAGTGAAATATTCACACGCAGCTGCAACTTCCTGAGATAATTGAGGAGAATCAATTTGCAAAAGTCGATATGAAGAATGTGAAGATAATAAAGCAAACTGGTAAAAAAGGGGCAAAAAAGAAAAAAAAGGAGAAAAAAGAAATGGCCAAAAATGAAGAAAATAATAATAATGCTGTGGAGAATCGTAAAAAAGAGAAAGAAATAAGAGAAAAAAATTGGGAAGAATGTTGGTATAGAAAGCTTCAAGAACAAGAAGAACGTGAAGATAAAGCTTTTTGTTCAATTCATGGTTTCTATCCAAAGCCAAAAATTCAAACAAACATTTGGCTTCAAGTCACATATGGAAAATTGTCACAGGATGTTCAACTCTGTTTCAAGTAATTTAATTTATTCAATATTATTAACTAAAATTAATTTTACTACAATTAATAATAATATTAATAGTAATACAAAATTATTAATTAAATAAAATTTGCAATTTTTTTTTTAATCTAATTTGATTTTTTAATTTAATTATTATTTAATTAAAAAACTAAATTATTAAATTAAAAAAAATAATAATAATAAGAAACAAATTTTACCTTTCTGATAAAAATACAATATTATATTTGAGAAAAATATTCAAACAGTTAAAATCAATATTGTCTGCAGTAAATAATTGCTTTTAATTTTCTTTTCTAAGAAATGATCTTATTCCAAAACCGCCACCACCGCCGCTTCCTCTTTTAAAAATAGAAGAATTCAAACCACCAGCTGTTGAAAAAGATGAAAGAGAGAAAGGAAAACGAAAAGAAAAAAGAAAATAAGAAATACTTGACAAAAACTTTAGGTAAGTTAATTACATACTTTTTTTTAATTTCAAAAATTAATATAAACAGAAATCAAATTTTTTTTTCCAATAAAATAAATTAATTTTTTAAATTATTAATTTATTATGTAAAAAATTTTTTAACTTATTTGTTTTCAACTTTTGTTTGTAAATTAAATCTCCTCTTCAGGGAGTCTGACAATAAATAAAATTATAAAAATTAATTAATTAAATTTTTTTCTGATTCGCGTCTTCTGATTCTAGTCCGTGGGATGGTTTTTAAAAGAAGAGGCTGCCCTAAAGAAAATATATAAGAAGGGGTGAAAGTTGTTATTCTTGTCACATAGGTCATTCACCGTGTATATAGGAAGTGGAATATTTGTCAGGACGTAGATGACATTGTGCGCCGACTCCTTCTCAACCCTTGGTCGGGGGGACAATTTGGGGTGGTAGGCCGATATTCTGGCGCCTGCGTTGGATTCAGGGTGAGAATCTTTCTCTAGGACAACGTCAGCAATCATGTAGTAAGGATAAAATTTTTTTTCTCCTTCGTTGAATTTAGTGTTTTTTATACATATATAGATAATATACTTATATGAATTGTGTCTCCCAATTTTCCCAGTTGGATCGCATAATGATAACGACTTCATTTATCTCATCGAATTGATCTTCCCCAAATTTTTCTCATTTTTTTTCTCAATTTTATTAAGAAAACGAAAATGAATAACTCACCCCAAAATTCGGATGTTAAATCTACACACCGTACCGGCATTGATAATAGTGATGAAGAGGATTGGAGTGGCGTTGTAGAATGTGTAATAAAAAATTGTTTTTTTAAAAAATTTCACTATTTTAGTTTAAAATTATTTGAAAATTTTTTCTTAAAAATATTTTTTTGTTTGTGAAATAAGTAATAGAATTAATATTTGAAAATACTAAAAAAAAATCTGTTCTTTGAAATTTTTTTTCTAATATTTATTTATTTTTTTCAGGCTGTTTTAGAGAGAACAAAATCTGAACGAGCAGCACGTTCTAATGAAAATCGACGACGTCGCACAATTATTGTTGAGAAAAAAAATGGCTCGTATGGTTTCACGTTACAGGTATTATATATTTTTTTCATATTTCATAAATTTAAAAAAAACAAATTTATTTTCCACACTTCTAATTTGTATTAAAATTTAATTAAATAGAATTGAAAAAATTAATTTTTTTTTTTTCACAGAGCTATGGAATTCAATATAAAAGGGAACAAGAAGTCGAAATGGTCACCTATGTAGATTACGTTGAAAGCGATGGACCTGCTTCTAAAGCTGGGATGAGAGTTGGCGATGTAATTGTTTCAATAAATGGTCAAGAAATGGATCGTGCTGATCATGAGACGTTGGTGAATTTCATTAAAAATTGTGATTCCCGAATGCGAATGGTCGTATCGTTTGAAGATTGTCTCAAAAAGGTAGATTTTTTGTATTACCTTTTATTTAATTTGTTTATAAAAATCTATTTTTTGTCATTTTAGGTTGGATTACATATGCGTTATATAAAATTACAACAAGCTCTTCAATCGCGTCTTAATGAATTGGAACGACTTTGCGAAAGGGAACGTTCAATTTTAATGGGTCGTTGGAAAACACATTCACTGCCTGCACGTAAAAGAACGCCTAATAATAATTCTTCAAACAATTCCAATCAACCGTCAAAGCCTTTGAATTTGAATTCTTCTACAGTTCAATGTTGTCGTCCTGCGACTTCCACGGAACATTTACTTTTATATTCTGTGGTGAGAATAAAAAAAAAATTAAGAATACTAAAATTTTATAAAAAATAAGTTAAAAAACTAATTTTTTTATTTCAGTACGCTGATGGTCGACCATTTCTAATACCAAGAAGTGCCGCTTGTTTAGTAGCAGTTGGTCCACCGCGATCACGAAGCGATCATCATCATTTTTTATCTAAAAATCCAAGTGAAACATCATCTCGTCACAGTTATCATCAATCGAATGGATTACTTGGAACGCCAGCAAAATCAAAATCACACAAAGGTAGCCAAAAAAATTGTAATTCAAATAATGAAAATCAAATTCATTCGACGTCGCACAATTTGTGTGTGGCGTGCATTAGCGCTTCACGCCGTCGTGATACATCGGATGGTGGAAGTTTAGACGCTTATGATTTAGCGAGTCCTTGCTGTGATCCAAATTGTGTACCAAGTAGAAGACGTCGAGAAAAACAACGAAGAGCGAGACATGAACAAAATCTCCATCAACAACAGCAGCAGCAACAGCAACAACAACAGCAGCAGCAGCAGCAAAAACATCATAAACATCAACAAACAGATCATCATCATCATCACCATCATCGTGAGCAACATAATTCACATAATTGTTCACGTGCCTCAGGTCATAGTTTACATTCAATAACAAGTAGTGAAATATCAACGACTGTTGAAAGTGTCGCATCATGTTCAACATCATTGAGTACAGACACACTCTATTGGGATCAAAATCATCATCCAAGACAATCAACATGTTTACAATATGCAAAACCAAAAAGTTGGGATAATTTAACAACAAAAGCATTTGGTGGTTATGGATTTGGTTATGGTTATCTTGATACAGCTTCAGTTAAAACGCATAGCGCTGAAAGGCCTGGTAAAAATTCACATAGAACAAAAACAACCCCAACTGGTTCAATACAACGAAGATCAACGGGAACATCAACGACAACTGTTTATTCAAGTTCAAATCGTTGTTTTCAACCGACAAAATCAACTGAAAGCCTATTAATTCCATCGCCTTATCAGCAAACTGAATTGGAAGGTTCAAGTGTCAGTTGTGAATGTTTAGATGGTCCTGGTACAAGATTTATTACTGTTCAACTTGATAAACATAATATAAGACAAGATGAGAATAATTATTCAACAATTAGTGGTCATTCATTAAATAGACAACATCGTCGCTCTAGTCATTCGGATAATAAATTAAGAGCTATGAATAGTTCAGAAGTCACGAGATTGTGAATATAATGTCATTTATATTATGATGATTTTAGTAGAATAAATTATGGTACCATGTTGCATATAGGATTTTTTAGTAGTATCCGTTGAAAAATATTTATTTTTCATCTTTTTAATTAACTTTTTTTTCAGTTTTAACCATGGTTTTTGTTTTAAAAAAAGATTTTTTTTCCCTTTTTTCCAAACGTCAAAAATGTGATCATAACCTCTATTTTTTGTTTACAAACCTAACAGCACGGAGTAGTATAAGGAGGCTCCACTAGGTGGGCAAAGTGTGAGAAAACCGAGTCCGATTTTCCGGAAATTAATTGCTTCAACTAGGATTAACCTCACTAGCGGTTCCTAGCGGAAAACTCTTGTAAGCTCTAAATTTAAACAGTGGCGCGTGTCAAGTGGTGAGATACCCAAAAATGCATTTATCGTGTTTTTTTTATGTTTTTAGTTACTTGTGTTTAAAAATTTATATCATTTTTAAAACTTGTATTTACAGTCATTATAAATCCACCGAGTAAGTATATCGTCTAATTAAAAACTTATGTAGTTTGATACAGTAAACATAACCTACAATTTCGATTATTGTCAAGCACAACAAGGAATTATTATAACTGTGACAAATTTTATTTAAATAAATAAATGCAGTTATTTGTTGTTTTTGTGATGCTGAGACGTGCTTCATGTGCTGTTATTCGTTTTTTTGCACTATATCAAAATCAAACAAGAAAAAGGAGGTAAGTGTTGATGATTATTATCTATTTTCATAATTAATAAACATTCTATTTAATAAACTTTTTGCTCAAAGAATAAGAAATTTTTTTAATTTGTTAATATTTTAAAATCCACATGAAAATTCTTGTGTTTAATAATGTAAAATAATTTTACAGATTCTTATAATTACTGAAAAATGAAAAGTAGTAAAGACGACGTAGAAAAGTACACAAATGTTACAGCACATGCAGATTCTAAGTTAATATTCAAAAATTTACAAAATCAATTGGAATTTGTTAAATTACCTGACAAGAGGTGGTGTTATACAAAAGGAAATGAAACCTTTTTTGGTTTTCAAAGAGTTGAAGAGAATTACAAAGTTTTAAAAAGAGTGGCAGTATTTAATAATATGGAAATAAGAATTTATTTTAACAACAAAGTGATGCCTTTTTCGCCATACATAAAAGTAACTAATGTCGAAGAATTTAATAATCTTTTAAAAACTATTAACGAGGTTAATGTGAATGCAGTAGAAATGACAAATGTAATTTAAAAGAAAAGAACTTCTGATACGAGCGCCTAAAATTTACAAACTTTATACAATTATGGTAATCAACTTGTGAATTATATTTTTGTTTTATTTAGATTTTATTTTATATATTTTAAAATTTGCAATATTATTTTATTTTTAATTTATACATGAAATTTTTAAGTATAAAATAGAAATTTTTATAGTCTCAATATTTTAATATTGGAGGATTTTTAATTATTTTATTGTTATTGTATTAAATATGTAATGAAATGGAAATTAATTTTTGATTTATGCAAGGAATTTTTTCATAGTTTTCTATTTTTGACATTTAATATATATTTTTTAATGCGTTTTAGCTATTTAGATGAATGAATTTGTATATATTTATATTTATTAAAAATTGTATAGATTATAATAAATAAGAAATTAAGTGATTTATAAAATGTAGTACAAAAGGTGTCAATAAAAATGTATTTTTTATTGTAGACTATTTACATTATATTATTGCACTTGATCTTGCTGTATTTTTTGTCTTTTATTTTTCAGTTCCGGGAAAGTAATTTTCCTTTCTCTTCGTATTTCGCCAATTTGTGGTTCATTTAAATATGTGTCATCATCTCGATCGCGTTCTTCGACTAATTTAGCTTCTTTTCGTTTTGCTCTTGTCTTTGCTCTCTCAGTATTATTTTTATTCCATTGTTTTGATATGAAATACATCCTGGTTGTTAAATAAAATGTTATTATTCGTCGAGTGAGTGATTCTGCGTGATCTGTGCAACCGATCAATTGTACAGAACATGAATCTTGAAGAGCAGAAGTCACCTGGAATAATGTATCCTCTTCAAGCTTGCCACTTCCTACAATTTTCATTACCGCAACCTCTAAAATGTTAATAAGATTGCATAGCTTAACTGAAGGATTTTTTAGATTTCCTTTAGTTCGTAATTCGATGAGTTTGTGTCGCTCTGGTATCGGGTCATTTGGAGACAAAATTAATGCGTCGCAACAATTTTTGCAAACGACACTTTTTTCATCTACTATGAATTTTGCGAATCTCAAAGAAGCCTTGCGTGCTACATATCCAGCAACATAAGCGTTGGCATAAACAGATGTCTCTGATTCACAATAATCGTGGTCTTGTAAAAGAGTTGTGGCCTCAATTAATGCATCAATATTCGATCCACTATCCAAAATTTTATCAAGTTCAGTTTCCCATTTTTTCTTTCTTTCATTTCTCTCCTCAATATCTTGAATTTGTAAAAGAGCGTCAAATATCTCTGAGCTTGCTACATTTGATCCTTTCGGAGACTCGATCAAAGAATAAGTTGAAATTAATCTGTATAATTGTATGAACAGTCGCGAATCCGGGTGGTCGTTCGCACCACAACTCTCTCGCATCATTCCAAAGAAGCGCTACAATACAACAAAATTATGCATTAAACCATTAATAAAAAAAATATAATTTAAATTCTATGTGGGACAAAATTTTTCAAGTATTGCACCCATAAAATTCAATGTTTTCTGAATAGTTCAAAATTTTATAAAATAAAATCTCAGTTATGTAATGACAATGCAATTTTTTTTAAATCAAGTTTTTTTTTGAAAACATTAAATTTTTATTGACTTTATGAACAAAAGATAATAAATTTATTCTTTTTTAAAATTTTTTATAAGAATTAACTACAACTTGTGAATTACTTGAAAAAAATGTATTTAAAAGTAAATTTCTTTTTCTTTAAAATTAGATGAAAGTGGAAATAAGAGAGAACTTTTAATAACAAGACTAACAAAATAATTTTGAAAAACTTTGATTTTTTTGGGATAGAACACTTAGAAAATTTAATTTCCTTTGTAAAAAATGCGTACTTCCAAGCTATCCTGATTTAATCTAGCAGTCATTATATAACTGAACCCACAGTTTTCTATCAGATATTGACATATTTCTAGGGTGGCTTTCAAAGAAACTTTTAACCCATAGAACGGTTTGTTGTGAAAACATTTATAGTTTTTTTCTGTTGCCACTGATTGCCATTCTTCAAGATATTTTAAAAAATTTTGAATAATCTGTAAAGTATAATATACAAGCGTGAAATTGAATGTTGTATTATTAAGAACAAACATTTAATTGATATTGATTTTATGTAAATGGATCATACTTTATAAGGTTCATTGTCAACTTTTAAGGCATCTATTGGTGTTCTGCTATTCATAGCATTGATTAGAGCCTTCCATTTTTTGCAAAAGGCAATCGCAGAGTCACACTCTTCTAAATCCGGGTGCTTATTTTTATTTAATTCCAAAAGGTCAGCGACTCCAAAAAACTGTTAATTTTTAAAAAGCAGAAAATATTTTATTCATTTGATTAAATCAAAGTAATATTTTTTACCAATAAAATCACGTACTTGGAAAGCCAAGGCGACGTTCATTTTCTCATATAAGCTGGGTCGCAAGTGCTTCTTTGTAAATTTGAAGTTTGCTTTTATAGAAAAATCTTCTGTATTTTCGCAATCCAATAAGGAAAACCAAATTATTAACGCGATGAATCCATCTGGAGTCTAAAAAATTCATGACAGTAAATATCATAGTAATATAATATATATATATATATATTCTGAGTATATATTGAAGTACAATTTTCATCTAATTTCGTTCGAATCGACTAACTGCCAGTACAATTTGTTAAAAGTTTGGAAAGCATTAATTTCAAGATATTACTTTTTTTAAATGTAAACTTACTATATTAGATTTATTTTATTTTCCATAATATGGATTTATTTAAAAAATTGTTGAATGATTCTAAAGTCATTTTTAAAAATGAAAATTTACTAAATTAAGTTTTTAAATTAATAAATAAAAATTGATATTAATTTTTTACCCAAATTGCTTCTAGAAGTCCATGTTTTATTAAGAAATTTCTTACACATTTGACCAAGTGAGGGAAGTCAGACACAAACCACAATCGGCGACTTGAATCGACGATGTGTTCTATGCTGACTTCTTCCTCATTGACTCCAAATTGAGTCCACATTGATCGGTTCCATGACGCTCCATCAGATACTATCGCGTCAATTTTTAATCCTGCATTCTCTGTAAGAATTATGCACTCAGTTATTAACTTGTGCAATACTTTACCAGGTGCACAACCTTTACTTAAAAAACACCCTAAACTTTGCACCCATTTTCCTTTAAATGGCTGAAATAGCATAACGAGTGCATGATCACCGGCTTGATTTGTTTGATTTTCTGGGGTATAATTGCCGAGATAGGTGAATCCTTCAAATTTAAGATTCATTTCATCAAAGTGGATATATTTGGTTAATTTCATCTCATCGATTAACAGGCATCCTACAAAAAAAAAAAATTCTACTCATATTTTAGAAGCATATAAATTTGTAACTATATTTATTCAATTCAATGGAAGAGTCCACTAAATTTCAACCGTAAAAAATAGAATATTTAAGAAATAAAAAAATAAGAGTTGTGAGAAATTATTCACAGGGTTTTTTTAATTTTTGAAAAAGAAGTACGATTTAATTTTCCAAAAAATGTTTTAAAAAAATTATATCTCCTTAGCAACATGAAATACATTTTTCATGATTTAAAAAAATTGATCGTATGAATTTTGAACAATTTTTATTTTTTTAGACAAGAATTCTCAAATGGTCAAAAACATTTTTTTTTAAATTTTAATAATATTTAATAATTTTAGATCCTCGATAATGCAAAAAAGTTTTTCCCTTTAATATAAGTAAAGATTTGATTTTAGTGTACACACCGTGAACATCCAATGGCGACATATCTTTGGTTTTTAATTTAATGCCTTCGAAAATGATTTCCTGAAAACCATACTGGCTTTTAATGAATTTCATGTACCTATTTAAAGTTGTTACACTTGGTAATGGAAGAAGTTGTCTTCTTCGAATGTGTTCATAACCTTTAGGACTCTTGATCCTCAAAAGAATACATTCATAAACCCAATCCGATTGGTATCTTAATCCTTTGTTGCTCTTTACTTTTGAAGTTTCCAGTATGGTTCGCACAGCATTTTGCTCATTTTCAGGTAATTGAATTAAACACTTAACAATGGCTTCATTTTCAATTTTTGAACATTTTAATTTTAAATTTTCTACCTTTTCTTCTAGTTTCTTGATCTATTAACAAATATTTTTTAAATTTCTTATACCTTATAAATTTTGTACTTTGTGTTAAAAAAAATTAGACTGCTTAAGTAAATTTTTATAATTTTTTCCCTGTAAAAATATCACATTTTTAAAGCTATTTTTTATAATAAAAATATTTAAATATTTACATACTTGCGTAAGCTACCAGCTACAAGTTTACAAAATTGTAAAATCCTTTAGATATACATATACTTATATATAATAAGGAAGTATTTTCGAGATCAACGTGAAATTTTTACAGAAAATCCAAATTTAAAAATTGTTTTAAGTAGTGAAAAAGTTCAGAGAATTTTTCGCTTCTTACAATAATTGATTTTTACCTTAAAAAAAATCTATTGTCGCAATTCTGTTAAATTATCATTAAAAATCAAATTTCACTTATCATTACCTTGAATGATGTGCGTTGTTTTCGACGGTTTTCACTTTTCAATTTTTCACGCAATTCCTTGTTTTTCGCGTTTAGTTTTCCGGAATCGTTTTTTTTTTTTTGTAATCGTAATCGATGAAATTTACAAGGATCACAAAATTTTACGCGTTTACCTCTTTTACCACATTCTGTCTTCATTACGTAACCTTTACAATCTAAAGACCTAAAATAAAAAATAAATTTAATAATAATCTATATATATAAGTTAAATGTAACTAAATACTGCAAACCTGTATTCCGATTCATCACTAGCACATGGTAGAATATTTTCCACCTTCTTCAGTATATCTGCAATATCTTTCACATTTTGTGCAAAATTTATATTATCCACATGTACCTCCTTTCCTTTCAAAAAAATCTACCAAAAAAAAAATATATTGCAATTATTACACACTTAATAGAGTACGTACAGTATTTTCTTACCTTCACTATCATATTCGAAGAAAGTACAACTAGTTGCACACTTTCTTCAGAGCAATCTTCTTTCCAGTAATTCCATATGATTTTGCCCTCTTCTCGCATCATGAACCAGTGACAGGAAGGCAGTGGTATACAATGAGCATTTTTATAAATTACATCAAAATTAATTTCTTTTTCAAAATCGTTATTATGAGGAAAATTATGTGTTACTACAATCACACGTGGAGTAGTTTCACTCTTTTCAAATTTTTCAAAAATTTTGGGTGTAGCACCATCCTTTAAACGTGCACGTACCGACGGTAAAGTAAATTCATTTCCATCATGTCTCAAAATATCATTTTTATCAAAATGTAGCTCACAAATGGCATGATGTTTTTTCAAATTTTGTCCATTTGGTACAATTTCCTGCCACCTTCTTAACACCACTTCCTATATAACATTTAAAAAATAATAATGACTTGAAAAAGTATCCGAAAAACACTTTTTAAAATATTAATCTTCATTCGCACACTCCTTAAAAATTTTCACTATAATTAATACATCGTTCTCTATTTATTTTATTTTTTTATCGAAAGTACGAATTGATTTAGGTTTTTTATTTTTAAATATAAAACAAATTTTTCAATTTGACATCTTAATTTTTGAAAATAACTATATATACAGTAACGTTTTCAAAACGTTTTCAAGACAAGAACTTTATTTAAAGAATTACTTTTTTAATTATCCAAATATAATTTATACAATTTACAAGATTTACTAAGAAAACAGAATAATTAATACTCACCCTGTTTGGACGAAATAAACTAATTTTTCTCTCTGAGTTTTCCTTTTGATTTTTATAGTCCGAAGACTTACATCCGCGTACAAAGCACGTCGGCATTTCAATATCACGAATTTTGAATTTGATAACTAAAACTAAAACTCCCAAACACGAGAAATCAAAGAGCACTATGAAAAAAAAATAAAAACAAACAATGACGAATATATTCATTAATGCATACACTTGACAGTTATATGACACGCGCCACTGTTTAAATTTAGAGCTTACAAGAGTTTTCCGCTAGGAACCGCTAGTGAGGTTAATCCTAGTTGAAGCAATTAATTTCCGGAAAATTGGACTCGCCTTTCTATGCTTGTGGAGCCTCCTTATAGGCCTAAGCAGAATAGATTCTTGAACGGGAACGCAATCGTGAACGGAAACGTAAGAATGGGTGAGAGAAGAATAAAGATATTTGCTATCCTTCTCTTACACATTCTTACGTTTCCGTTTACGATTGCGTTCCCGTTCAAGAATCTATTCTGCTTAGGCCTTATATTACTTCGTGCCTAACAGCTGACTTGAACTCCTTGGCCCTCTAGTGTTGAATGTGGTAATTATACATAGTTTTCAATTTGTATTATTGTCACATGTATTTTTTGAATTTTTTATTCTAATTTTGTTTTTATTAACTGTAGAAATTTTTCACTAGTGTAATGTCGAGAAAAAAACACAGTGTAGCATTTATTAAGCCTGATGAACCGAAATTTTTGAGAGATTTAAAAATTCAAGCTGGATATAAAGAAGGACCTACCGTTGATACTAAGGTAAATTATTAAAAATTAAATTTTTCTAAATTTCATTGACACTTTTCTTTGTTTTATAACAAATTTTAATAATTTCTTTTTATCACGGAACTATTTATTTGGTTATTGTTCTTAATGTTAATCAGTTTGACAGCAAGTGTCAACATAACCTCTTTATTCAATACATAATTTTATTGTAGTTTTGTGTTTTATTATATATAAATGTTATAAATATTAGTGCTATTAAAATAATGGTATTTAAAAACAAAAGAATATTAATTTTTAATATTTTTAATTTACGTCGCGTTTTTTTTCTATAAAAAAAAAAATTTATTAAAAAATTTTTTTCAACCAAATAAGAATAATTTATTTATTTAAATTCAGAGAGCAGAATTACCAGAAGCTACTGAAGAAGATTTTGAAGACAGAGAAGAAGAAAAACCTGTAGTTGTAGTATTAAATACTGGAGATTTAACCGCAGAAGAAGCAAATGCTTTTCAAAAACAAAAAGAAGAAGGTAAATTTACAAGTTTTGTAATCTAATTAATATTATAATATATTTTTGTTATAAATTATATTTCACAGTTGTATCAAAATTCCATTTATTCATTCTAAATTTTAAAATTTATTTTTTAGAAGAAGCAAATGCACCCGCTGATCTTTCAAAGCCGATAATTTTTCGTAAAATTAAATCATCCTCAAAGGAATCAAATGAGACTGATTCTCCTGTGATTAAAAAACCAAAAAAAGAACAGAAGAAGATTATTTTATCCTTTAACGATGACGATGAAGAGGAGGAAGATTAATTTTTATATTTGAGAACTTCAATGTTACATCGGTTAGTTAAAATTTTTCAATTTTTAAATATTTTTTTACAACTTTTATTTTTTTCCATTCAAAGAATACAAAAATTAGGAAAAATGTTTATTCAATCAAATGATGAGATAAAGAAAACTTAAATAATAAATTATGAAAATCACAAACTAAAAATGAATAAATTTTAGCTAATTTTCTTTTTATTAAAAAAAAATTAACAATATTTCATTATAATATAATAACAATTAAATAATTTATTATAAAAAAAAGATTTGATAAATTTTTCTTACTTTCTTTTAAAAATTAAAAAAAAATTATAAATTTTTATTTCATTACAACAATAATTTTCTCTTATCTATGTATCTTTTTTGCTTTAAAAAAAAGATGTTTAAAAGAATAAGAAATTTCAAATTTTCAAAACTGAAGAAATATTCAAATTTCAAATTTAAAACCGCTCAAATTTAAAAACAATCGAAAAGTAAAAATTATTTAGCCTATTTTTTAGTTATTATTTTTTTTTTTTAAATAAAAATTGATAACTCTCGTGATAAATTTCCGGTAACATTGGTAATATTTCAATGTATTTGAAAATTGACAACGGAAAATTTCCTTTTCTTTTTAATGCCTGTATGAAGTACGTCATTAAATTTGTGCTGTCACGTGATCATCGCCGCCATTTTGGCAGTTTGCGACGAGCAACGACGACGGAACGAGGTGAATTCGTGACGTCGCCTTTTGCCCAAATAAACATATAAAATATATAAGTAAAAAATCTCAATGTAAAAATAATTTAAAAGACATCGATAAAGTCTTGAATGTTTTATGTGTTGTTTTTTTGGTGTTAATTGATAAAAATAAGTGTATGTAAATAAAGCGTTTTTTTGAGGGGGCGAGAGAAAAAAAAAAACGCGTGTTGGAAAAAGACGATCCTCTCGTCGAACCTCTCTTTGGACGGCGGGATAATCACGATCGGACGGACAGCCGACCATCACGGCAGCTGTTCGACTGTTCGAGAATAGTAAGCAATAATCCCATTTCATTCAAAATTGGCGGGATTCATACTTAATACTAAAATTCAATTACAAGGATTTTCATTCAAGATAGGAAAAAATTTTTTTTTGGATTTGGTTCGTAATTTTTTGGTACACATATTATATATAGTGGAAATAATACAATTGTATACAGGGCTGTAACTTTTGTACAGGGCACCATGCACTTCTCTCTTCTCCCTTCTCCTGACGCTCTCCCGCCCCCTGCCACCGCCACCCCTTACCCCGGGCGTCGTCATCATCACGGCTTTTCACAAAACAGTACCCCGCATTCGTTGCAAGCATTTATGTGCTTTTCTCTATATTAAATGTTTTAAGGAAAAATTTTTCTTTCCTCCCTTTAAAATCATGTAATATGATCATTGTGAGTTTTGAATACAAGAGCACGTGCTTCATATGTTTTCGCGGCAAAATTCAAAGGCGCCAGTGATTTTCGCGGGAATCGTGCGAGATGTGTGATCTGTGATTTTCTCTTCTCTTGAAGAGAGAGAGATCAAAAGAGGTTGGGAGAGAAACGTTGGCGAAGGCCGTGTAGCGGATAGGAGATAAACGTAAGGAATAACGGCAATGGCCGAATAGAACAGTTATAAATTATTTATACTTCGATTTTATTCTCATATTTAACAGATGAAAATCGTATTGTCCAATTGTTGCTGTTTGTCTTCTAATTTTATATGCTTTTTATAATTAACAAAGGGAGAATTCTCAATATTCTCGATTAAATAATAATTCGAATATTTTTAATTTCTCAACGAGATGACAATTTGCATAAAACATGATTTCATATTTGTTTCATTTTATTAGATGTCAATAAAAGAAAAAAATTGTCAATGATGTAAAGTAGAAGATTTAGGTTATAAAAAGAAGATAAAAATCAAGATCATTGCAGGAGTTAGAAAACCGTTATTCAGGACTCGTTGATGTTAGAAATGGTATAGGATCCTCAAGCAATGTAGAGAAATCGTGAGAAAGCTCATTCTACTTTTATCCAAGGCACCCTTGAGGAAAAGATTATTGACTCCATTTTTCTTGTAAAAAGAGAACAACAATACGGCCCTGGGACTAAACTTTTTTTTTTTTTTTTTTTTAACATATTTCTTGTGCATGACGCCGTAACTGCCCTCTGTCGTAGGATTTTTGGCTACGATGAACCTTCTCCGGGTGATGATTTACAGGTTCCCCCAGAGTGCATCAGTGCTTGATTTTCAGCTTTTTTTGGATTATTCAAATTAATTGAATTTGTGTTGATTAAAAGTGTGTTATTTATCTTGAAACAGTGTCAAGGAACAAAAAAAAAACAAATGTTCCTGATCCGAATGCTTCCTTGAGCAACAAACTCAGGGTGCAGGTGCGTGTTCCCCTTTCTGTCAGTAAGATATAATTTTCCAGATTCTCTTCTAAGAAGAAAATCTTCTAATTGATCTGTTTGTTTTTAAATAATTTATAGTGTTTGTAAATAATTTATTGTATACAAAAGTCCTTTTGGATGATCATCTCGTGTTTAAAGTGCCACGCGATCTTCATTACTCTAAAAGTGATTTAGAGGTTATAATATATATTTCTTATAGGAAAATGAAATTGTTTGAAGGAAGATAGGAATTGAAGGGGTTTATTTAGTTACTTTCATTTAAAAGTAATTTTTAACAATTCTTCTTTTTTTTTGTATGAAAACTTCCTTAAAGTGTATATGTGTGTTCGCGCGTGTGTGTGTGAGTTAGTTGTGTATGTGTGTGCACGCGTTGTTTGCGCTTGTGTGAAGAAGTTCAGTTCCTGTCGGTGACGTTCGAAGTACGCTTCTATGTGTGGCGGTAGGTGTTGTAGGTTGTAGGTTGAGAAGGTTGAGGAGAGGTGCAAAGAGAGCTGACTAGCTCTCGTCTCGGACGCGGTGGCTGACAAGAGCAGGTGATTAAAAAAAAGTTAATTCTGTGTTTCCTAGTGATTAGGACGCCGATTTAACGGATCGACGCTTGTTCGCCAGGACGATTTTTCCGCCCTTTTTGGAGCATCTGCTATATTTGTATGGCGTACATATTTAAAAAAAAAAAAGTCGCATGAATCCTCGACGTGTCCCCTCTTCCACCCGCAACAGATGCAAGTGTTTCAATTTAAAAAAAAAATAAATAATTTACCATTACGATGATTCCAAAAGTGTTTAACGAAAATTGAGTGTTGAGGTAATTTTTTTAAATCACCTGGTGAATGATGTCGGGATTTTTTTCTTCTCTTTTTTTTTTGGTTAGGAACAACGCGCGCCCAACCGATCCGGGTAGTGCGGAACTTGTAGAGCGCCATTTTGAAAAATTCTAGCCCGAACATCTTCAACAACCCCCCTCCGATTATGATATGACGATGCAAAGATGATTATTATAGCGGATGTAGAGGCATATTTTTCTCCTTTACTTTCCGGGATCTGATCAAGTACCTTTTTCTTTTGTTCTTGGTTAGATCTGTCAAACAGCGGTGACCCCCAATGGAAGGCACGTTGGAAGATCCCTTGGTCAAGGACCCATGTCAGGATGATGCTGACACTCTTTTGAAAGGTATAATTTTTTAATGATTTTTTTAGTCGATTTTAAGTTTACAATTTTTAATAAACCAAAATTGTTTTTTTTTTGTTGTTTATTTTTAATTTCTTCATGGATAGTAGTGTAAATAATATTTAAGAATTTTTTTTTTGTAATCATTTAAAGAGTTTTAACAATAATTTTGTATTATTATTATTTTTTTTAAATCGAAATTAATAAAATCAACAACAGATCTAACCTCACTTTTGACAAGTATTTGTTTTTTTTTTTTTCTAATTGTAATGAATTCTCAATATTCGTTTTTATTTATTTTAATTCTATTGTGATTTTAATTCAAGTCAGTAATCGATTTATATTTCAATTTTTGGAAAAAGAAATTCAAAAATATTTTAAATTCAGAGGTTTTTTTGAACAAGTCTTTAAGTGATTACTAAAATCAGATATAAATATCGAAGAAAGTGGAATTTATCGAATTTGAGAACAATAATATGATTTGTATGTTAAAAAGTCTTATCATACAAAATAATTGGAATAATTTAACTAAGTCCAATTATTTTTAAATATTATAACAAAACAAGGAGCTTATTTTGAAGAAAGTAAATTTTTTGTTCAGTTTTAAAATAGAAACGAGTTAGTAGAGTAGAAAAAAATTTAAATAATTAAAATTAATTATTATTAATATTATATATAGAAAAAAATTATTTATTTATAATTTATATTTAATTGTAAAAAAAATGGATCAAAATATTAATTTTTTAATCTGATTTATTTCATGAATTATTATTATTGTTGGGAATTTAAAGTTTTCAAATACTAATAATGAATAAAAATACTCTGCTAAGCGGTGTGCAAAGATTTCCAGTGAATCCGAGTACTCTGATTGGTCAATACACGAAACTAAGCGCCATTTTGTTTCTAGTTAAAAGAATACTACTACTACTACTTCATTTAAAATACATCAAATAATTTTTTATCAGACAAGTCCAATCAATGTAAAAATTAGTTTTTTTTAGCATTCTCAAAATCTTAATTTCATACTTTTTCTATGCGTTCCTCTTTTACCAATATTGAATTATTAATTAACATTTATTAATAGTTTCCAATGATTTTTATTTGTACCTTAAATTCTTGTATTATTGATTTTTTTTTTAACGATGAAAAAAAAAATAAAGAGCAAGAAGAATTAATGATGAAAAGAAACTTAAATGATTAAAAACGAAAATAATTATGAATTTTCTTTTCAAAGTTTTAGATTTTTATTTGGAATTATATAGAAAATGTATTTTTATCATTTGATCAATGAATTTTATACGTTTAAAATTATTGCGGTCAGTTTGAATATTTAAAAAGCTTTTCAATTATAAATAAACTTGAATTCTAATATATGAATTTTTTTTGCTTTTCTTTATAGACTCGTCAGATAAAATAATTCCAAATGGGGTCAATGGAGGTTACGAGGATGGTGATGGCGAAGAATTTGCTGACTCGTGCGAGGAACAAAATTCACCGGGAAATAAAGAAGATGAAGAAGAGGAAGAGGAAGAGGTAAATGAAATTGACGACGATGTTAATGAGGAGTCAAATGAAGATATTGGTAATGATGATGATCCTGAAGCAACAGAAATAGAATCAAAGGATAATGATAATTCAAATGAAAATAATGCAGTGGGTGAAAGAGTCATTGAAACTGTTAACGATGATGATGATGAAGAGGAAGAGGAGGAGATGGATAATGAAGAAGATGTTGAAATGAGAGAGGAATTTGATGATAATCCAGAGGATTCACAAAGTCGTGAATCAACGAGAGAAAATGTAGATAAGGATATTGTTGAATTATCGAATCATTCAAAAATGTCCGAGGAAGTGTTAAATGGACCTGAGAATGTTAGTGAAGTGTCGAAAATAATTGTCAAAGAATCAAATGTTGATTCAAAATGTGATGAAGCAATGGACGTTGACGCGCAAAGTAATAATTCGGATGTTGAGTGCTTGGACGAAAGTATCACACAAATTGATTCAGACAATGATGATGTTTTTACAATTGACAAACCGGGTACAACAACAACAAATAAAAAACGAACTTCAGGTAGTAGCGATATTCAACAAATTGATGAAAGTGGTGAAATAATAGATAGTAGTTTAGATACATCGGACGTGAAAATATGTGAGGAGAACGGTAGTATTGGTAGTCCTGATATTGAAGAAATAACAGATCCTTCGAAAAGTAATGGTCACAATTCTGAACAAGATGGTTCAACGAAAGGTTCACCAAAGCAGAAAAAACCAAGAAAACAATTGGATCTTAGTAATATAACACCAAGGCGTAGTTCACGAAATATTAAAAGGACTAGTTATATTGAAAAAGAACCTGAGTTGGAACCAGTAGCGCAAGACGATGGCTCTGATATTGAGGAAATAAAAATGGAGGATCCTTTAGCTGGAATTGATATTAAAGATAAAGAAAATACAAAAATAAAATCACCAATCAAGAGTAGTAAAACAACAATTGTTGTTAGTGATACAAAGAGGCTCGTGGAAATTGCTGCCAGTAGCAAAGCCTCCAAGGGAGGAAAAAAAGAACCCACATTAGTTATAATAGACACAAATTCTATACTCTCAGGACGTGGTGGTGTGCCGATTAGTAGTCACGCTAAACCCCATTCAGTTCCAAGTTCAACGTCATTCTCAGTTGTTCCAATGAGTATGGCACCACAATCAATGTATCCAAATATGAGAACAACCATTACACCCGTACCAATGAAATCATCAACAATAAAACCAGCGACAGTTACGCCAATACATACACCGCCACAAGTTTTACCTGCATTAACTGATGATATGTTTGTCGTTGAAGCACCGTCCTTCATTGTACCTTATGTATACGAAAAACCGCCTCTAAATCCAATGAAAGAATTCCTCGCGAAATTAAAGAAAGGCATCGAGGAGGTGGAAAAAGAGGAGAAAAAAGCCGCTGATGAGAAAAAAGAAAAAGACGATAACGATATTGACAGTGATAATGAAAGTGAAAATAGCAAAAAAGACGATGCCGATGATGATAAATCTAAACCAGAAACAAAATCCGATGACAAAAATAAAGTACAAACATACTTTGAATTGCCATTAGGAAAATTTTTCATGCAAATTGGAATGAATCTTGTACAAGAATTTGTTCAAACTGATTTATTACGAACGCAAAAAAGAAAACAGGGCAAAGGTACACCATCAGCCGAAACACAAATGGCCATTAATTCACTAATAAAAAATTTAGAATTTAGTAAAGAAAATAATGAACCATTCCATTTAGAAATGAAAAAATGTGAATTTTGTAATTTTAAAACAGAATCAACAATAGTTATGCAACATCATCTTGAAACACCGCATATGAAAAATTATGTTTATAAATGTAATTTTTGTCCAATTGAAATACGTAGTCCACATGATATTTTATTTCATATGGAAGCTGAACATAATGCACGTGGTCGTCTTGAAAGAGGACCGGCATTTCATCAATGTCCAAATTGTCCATTTGAAGATAATCAAAAGGGTAAATTGACGCGGCATAATATTGCATGTGCAAAGAAATTTAGACCTGAACGAAATTTAGAACCGGCAACTGATTGGGAACCACCGGCAAAAATACCAAGATTAAATCGTGCACGACAATCAATGCCAACAAGTCCAAGTGCATTGGCAATGGCAATGAATGCAAAAGGACAACAACCATTATTACCGAAATTATTACCGGCACCAATGCCAGGACGTGGACGTGGTCGTCCACCAATGCAACCAAGATATACGGATTTAAAATCATTGCGACCAGGAACATCGCCAATTCGACAAGGTAAGATATAAATTATTGAATCTTTTTTTTTTTTTCAAAAATTACTTGGGTTTTTCTTTTTTTTACAATTGAGAACATTTTTTTTTCAGAAGGTGTCGCCAGTATGATGTATCGACCAACATCATCCGGATTATTGGTACCCACTGCTTATCAATTCGGCAGCAACCAAATATTCCAGGTGATTATTAAATCAGGGTGTCTAACGGTCAGGGAAAAGTCAGGGAATTTCAGAAAATTTCATTCAAAGTCAGGGAAATTTCTGTTAATTTCAACAAAAATTAAAATTTTTTGTGAATTTAAAAATTTTTTAATCTAAAAAAAACTTGAATGGTTTTTATTACCGTTACTACCATTAGAAATTAATTTATTGTTAAATATATCAGTAACCATATTTTTGTCCAAAGAAAGCAGAAATGTTATTAAAAAGTTAGGGAAAAATCAAAAAATGTCAGGGAGGAGTCATGAAAAAGTCAGGGAATTTTTTTCTCAATCCTTGTTAGTAAATTTTTTGCTTATTCTCTAACTTGAGTTTTTTTTTACGATTTTTCAGTATGTGTATTTTGCGTGAAAATTGCCACATGTTAGGGGAAAATATTTTATTTTAATTTTTTAATTAATTTCAAAATAATTAAATATTAACGAGATATTTATAAATGGAAGACTAATTTAAAAATCTAATCCCAAAATTTGAGAGATAATTTTTGAATTTGTGACGAAAAAAAAACATCGTTCTAATGTTATTTTTTGATTTATGAGAAAAAAAAAAAAAAATTTTATGCAGTTGTTAAAAGAGTTGATTATGGGTGGTAACAGGTGGTGGGTGGCTCTGGGACTGTCATGTCTGCTGTATCGGGGGTGAATACCACCAGTGGCGGCAGTTCCGGTCGTACCGCACCTATTGCACTTGTATCCAACGTAAACGACTCTCAGTCTAGGTTATCCCTAACACAGGTAAATAATCGTCGGCAAGCAATTCCAATTCACATAAATAATTTTATAGTGAATTCGCATGGATGACGATGTGTGTTCGATAACTCCTCATATTTTTTTTAATCCCTTTTTTTTTAATCCATATTAAATGACTTTTTATTCTGGGTTATTTAAATCAAAATCCATTGGTTTTTTTCATATACATTATTTGTAAATTAACTCCACAATATATATTCTCTTTCTATTTATGGAAACAAAATAATTTTGCATGAATTTTTTTCAAAAAACAAATTTCGCAGGTAAAGCTATTTTCCAAAAGAAAATTATACCCACCGCCTGTTACATTGAATTTTTAAAAAAATGTGAATACAAAAATTGGCTGAGATAAAGTGTTTTTTTTATTTAAAAATTTTATTTATTATTTGTCAAACATTTTGATAAAAAAAGATGATTTTTAATTGTGAATTATTATTTTACAGAATCCAGTTGCAAACTCCAAAGCTAACTCGTCAAAGGCATTACCGCAGCCGAGTATATCAATAACACCATTGCCACGAACAGTGCAACAACAACAACAACAGTCCTCTGTTTCGGCAACATCGTCAAGACCCGCTGGCAACAAAAGTACATTTGTCATATGTGAGATTTGTGACGGTTATATAAAGGTAAGAAGAAAGAAAAGAGAAAAATAATTAAATTAACTAATTTATGAAATATATTTTTAAATAAATTTAATTTAATAATTGGATGCTTTTTTCAATTTATTAATAAAAAATTTCTTCTTTATTAAGGATCTAGAACAACTTCGAAATCATATGCAATGGATACATAAAGTTAAAATACATCCAAAGATGATTTATAATAGACCTCCTTTGAACTGCCAGAAATGTCAATTTCGATTCTTTACAGATCAGGTGAGAATTACTTAATATTTTAATAAAATATTTTTTTGTCATTAGAGAGAATATTTAAGAAAAAAAAATTTCTTATTAAAACAGGGTTTGGAAAGACATTTGTTGGGATCTCATGGACTTGTTACGTCAAGTATGCAAGAAGCTGCTAACAAGGGTAAAGATGCAGGTCGTTGTCCAGCTTGTGGCAGGGTAAGTTCAAATTTGTTTTAAATAAAAAAAAAATTGCTTTAGTATCATATTTAAAAATAATTTAATTATTTTATTGAATAATTGAATTAATGAATTAATGAAATTTTATTCAATATTTTTAATAAAATTTGTTTTTTAAACTGAATTAGAAAATTTTGATGGAAATTTTTATTAAAATTAAAAATGAAATTTTTTTTAAAATTGCATTTATTTTCTTTCTCTAGGTATATCAATGGAAACTGTTAAATCATGTAGCGCGGGATCATGGTATGACTTTGAAACCGGCTCATTTATCGTACAAATGCACAGTTTGCACTGCCACATTTGGAATGTATAAGCAGTTTGAAAATCATGTCTACTCGGCACACAGTGTTGTCGCTAAGCGTGTTATGGACAAAAAGAATGCACCATCGTCACCATCAAGTCGTTCCAATGATTCACTATTGAAACCATTGAAAATCAACGATGAGATCACTATTATTCCACAACCAGCTAAACCAACTAGATCTATTCATGGTCGAGGTAAATAGCAATGATCAGCCGAGTGACACGTGCAACTCGTTTCATAAAAATTTCACATAACTTTGTGGTACTCCAATATTGGTCTCTGTCGTTTGAAAAAAAAAAAAAAAAGAAACTAACAGTGATCGACGCGAAGTGTACATGTGTATGCATATTATGCTTAAGGCACACAAATACAGAAAAAATTTGAATACACACACACACAAAAAAACCGATACATACAATTCTCTCTCTCTCTCACTCTCTCTATCTATCTCTATCTCTTGGCAAAAAATACTGCGATTAAATATTCTATCGACGATTATACCGATATATTTATTTAAGAATTTTTATTGTTGTTATCAGACATAAAGAAGAAAATAGACTGTAAAAAAAATATTGATGAAAAAAAAAGAAAAGGGTGGCCTTCAGTATGATTTCTTCGTTGATCCTCGAGTCGTGCAAATCCTCATTAAACGCGCCTCTCTTGATTCTTAGTAAATCTTACACAAATATATAAATATACATATATATTCGTGTCTTGTCATATAAATGGATTTCCTTAAATATTTCGAGTCCTTTTTCTTTGTAAAACAAGAATTGAAAAAATATCTTTCATTTGAATCAGGGTATTGGAATTAGATTTTTTTTTCTAATCAATTAGTAATTAAAATATCATTAATTAAAAAAAAATTGATATCTGATTCTAATTGATGCAAAATTAGTAGAAAAAAAAAATTAGAAATTTGAAGTATTTCATTAATGTTGATTTTTCTCTAAATGAATCTTAAAAACCATTCCCTTTGTTCTTTTTCAAAATGAACAATCGCACTCGATTTGAATATCACGATGAAATTTTACAGGAAAATTTAACTGTAAAGTGTAATCTAAGTTGGAGTTAGAGTGTCATAGAAAAGAAATATCCAGTTTTATTTTTACGCTCTTTAAAGAACAACAAATTGTACATTAAAAGTATAGAAAAATATAATATAATAAAATATCAATAAAACGGATACACACATATACACAAAACACACACAAACATAAAAATGTGTTTTTTTTTCTATTTTTTTTTTTTCTTCTAAGTCTTGATTTTCTTCTTTACGAGTCGAAAATTTTTTCTTAAAGTTGTAAACGCCAAACTTTATGCTAAATATATAAGGGCCTGTGTTGTAAAAAACATCTAAAGAAGATAGAATTTTGTTTTCACTGGGTTGAGCGAGAGGGAAAAAAAATTAGTGAAATAATTTTTATCTCTAAAAATGCGAAAAAAAAGAAAAAAAACACACTACGATTTAATAGGCTCATTATTATTATTATATTATATTAACAATGTAGATAGTCCTTTTTGTGAATGATGAAAAGAAAAGAGAGTAACGGGTTTAATTTAAATATATAATTTCGACTTCTCATAATTTTTGTACGTTACTATATAGGGAAAAAAAAAAAAAAATATGAATAATTTTAGAAGAGAAAACGTATTTCGTGCGGAGGGTATAATAATAATTATAATAATAAAAAAAAAATGATTACGATGTGCTTTTGCACTCAGGCGGCTGTATTATTTAAAAACAACAAAAATACAAAAAAAAAAAAAACTCGGCTATTTGCCAGCCACTATTAACGGTGATCAATAATATGTTGGTAAAAAAACTGAGAGCATTCATAGACGTAATTACAGAAATTATATAGTTTACTGTAATAATTTGTACAATATATGAATAATTAGTGATTGCGAAAAATAAAAAAAAAAAAAAGTGTACCAACATTGTATTAAAAAGAAAAGAAAAAAAAAGGTAAAAAAATACTTCGTCGTTCAGCGAATTTTTCAATTTTTGTGTTAGTCGATCAATTTTTATTCTTAATGCGATCGCTTCTTTTGATCTTGAATATTTTTTTCTTTAATTTTCCAATTCTTTCTTTTTTTTTTTTTTTAAACGGAAAGTTAAAATAAAGTCATTTGTTTTTATTATTTATATATAATATTACATAATATTATTTTAAATATAAAATAAAAAATAATGAAGAAAGAAATCAATTTGAAAATTAATTAAAATGATTTGCATAATGTTAAATCAGTTTAAGCGAATGTTAATATTAATAAATTCGCTTTAATTTTAATCGTAAAAAGGCTGTAAATTTAAAAACAAATTTATATTTTATTTGCGTCCATTTTAAAATTGTATTTGTACAATTGATAAATATATATATTATATTTTTTTTTTTACTATTGACTAAATTTAGCTAATTTTTTTTTTTATTAAAATGAAATTTTTGAGTTGACTGCTTTAAAAAGTTTTCTATATACTGATTTTAGATCAAATTTACAAATTTGTATATTTTTAATTCAAGATTCAATGCGAGTGTCGCTTAGAGAAAATAATTATTACAATTATATTATAATTTGTCGATCCAAGATTCGGACTTGTTCAACTCTTTGCGAGAAAATGTAGAATTTTATTTGTTTGTGTAAAAAAAAAAAGAAATTAATCGAAAATAAATCATTCTTTTTATATAAAAAGCCTTAGGCTGACGATAAAAAAATGTTTCATGAACTTTAAAATCCGTTGTAGATTTTTATTTTTCAAATTTCATTATAAAAAAAATACAAAAAAAAAAACAATTGTATTTTAAATATTTCTCTATTATAATTAAGAATTTAATCTCATTTTTTTTTTAATATAAAAACTAAATTTCAAAAAGTAGAAATTATGAAAATTTAAGTACAACGAAATTGGAAAAAAAAACTCTTCCGAAAATATTTGTTTTTAAATTTGAATATAGATATTGCGAAACTTCCTGTTTCCGTTTAACTAACCTCAAAAAAAAATTAAGTGCGCAGTTGAGTAGCGCAGTGTGCGTATATACAACCGGTAACCGGTGAAAGAAGAAAAAGGAAACCGAATATCATTTGGCGCCGAATTCTCAATGAAAACGGTCGAAAAAAGAGGGTGAAAGTCTTTTTTGTGTTTTGGATATCAACAAAATTGCTGTTAAAATATTTTGTTTTACATTAATTATCTATAAAGTGAAACAAATACAAGAACAATGACGGATTTGCCGTTTTCTGTGGAATACGCAAAAAGTGGTCGTGCAGGCTGTAAAGGATGTAAAGAAAATATTCCAAAAGATTCTTTGAGACTTGCTGCTATTGTTCAGGTAAATATTCGTCAAACAAAGAAAATATCCAAATACTTGCGTTCTTATTTATAAACTGATAAAAGAATTTCTAACCTATAATTATAGTTAACATATGTACGTTTATTATCGGGTTTATAAGATTATTTAATTCTCAAAAAAATATTATTGCGTAAAAAGTTTTAATTTTTAAAGCGTCTATTTTTAATATAATTCAGTATTTTTTCGAAAACAGTAGAATAGGAAATATTTATGATTTATGGAATGATAGTCTTGCAATATATTTCACAATTTTTAATGCGCATTATGTTGCCTTTTTAATAATTTTTGGAAATAATTTATTTAATTTTTTTAGAGTCCTTTCCACGATGGAAAGATGCCAAAATGGTTTCACTCAAAATGTTTTTTTGCAAAAAATCGTCCAAAAACAACTGGTGATATTGCTCATTTTGATAGTATTCGATGGGAGGATCAAAAGTTTATCAAGGAGCAAATTGGTATCTATTTTTTTTCTCTTGTTTTTTTCCTTATCTTTTTTCAGTTTATTTAATTATTTAATTTTTCAGATGGTAATGATTCAGGAGGTGCAGCTGCTTCGGGAAATTCTAAAGAAAGTAAATCAAGTAAATCACGAAAACGAACACTCACTTCAAATATTAATGATTTTATGGTGGAATATTCAAAATCAAGTCGTGCTAAATGTCGTGCTTGCGAGGAGGTTATAATTAAAGACGATGTGAGAATATCAAAAAAAGATTACGAAAGCGAAGAGGGTAGAGCATACGGTGGAATTGATCGTTGGCATCATGTTTCTTGTTTTGTTAAAATAAGAAATGAACTTGAATTTTATGATGAGGGTTCTTTAATGCGTGGTTTTAAAAATTTATCAGCTGATGATCAAAAAATGTTAAAGACAAGCATTCCAAAAATGAAGGACAGCGAAATTCCCGATGTTAAGAAAATTAAAGTTAAAGATGAACCCGAAGACGCTGCGGAGGAGAAAAAAATGAAGGAGCAAAATAAAAAAATGTTTAAAATTCGTGATCAATTGGCAAATTATACGAGGCCAATTTTATGTCGATTATTGTCTGAGAATGAACAATTTGTTCCCGAAGGCACATCAAGAGTATTTTTCTTTTTTTAATTAAATTTTTGTCTCATTTCTATAAATAGTAATGTTATTTTTTTTTTTAGCTTCAAGACATGTTAGCGGATGTAATGACATTTGGTGCTTTAGAACCGTGCAAAAAATGTGATGGACAATTTAAATTTAAATCAGGCGTTGGATACGAATGTAAGGGCGACGTTAGCGAATGGGCCAAATGCGAGGAAATTGTTATCAATCCAAAGAGAAAGAAATTTGTCATTCCTAAAGATCTTAAAGAAAGCGATAAATTTTTGTAAGTATTTTTAATTTTCCTTTTGTTTCAAAGTAAAAATAATTTTTTTTGAATAGGTCTTCATACAAGTCGAAAGTGGGCCAGAGAATTGTAAAAATAACAGCACCATCTGTATCGAGTGCTGTTAAAAAAGAAGACGTTACCGATGGACCAAAAGTCGATGCTGGACCAAAACCATTGAAAAATATGATTTTCCTATTTGCAGGACGTCTTAAGAACGACAAAGATGAATTGAAAACGAAAATTCTTCGTCTAGGCGGTAAAGTTGTGACAAAACTTGACGATACTGTCACTGCAGTAATTTCCACTGAGAATGAAGTGGAAAAAATGAGTGTTCGTATCGAAGAGGCAAAATCATTTGATATTCATGTGATTTCCGAGGATTTTGTCAATGAAGCCGAGCCATTGATCGATTCTGCCGTTCCTTTATTACAGCAAAAAAGTATTTGCACCTGGGGTGGTGATCCAACAATAAGAATTTCAAAAATAGCCGCTAAATCAAATGCAAGTCGCGGTAAAAGTATGTACGAGAAAAAATCAAGTTCAGGAAAAGTTAAATTACGTATAAAAGGAGGTGGTGCCGTTGATCCTGACAGTAAACTCGAGGATGTTGCACACGTTTTTCAACGTGGTAAAGAAAAATTCAATGTCAATTTAGGTATCACCGATATTCAAAGGAAAAAAAATAGTTATTATAAAATGCAAATTCTTAAACATGATACAAGAGAGAAATATTGGCTTCACAGAAGTTGGGGTCGAATTGGAACAACAATTGGAGGAACAAAAACAGATGTTATGTCCCTTGAGACATGTATTCAAACATTTGAAGAGCTTTATGAGGAAAAAACTGGTAATACCTGGGAAAGAAGAGATAATTTTGTTAAAGTACCAGGTGCAATGTATCCAATTGATCTTGAATACGGTGACGATGCAGATAATGAAAATCTTTTCCAATCGGATCTTAAGAGTAATTTACAAAAACCCGTTCAGGATTTAATTAAATTAATATTCGATGTTAAAGCAATGAAACAAGTGATGAAGGAATTTGAAATTGATACTGATAAAATGCCACTTGGTAAATTGTCGAAAAAACAAATTGAAAAAGCCTATGGTGTATTAACGGATATGTTAAATTTAATAAAAACATCAAATCCAACACGAATTCAATTAATTGAGGCATCAAATCGATTTTATACACTTGTACCACATGATTTTGGTGTTAATGAACCGACAATAATAAGTACCGAGGAGGAAATTAAGGTAAAAACAGAAATGTTGGAATCTCTCATGGAAATGGAAATTGCTTATAATTTATTGAATATCAAGACAGATGAAACTAAACATCCAATTGATGCTCATTATGAACAACTTAAAGCCGATATTGATGTTCTTGATAAAGAGAGTAAAGAATTTGATATTATTCAACAATATGTTAAAAATACACACGCTTCAACACATCAACAATATGAATTGCAAATTGAGGATGTTTATATTGTCAAAAGACAGGGCGAGGATAGAAGATATAAACCATTTAAAAAATTACAAAATCGCAAATTATTGTGGCACGGTTCAAGAACAACGAATTTTGCTGGAATATTGTCGCAAGGTTTACGTATCGCTCCACCTGAAGCACCTGTCACTGGCTACATGTTCGGAAAAGGTAATATTTTTTAAAAATTATATTTTAATTTCTTTATTTAAATTTTTTAATTTTCAGGTATCTATTTCGCGGATATGGTTTCAAAATCAGCGAATTATTGTTGTACAAATAGTGCAAATCCAACGGGTCTTCTTCTTCTTTGCGAAGTTGCTCTCGGTGAAATGTATGAATGTTATCAATCAGAATACGTGGAGAAACTTCCAGTGGGTAAACATTCAACGTTTGGTCGTGGTCAAACGCATCCGGATCCATCTGTTATTCACAAAACAGAGGACGGTGTTGAAATTCCATATGGTCCTGGAATTAATGCTGCATTAAAGAAAAAATCTGCTCTTCTTTACAATGAATACATTGTTTACGATGTCGCTCAAGTTAAATCACAGTATTTGGTCAAGACCAACTTCAAATTCAAGTATTAAGAAACGCAAGTTTTTTTTCGTTTTCTTTTTTCTATATTAAAAAACAGACCTTTCTCTTTCTAGGGGTCTTGTTTCTAAATTTTTAAAATATTTACAAAATTAAAAGTAACGATTAATTAAATCGTCCAAAAAAAAAAAAAAATAATTTAAGAATCGAACAAGTTAGATCATTAAGGGAAAAATTTTTTTGTATTGTTGGGATTAAATTATTAATCCTCTATTAATTACTTAAAAATTCTTTTTATTTAAAAAAAATATAAAGTTGAAGTAATTTCTATCTGCAAGTTCGATTTTTTTTTCTTAAAACATCGATTATTTACATTGTGTTTAGTGTTTAGTGAAAGATAATTTTCCTTTTTAGTTAAAAAGACTGAAACATTCAAGCGAATGTTGTTATGTCTTTATCTAATATGCCTTAAAATTTTATATTATTGTCACGAATAATTGTTGCCATATTTTTTGATAAAAAAAACAAAATCTACTTTTCTATTAAATTAATAATATTTACTCGTTTTGTCACGTAAGTTATTTTTGTGTCAATTATGTTTTAAATATTTATATCTAGTTAATATAAATATTTATTAAGTTTAAAAAAAAAACTTTTACAGTTTAGAAAAATATATTCCAAAACTGTGTAAAGAATACATTTTTGATAAATAAAACCATATTTCTTTTACACTATTGCATTTATTATTATAAAAAAACATTTTTGATAAGAATTTTCTTTTTTTTTTCATAAAAATACAAATATTGTGATTATAAAGAATAAATTGGCACCGAGATAAATTATAAAATTGCAGATTTTATTTTGCACTAAGTGGAAAAAAAAGTCAAATTAGGTATATTTTTTTGCACCAGGCGAAACAAATTAAATTTTTTAATACGGTTTTTTTGCACTAAATTAAATTCTAATACTCAAAATGAAAATCGTAATAAGATTGATCGAAAGTATTGATTCGAATGTAACCATCTTCTCCGCCTGTTGATAAACTGCGTCCATTTGGATGGAATGCCAATGAATTAATTGGACCAAAATGACCTTTTAAACGTGCAAATTCCTCCTCGAAAACCAAATGAAATAGACGAGCGTCAAATTTGCCTTGTCGTGCCGATGTTGTTGTTACATCCATAGCATCTTGTCCACCGCCCAAAACAACCTAAAATCAAATCGATTAAGAATTTTTCTTTTCAAAAAAAAAAAAATAATAATAAATAGAAAATAAAACTCACATGATCAAGAATTGGTGATATCGTTGCTGAATTAACGGGTCTTTCAGTTTTATATGTTTTCAATAACATTAATGAATCACTATCAAAAAGTTTCGCCGTATGATCTTTTGATGCAGTGACAAACATTGTTCCATCTTTATTCATTTGCATATCGTTAATTTGCGTTTTATGTCCTTTATTTGTATTTATTTTCTTGCCGGTCTTTAAATAAATTAAAAAAATGGTAAATTTTTTTTCTTTTAATAAACATATGGAAAATAATTATTTTCTACTTACAGTAACGTCCCAAATATTAATGACACCATCCTCATGACCTGTGATAATTGTCTCCTCTAAAGCACCCCAAAGAACAGCCGAAATTCTTGGACCATCGATTGAAATTCTATGAATTGTATCTTGTCTCGATAAACCCGCATCAACATTTCTTGTGTCAATAATAAACATTTCACATTGATGACCAAGCGCTTTATCAGTACTGTATACTGTTAAATTTCCCGAATAACTGAACGAACATGTTCTCACTGAACTGTTTGTATCGAGTTTACCAATTACTTTTCCTAATTAAAAAAAAATACTTTACTCCCAGTTTTTCGGAATATAGACTGTTGAATAAAATAATTTACCTGTTTCACAATCCCAGATCATTAAAGTATTGTCACCACTGCCTGACATAAAACGAGTTGTATCCCAATTAACATCAATACACCATACTGAACCATTGTGTCCATTAAAAGTACCCAATCTCTCTCCATTTAACGAATACCAAACATTAGGTTTTTTATCCTTACTAGCCGAGAATAATAAATCTCCTTCTCGATTGTATTTAATTTTCGTTATCGCACGCTCGTGCCCGTGTAACATTAACGGTTTCTAAAAAATAAACCCAATTTCAATCATTAAAAGAAAAAAAAAAAAAAATTTCTAATTAATTAAAAATCAATCTTTTAAACCATATGGAATTTGGAAAATTTTTAAATAAAAACGATACACGGTAAATTTTGTAGGTTATGTAAACACATGCTCCAAACGTTGTTCTTTAAAACATTTAATTGCTCGAATTATTTACTTCACTTCTTACTTTTTATTAATAACTTACCATTTTTGTAATTTTTATTTACACTGCTTCTATTTTTTTTCTATATTTATATAAAAAAAAGGAATAAATATAGGATAACAATATAAAAATGACGAGAGAGACAGATTAATAAAAAAAATATATATTATCTAGATAGGAAACTTGGTAACTCAAATACGGGACAAATTATATTCTCAATTCTCATTGGTTGGAAGAAATATTCCATAAGAGAATTTTATCAAGTTTCTATTCTTAAAAGAAAAAAACTTTTTATGGTAGAAACTCAGTTCCGTTCCGAATTTGCGGGACATTTTTGGGAAAAGTGAAAAATTGAATTGAAACGCTCAGCATGTCAGAGGTCAACAATCAAATTCAAGTTATTGAAAGAACATGTCTACAATGGGAAGATTATCAAAATCAATTTTCTGGCGTTGTTCGTCAATTATTGGAAGAAAATTGCATGGTGGATGTTACACTATCTGTATCGGGACAACGCATACTTGCACATCGCATTGTTCTTTGTGCTTTCAGTACTTTTTTCAAAGTAAACATTTTATTGTTTTGTTTTTCAAAAGAGAAATTTTTTTCATAAATACTAGTTTTGTTCTATTTTGACAAATTTTAAACAAAATTTTAATATTAAGAATGTTTTTTATTTTTTTCAGGATTTGTTAAGTCAGGTGACTGACGATCATCCAGTTATTATTTTAACTGACATGACTCCAGAATGTGTTAGAGGAATAATTGAATTTATTTATCAAGGAGAAGCATATTTTCCCGCTGATAGTATAAAAAATATTTTGGATACTGCATTTTATCTTAAAATTGCTGGATTAATGGAGGTAAAATAAAAATATAAATTGAATTTTAATTTGTAATTCGACTTGTAAATGAAAAATTGTTTTCTTTTTTTTTTCAAGTATAAAATCAGTGAGACAGTATCAAAATTAAAGGAAGATGAAATTAATGTACAAGAATCGAATTTAAATGAAATTGAAGATGAAGAAGTATTAGATGTTTTTGAACATGTTTATGAGGATACAAATGAACAATCGGAACATAGTGCAGAAGAGAATTCGGATAATAAAAAAAGAAAACGACGTTATTCAATGAAACGTGAATATAGTGAAGATATGCTTGCTAATGCTATTAGTAATTTACGCGATGGACAAACATTAATTGAAGCTGCTACAAAAAATCATATTCCACGTTCAACATTGTATATGCGAGCAAAAGCATTGGGAATTCAATTACAAGCTTGCCGAAATGAATATCCCGCTGAATGTATGAAAGGAGCAATTGATGCTGTTATTGGTAAATCAAAATTTTAGATCTAAAAAAAAGATAATTATATAATAATAAAATGCTTGGTCTGTCCTTCTGTCCTAACTTGAAGTTGGTCTTTTATGATATCACGTGTTTTTTGAATAGTAATCTTATGACGTGTCAAATTTGTGTCAAATTAAACTTGAAAATTTTAGAAATAATTAAATTTCAAAAGATATTGTTAATTTTCAAACAATAATAAAATTTTACAGAACTAAAAATAATTTATCAAAAAATTTTTTGGAAAACATTTTTTAAATTTAATTGAATTTAGAAAAGATTTAAAATTGAGATTTTAGAAATTAATTGAACTTCAAGTGATTTTAATTAAAATTTTATATGATTTCACTAAAAAATTTATTAGAAATTACAGACAAAATACAATAATTTGATAATCATTTTTAATTGAAAAATGGTTTCAGATAGTTGAATTTTCAAAGAATATTATAAAAATATTTAAAAATAATTGAATTCCCTTAGAGTTATAATTGAAATTATTAAATATCAAAAAATTTTCGATGGAAAATTTTAGAAATAATTAAATTTTAAATGCTTTTAAATTCAAATTATTGAAAATTCAATTAATTTTGAATTCAAATTTTTTAGAATAATTAAATTTTCTTTAATTTTGATTTGAAATTTCGGAAAATAATTAAATTTCAATTAAAATTTTGGATAATAATTCATTTTTAGTCGATTTTTTATTGAAAATTTTAATAATAATTAATTTTGAATTGAAATTTTAGAAAATAATTGAATTCTAGTTGATTTTGAATTGAAAATTTTGAAAATAATTGAATTTTCTTTGATTTTGAATTGAAATTTTGGGAAATAATTAAATTTTAATTGAAATTTTAAATAATAATTTAATTTAAGTTCATTTTTTATTGAAAATTTGGATAATTAATTTTGAATAGAAATTTTAGAAAATAATTGAAGAATTTTATTTCATTTTAAATTGAAAACTACGAAAATAATTGAATTTTAAAAGATTTTGAATTAAAAATTTGGAAAGTAATTGAATTTTCTTTGATTTTGAATTAAAATTTTGGGAAATAATTGAATTTTAGTTGATTTTGGAATTGAAATTTTGGAAAATAATTGAATTTTTGTTAATTTTCAATAGATAAATATGGAAAATATTTGAATTTTAGTTGATTTTAAATTAAAATTTCGGATAATAATTGAATTTTATGTGATTTTAAATTGAAAATTTGGAAAATAATTGAATTTTTAAAGATTTTGAATTAAAAATTTGGAAAATAATTGAATTGTCTTGGATTTTGAATTGAAATTTTGGAAAATAATTAAATTTCAATTACAATTTTAAATAATAATTCAATTTTAGTTGATTTTTGATAATTAATTTTGAAATGAAATTTTAGAAAATAATTTTATTTTATTTGAATTTAAATTGAAAATTTGGAAAATAAGTGAATTTTAGTTGATTTTGAATGGAAATTTTGGGTAATAATTGAATTTCATTTGATTTTAAATTGAAAATTTGGAAAATAATTGAATTTCAAAAGACTTTGAATTTAAAATTTAATAATTTGATAATTAATAATCTGAGGCCTATAAACATATAATTTTTATTTTTATCATTTAATATGGAATAATATTCTAATAAATTTAAATAATTATTTATAATATTAATTTTTAATTTCTCTATAACAAATAATGAAATACTCAATTTGGCGCGCTTACGCGCGTTTAATATTGCTAGTTAATAATATAAGAATAATATAAATTTTTTTTTTTTGTACAGGAGGATCGAGTTTACAGACTGCATCCGAAATGTTCGGTATTCCAAAAACAGTTCTTTGGCGACGAATGCAAAAAGAAGGATATCAAGTATTTCGTCCTGAATTGAAAAGAACTTATGGTTCGGATAAAAGAGAAGCTGCTGTTAAAGCATTGGAACGAGGGGAAAATCTCTCCAAAGTTGCGCAGGAATATCAAGTAAATAATTTTTCAAATTAAATAGAAAATGCCTTTTTTTTTTTTTTATTTTCTCTACATTGAAAAAAAAAATAATTCTAGATACCAAAAACAACATTATTTCGTGATAAGACACGATTAATTGATCAAGGTAAATTGCCAATGTCATTTTGGAAAAAAAGAAAAACGGAAAATGAAGCGGTTAAACGATTTCGACTCGAGGAAGCCGTTGCGGCATGTAAAAGTGGTAAAATGTCACAAGCCGCAGCATCAGTTTGTTATCGTATTCCAAAAACAACAATATGGAGACGATTGCAGCAAGATAATTCGAAAAATAAACGAAAATTAAAATCTGATGGTACAATTAATACAACGGCAAATACAATAGATACTGATGAATTCACATTTTGTGAGGTAATAAATTTTGGGAAATTTTTTATTATTACACTATTAAATATTATAATTTAGAAATTATGAAAAATAGAGAATGAATGAAAAAAAATGATTTGTTTAGGTTACGTCAGGAATTCCAATAACGTATATAGATGAAAATAGTATTCCCGAGGATTCAGTTATAATTCTCACAACTGAAGATGTTGAGGAATTGAGTTTGGAAAATAGGACACAAATTATTGTAAATTCGGTAAGATTTCAATTTTTAATTTTTATTTTTCTAGTTTTGGTAATAAAATAAAAAATTGTACATAATACATTTGTATTAATTGTACAATTAATAACTGAAATATAATTATTAATATCTAATTTTCAGAATGTTAATCAAGAATTTATCACTAATTCAGAAAGTGATTCCACTTATACTGTTTCGAAAAGTTAGCAAATGCTTCTTGCAAAGAATGTATAGCTATTAGATTAATTACATTTGTGATCTACGATACGAAATTTAGTCATTTTGTTTCTAAATTTATATATACGTATATATATATATATATATATATATATATATTTAAGGTATGTAGAATTTTTTTTTTAGTTTTTATATTGCAAAAAATTTAAATAACATTCTATTAATAATAGGAATTTTGATTTTCAAGCAATATTTCTCTTTCAACATTTTTTTTATATATATATGTTTATTATTGTATAAGTTTTGCAAATATTTAGTTCTTTTCTTTCTCTTTCTATAATTATTAATTAGAAATAAAATACAATAATATATATTTTGCAATGATAAAATATTTAAGACATTTTTTCAAAATGTTTAATATACATTAAAATATTATTAATATTATTAATTTAATAATTTTCATAAATTGAAATGTAGGGAAAAAAATGTTTTTTAAAAAATAAAAAGTGAAAATTAAAATTATTAAATTTTATTTATTATCTAAATAAATTATATTAATACGTATAAGAAATTTTTTTTTTAATATCAATTCTTTAATGATAAACTGAATTTACTTATGTGACTTGTACTAAGTACCTTTGGGTTGAGTTTCAATTAATATTGATTAATTTTTCAGCTCTGTAGACAAAGCACACATTTTTTTAATTGATAGTTTATAAAAAAAAAACATTGTTCTTATAATTATTAACTTATTTAAAAAAAATAATAATTTTACAAAACTTATAATAAAATGAAAAATTTTAATTGTTATTGAATGATTGTAATTTTCTACTGTAATTTGTTTCTATGATTCATTTGTAATTTTTAACTTTTTTTTTATCTGATTTTCAGTTCTTTGAAAGTTGATAAAATATAAATGTTTAAACAGATGTTTATATATATAAATTAATTAATACTGGTGACGAATATGACTACGAAATAACTCTTGCCGTATAGTTATATGTGTATATAGTTTATTTTGCATTTGTGTTTGGGAGCTCAGTAAGCAAACGCTTCTCGTACGCGTCGTGTCGTTGTTGCCTGTCTCAGTGCTAAAAGAAGAAAAAAAAAAAAAATACTAAACAAAACAAAAGGTCAGTGAATTGTGTAACTTAATTTTCTTAATTTATCATTTAAAAAAGAATTATATCATCGAAAACGAAATTAAAGTATATAAATCAAAAAACAAGTTTCATTAAAAAAAAATCAATATTCGCCGGTCTCATCAGACAAAATTTAATTATCACATATTGATTAATATTGGAAAAATATTTATAAAAATCTCGGGGAAATTTTTTTTTTCGGTAATTTATTTTTGTTAACAATTCAATTTATTTTTATCACTTGATAAAAAATGAAATTAGTAATGTAATTTATTTAAAAATAAACACTTTTAATTGAATGATAATATAATTTGATAGAGTTGAAAAAAATATTTTTTTTTTCTTTTAAAAATGAAAGAAAAAGGTTACCTTGATATTTAAAAAACATCAAGGACAAATTTTTATCGGAGCATTGTAGCTGAAAATATATTAAGTTTAAAAGAATGCGTATCAAAGATTTACTTTCTTTTTTTGAAAGGTCAATTTTTTTCCGCCCAAAATGTTGAAAATAAATAAAGATCTAATATTGATTAAATTTATTTATATATATATATATATATATAACTTTGAGAAAAATAATTATATATTAAAATTGTTTTTTAATTATTTTTTTGGTTGCCAATTTTTAAAGATTAAAAATTTTCATTTAAATGCGTAGGCGTAGGCAAATGATAAAATTTTACATGAATCATAATTAGTACATTGTCTCTTGTGTTTGGAATTAAAATAGTCGTTTAGATTATTATGTGTATAAAAATAGAAAAATGATGTAATAAATGAGTTACACTTTTTTTTTCTAATATAATTTATGTTAATCACAAGATTTTTATGGTTTTCAAAATGATTTCTCATTTTTTTCTTCCTTTTTTACAGAAAAAAAAAATATTTATTTAGAAATTTTAATAGAATTTACATCTGCAGTAAAATTTACTTTAAAAGAAACAAATATTCTAAAAATACATCTTTTATAAACAGTAAAAGCGACCCTTACTTTTTTTTTCTTTTTGAAAGACGAACTACGCAACATGTGAAATGGCTGCAAGTTCCAAGAAATAAAATAACTTTATGGATCCACGGGAGAAAATTTCCCACTGTATGCGTTTTAGTAAAAAAAAAAAAAAATCGAAATTATTTTCAAAAGACTTAAATTTAAAATAAAAATTTATATTTATTAAATTTATTATTGAATTATTTGAAAATGAAAATTGATTATTTTTTAATTGAAATTAAAAATACTTTCATTAAAATAGAGTGATTTTGAAATAAATAGTTTGATTATAGTATTTAAAAAAAAAATAATTCTTGCTTTTTCAATTTAAATAATCACAACGGCTTAAAGAAAAAAAAATTATTTTTTAATTGAAATTAAAAATACTTTCATTAAAATAGAATGATTTTAATAAATAGTTTGATTATACTATTTAAAAAAATATATATTTCTTGCTTTCTCAATTCGAACAATCATAACAACTTAAAAAAAAGAATTTATATCTATATAGATCTGAGGAAATAACAAATTTATCATTACTTATCAGACAAAGAAGAAAAAAAAAAGACAATTTTCCTGTGCAAAAATGATGAGTCAATTTTAAAATTCTGGAGATTAATTTTTACAAAAATTTTTACAAGCAAATATAATAATAATATAATTGTTTAGTTACGTACGCGATAAGATCAACCTTTTTCAAGAATAGATTGAAAATTTGCGAAAAAATTTTTTCATTTTTTTATTATCTATTGAGAAAATATTTATCTCTACTTTAATAAAAGTGATGTGATATCAAAACTTAATTATTATCTTTTTTCTTAACAATATCTAGATAGTGTTCATGATAACAATAAAATTTAATTTAAAATAAAAATAAATTTTTATTCGCTTGTTAAAAATATTAAAAATTAATTTTAATCCGAATAATTGAAATTCATTTGCATTTTGGACTTTTTTTTTTAATATTACCTTGTGACTTGACGTAGGAATGTTTTCCCACATCGTGTTCGTTTAACCCATTTGCAAAGCAATAAAAATACATTATCGTCTTATCATTGTACAGTCATTCCGTGTCCTGCATATGTCATTCAATACCTGAAAAATATACAATACCATCAGTGTAAATGTAACATTTATGACTAACGCTGCAATTTTAATTGATATGAAATATTATGAAAAAAAAAAAATTCCCAATTATAAAATTCTAGTTTTTGGAAAAAAATTACATAAATGAATCAATGCAGGAAATATTGTGCAATCTGTAATTAAAAATGTTGAATAAACAACTAGAATATAGACAACTTAAAAAATGATGGAAATAAAATAATTATTCAAAAATATCGATAATAGATTTTAAAAATTTAATTATGAAGAAAATTTTCAATAAATTATTTATAGTAAATATTGTGTAATTAAATTTTGTTTATATAAAATTAAAAATTTCATAAAAAATTCTCAATGTTTTTTTTAATTATCAATTTTTTTTTTGATTATTTGAAAGTATCTAGAATGTCATTATTCAGAACTGACTATAATGAAAGACGATATTATTACTGAGTGTAAGTTGATAACCGGTTAACAAGAGTGAATTATGTATATATTATGAAATATAGGAATGTAAATTTATATTCTCATGTGAGAGAAAATTATTTAAAATATATTAATGCATAGTAATTACTTTTCAATTTTAAATATTTAATTTACGTGATTATTTGTTTAGGAAATTTTTTAATCAATAATGTGGTTTTTTTTTCTTTACTTTAGATTAAAGATCAAAATGAGTAAAGCTGGACCACCACCACCAGGATTTCATCCTCCTCCATCCTATAATGACGCAAATATGCCACAACTACGTAAGTTTGTTTTATCAATTTTTTTTATGAGTCACTATTTCTATATTCAAATATTATCTATAGGTATATTTATATTATATTTACAAAAAAAAATTTCTCAAGATTACACATAAACGTTAAATTATAAAAAAATATGTAAAAAATATTAAATAATTAATAAAACATTTTTTTTTAATTTTTAATTTAAATTAGTTATAATTTTTGTTTAAAAATGATTAATTTTTTAATATTATTATTATTTATTATTAAACTTCAGCCTTTTGGCACAGAAGTGGACTTAGTTTAATACATTAAAATAAATAATTAATTTTTTAATAAATATTTATCGAATAGAAAATTTTTTCAAAATATCGAAAATTTTAATAATAATTATAATAATAATAATTATTTCTCACATTTTTCTCTTATAGAACCAAATGTTGTAATTGTTGGAACCCCAACACGTGCATTTGGACCCAGTTCACAACCAATGACATGTCCATATTGTCAGGCAAATATTTCCACACGTGTTGAATCGGAATCTTCAACAAAAACTCATTTATTTGCCCTATTACTCTGTATTATTGGGTATGTTATATCTAAAACAAAAACTCAACTTTTTAATTAATAAATAAGATAAAATAAATTAAAAATTTTAATTTAAATAAATAAATAAATAATTTTATTAAATTAATAATAAATAATTTATTTTTTTTCAGATTTTGGCCATGTGTTCCTTGTCCATATTGCATGGATTCGTGCTTAACTCAAAAACATTTTTGCCCCTCGTGTAATGCATATCTTGGACAACATGAAAATTAGTAATGGTATTTGAAGCCGGACAACATCGCAAGTTCATTCCACTGTTGTTACTATATATATATACCTAGATACAGTTCGAATGACCGGGGAAAATATCCGTCTATTTTATATATAGAGCTCAAATTTGCAACATTTAAAAAAATAATTAATAAAACTAAACTAAACTTTTCAAAAAGTATTTTTTTAAAAAGATAATAGTTTAATTTTTAAATGTTGCAAAATTTAGCTTTTGTCAATTTTTTCAAATACCTTTTACCCTCAAATTGTAATTTTAATGTTTTAATCACTGTCGTATTTTAATTTAAGCTGATAACAATCTCATCCTGATTAATTAGTCATTCGCAGTAAATGAAAAAAAAAAGGAAAACAATTATTCAATGTCCATCAATAGCGCAATTTGCTAAAACGATTCTTTTTTCCAGAGTTGATTAATCATTTTTAATTGTAATTACGTAAAATTGAAAGATTCTTATTTATATATATATTTAAATCTTGATTAATATTAATTTTCAAAAATTTTTCCATTCATTTAAAACAAAAAAAATTTTTTAATATACTTAATACATTCCGGGAAAATATTTAACTTTAAAACGATATATTAATTAATTACGATTAATTACTACTGAAAAACTGCGATTTGTTTACTATGGGAAAAAAATCAAGACTGACATATATATTATATTTTATATACGTCAAACACAATATATCTCTTAGTAAAAATATTTTTTACAAAGAAATCATTTGGATTTTTGATAAAAAAAAAATTCTTGACTGTGTTTTAGTGTCTAATAAAAATGTTCTTAATTTTAAGCAGTTTGTCGCGAGATTTTTTTTTTTTAATAAGTCATTTGCATTAATAACTGACAATGATTTTTATTTTAATAATAAAAAATATTTAAAATTGTTGTTGTGATAAGATGTTGTTTCGGAAAATATTATATATTTTGAAAAAAAAAAAATATATTTTAAAAATATAGACTATTGAAATTGTAGCACGTTTCATAAATGCAGCGTGAATATTTTATAAGTTTAATTTTAACAAATATATAAAATATACTGCTAAGTGGTATATAAGGAAATATTTTTATCATATATAGTTATTTTCTACTACATAATTATATGCAAAATAAATGTTAATATTTTTGCAGTTGTTTAATGAAAATATAAAAAGTATTTACTTTCAAATTATTAATTTTGTCTTCCCGTATTGAAAAAAAAAAATTGATTTTCAATTTATTGCTACATTATTTTATTTTACTCATTATATACTTTGTGCAAAATAATGTTATTGTGCTGTGAAATTAATAATCATCAATAAAAATTGTTTTTGATCAAATATTTGTTTATAAATATGCTTTTTGTATAAAAAAAAAATGCTAAATATTTTTCAAAAATGAGCAATATTATTTAGTTTTCAAAATTAAAAAAAAAACTATTTAATGTTTTAAAAAAAATTAAATTTCTATTAGGAAAAAATTTAAAGGATATTTTCATGATGGAATAGAAATTGATTTTTTTAATAATTAAAAAAAACATGTCGATTTAAAATTTGCAGATATTATCTATTTTTTTTTTAATTTAAAAGGACGAAAATCACAATTTTAGTCGTTATTTTTTTTATGTACAATTATTAATAATATATGGGCAGTACTTTGTGATAGTCAGAGATTTATCTGGGAATGCATTATCAAAGCACTCTTTTGCAAAAACGAAATATTTAAAGTTAATCTGCATTAATTATTATTTTTTTTTAAAAAAAAAACCTATTCATAGATCCATTTCTCTGCCCAGGAAGCCCAGTCAATGGTTTCTTTTTTCTCTTTATTAGCACCAAACCATAAATCAATTTCTTTGTTGGCAGATTCCACTGAATCAGATCCGTGAATAATGTTACGACCAACCTGGATACAAAAATCGCCACGAATTGTTCCTGGTGCTGAATCCTTTGGATTTGTCTCACCGAGCATTACGCGACCAGTTTTCACTGCATTCAAACCTTCCCAAACCTGAAATTTTCATTATTTTTAATGAATTAAATTGAAATTAATTAGGGAAAAAAATTTTTATTAATTTTTTTGTTAAATTGGAAAATTTTTTATACAAACCATAGGAACAACTGGTCCAGAGCTCATGTATTTGACTAAACCAGGGAAGAATGGTTTGGATGACAAATCAGCGTAATGCTTCTTCAAGTGATCTTCAGTTGGCTGAAATAATATGAGTAATTAAAAATCATTAATTTTGATATAAATATAGCAATATTGATAAAATTAAATTTTTTCTATTCAACAATTGTAAAGATAAGAATGGTAATAAATTAAATTCCTCTTTCGTAAGCTGTAATCATAAAAGTGCAGCTCAACTTTCATGAACGTTACATAAACATTATATTGATTTAATACTTTTAAAAAAAAAAATTTCTTACAACACACATTTGTTAAAATTAAATTTCTTATAAAAATAACGAATTCAAAAAATACTGTTAAAATTATCAAATATTCTATAAAATATGTTTATAATTATTTACAATATCTCAAGTAAATTTAAAAAAAAGACTACAAAATTTAACCCTTTAAAGAAAAGAACCATTTTAAAATTAAATAAACGTAAAAAAAATTCTTTTATAAAAAGTAAAATCGATAACCACGTGTTAAATTCTTTATACAGAAGATTTACATGGCTGATTGTTGCAGTGACTTACCCAAACCATTTTCATGGCAACCAATTTGAAACCCTTATCCTCAAAGCGTTGGATAATTTTTCCGACAAGTCCACGTTGAACTCCATCGGGTTTGATCATAATAAATGTACGTTCTTTATTTTCTGCCATTTTAATGTTAGAAATTAAATAAAATAATGTCAGCAAAGAGATTTAGAAAGAAATGCCAACTGCTTCAGAAACCGGTCACTTGAAAAGTAGATCGAAAACGGAATCAAGTGGAATCTGGAATGTATTTTGATTTCCTGAACAAGAACTAATGGAATTGAAACGGATGCGTGATGTCATAAAATTCAAAATTACTTTCTTAATATAGTGTATATAAAAATTTATTTTTTTTAACAATTTATATAAACTAATAATCATTAAACCATAATTTAATTTCTTCATTAGAGGCTTCAATTGAATCTGATGCATGAATTACACCGCGACGAACATAAATTGAATAATTTCCACGAATCATTTTCGGTAAAGCATCTTCTGGAAAAGTTGGCCCTATTATCAGTCTTCCTATTTTCACAGCATTTACTCCTTCCCAAATCTTAAATAATTAAATTTAATTACTTTTATTTCAAATTTTTTTAAAGGAAAAAATTATAAGAATTTACCATTAAAATTACAGGACCGGATGTCATATATTTTATGTAACTGTCAAAAAAATCACGATTTTGCAAATGTTTGTAATGTTGCATCATCAAATTTGCAGAAGACTGAAATTTTTTTTTATCCCATCAGAAAAAAACATTTTAAAAAAAAGGTTAAAACAATTTTTATTAATTTACCAATATCATTTTAATATTTAGTAATTTTAAATTTTTTTCTTCAAAACGTTGAATTATTTTTCCAATAAGTCCTCGTTGTACTCCATCGGGTTTAATCATTATAAATGTACGTTCAATTGATTCAATTTCTTGAAATAATTCTTCCATGTTATAATAATTAAATTTTTACTTTATAAACAAAAAGAAATAACAAACACTCGAAAAGAACACCCACACACAAGACACTTGACGCAATTGTCACATGTCATAACAAAACAATAAATGTAGGTTAGGTTTGTCTATTATGTTTATTATTACGTTTACTAAATTTTCTATTATATTTTTCCTTAAATAATATAATAATATCTACATATTTTAAACCGTAGAAATTTCGATAAAAAAAATCTTTTCAATTATATTTCATTTCTGTACAATAGAAAAGACGAAATTAATATTTTTTTTAAATTTCCCTCCAATGACGTATACTTCCTTGTGACTCAAGTAGTGCGCAAGATTACCGGAAAATTGGAATCGGACATTTTAAGTCTCGAACCCAGCGTTTATGGATCGATTCGTCCATGTCGGCTGTTTTTTCGCGGGACATATTTATTATAAATAAAAATTATTATTTCAATTAATTAATAAATTTATTCATCCACTTGAATTAAATCTATTAAAATAATAAATTTATTTGACAATTCATTTAAATTGAATCAAGTGAATTCTTTTAAGAAAAAAAAAAAAAAATTGAACTTTTTAATCTCGATCTCTGACAAATCTCAAAAATCATTATGGCGGACAATGTAAGGTCGCATTATTTCTTTTGTCGTTAATTATATTAATTTTTTTTTTTCGAAAGAAAACAATAATTAAACTAAGTGACGAGGAACTCGTGCAGGGAACGAAGCGACTCGATAATTGAAGTGAACATTTTGATTTAATTGACAAGTGACGTATATTTGTGAAATACTTATTACAACAAAAGCTGAAATGCAGGCACAACAGCAACAACAGTCGCAAAATCATCAGCAAATTGGTGGTTCGAGTGTCATTCTCAAAATGAATGAAATTCAACAATTATCTACAGCTGGTGAGTATTCCAAATTTTTTTTTTTTCATTATCGATTAGTGTGATTAATTTTGGAAAATTAATTTTTTTTATTTATAATTTCTGTTGAAACACGTTTGGTTAAGTACCTATTACAAGATTATTTTAATTCAGTATTTGTAACTTAATTAGATTTGTTTGTTTTTTATGTCAAATATTTTTTAAGGTTGAATTTGGTAAATTTATTTGGAAGATTCCATTATGAGAAATTTGGTTTTAAATCCTTTTTGTTCCTGTCAAAAAAAGCTATACAAATTTTGTTTTTTTTAGATTTGCTTTTTAAATTTCTAACATACAATTTTTTTTTCTCGTCTAATTAAAAAATATATTCGGAATTATATTTTTAGGGATTATAATTTTTGATAGATTTAGATTTATTTTCTTTATTTTATTCTAAGTTTTACAATATAATTTTCCCTATCAATTTCCCCTTATTTATAACAATTTAATTATTTATAATAATAAAATCCAAATAAATTAATTTATATTTGATATTTTAATAAAATATTTTTAATTCTTTTTTAAATAATTTTTAAATGTTATTGATTTGTTCGAAGTATATATTTTGATTTGAAAATTAAAAGAATTTCAACGAAAATTAAAAAGAATTTTTTTTAATGGAATGACGAATTCTGGTTAATGATTTTTTTTTAAAATTAGTTTACATATATTTGCATACACTTGTATATGTATGTATGTATCTATTGAACCGATGTACGCGATGAGGAAGGGTTCATTTCTCCCCTTATTTCCCCCTTCCTTTTTTCCACACAAGATGGAAATTTACAGCAATCCGACCCGATGATTTGCCCTTGCCCCTCCACCCGTGTGACGATTGGATGTCGAGGTCGACAAAGCAAATTGAACATAACCTATAAAGACTGTGTGTGGCATCTTTCTTAATACTCCGCATTTGACATCAAATATTTTTTATATAATAAAATTTAGAAAACAAGAAATAATCAGTTTGATAGTGATTAAGTCGTGTTTAAACTCTCTAATAAGTGATTCCAAGTTGGTTTTATAGTGATCATTGAATTATTTCCGAAAACGAGGTGAAAGGCATTGTACTTACTCCGAATGTTTCTTTTTTGACAATTTGAGAGATTTTTAATTTTAATTGAGAGTAATAAGACAATATTTTTTAATAAATTCAATTGAGTGTTTGTGGAAAGATTTTTTTTTTGCAAAGTGTAAAATAGTGAAAAGAGAGGAACCGTGTATTGGCGTTTGCGCACCGATCATGATGATTTATGACAGTTTATCAAAAAGTCAGTGTATTGTTTTAATTAACGAATCTGGGAGTATTGAGAATAGAATTAAAGACTTGCCAATTAATCGAGGTCGTGCAAATTTCCTTATGGCGCAGAATTTTCAATCGAAAGAATTGACAATGAATAAAGAGGAGACTTCTGAAATGTTAGATAATAAAAGTTGGTTTCTCTTTTTTTCTTCCATTTTCTCATGTTTGGATTTTTAAAATTTATTTTCTTGTGATTTTTTTATTTTTGTAAAACACTTTTTTTTTAAATAATATTAAAAAAAAACCGATTTTTTTTTATTGAATTTGTTTCTTTTTATTTTCCAAGGTCTTCTTGAATTGGCACACAGAGAATATCAAGCAGGCGACTACGAAAATGCAGAGAGACATTGTATGCAACTGTGGAGACAAGAAGCGAACAATACTGGAGTTCTTTTACTTCTATCGTCCATTCACTTTCAATGTCGTAGATTAGAAAAGTACGTATTTTTTTCTTTTATATTTTGTTAACAAAATTTTGTTTTAAACAAAAATTTTTATTATAATTTAATTTTTTAAATAAATAATATTGAAAAGAAGAAAACTAATTTTTAGAAAAATAAAAATTATTTATATTAAACTTTTTTTTAAATAAAATTTGTTTTTCCAGATCAGCGCATTACAGTAGTTTGGCTATTAAACAAAATCCACTTTTGGCCGAAGCGTACAGTAATCTCGGTAATGTATATAAGGAACGAGGTCAGCTTCAAGAGGCTTTAGAAAATTACCGTCACGCTGTAAGATTGAAACCAGATTTCATCGATGGATATATTAACCTAGCGGCAGCCCTTGTCGCTGCAGGAGATATGGAACAAGCAGTTCAAGCCTATGTCACGGCATTGCAGTATAATCCAGTAAATTTCATTTAATTTTTTTTACACGCAACTATATTTTAAATTTTATTATTTTTATTTAAAAAAATATCTTTTTTTTCCATTTCAGGATCTGTATTGCGTGCGAAGTGATCTTGGTAATCTTTTGAAAGCATTAGCAAGACTTGATGAAGCAAAGGTAATTTTTAATTTAATCCACACACACACAAATTTCAATGTGTTACCTAAAAAAAAAACCGCATAATTTGCATAGGAACGTTTGTCAATAATTCGTCTGTACATATATAAAAAAATTTTCCACATTTAACATAACATAAAAAAAATTTTTTAATTTTTCCATATATTGTCAGTACAGTTTGACGTTTTATTGACACGTTATTTATGCATTTTTTTGTGCGCATAAACAGTTAATGTTGTTCTAAGGAATTTTTGGAAAATATTTATATCAATGTAGTTATGCAGAAAGCTGTTTTTATATTTACCATGTTTTTTGCAATTATATGCGCGGCGCGCGATATTCGGATTTTTATATCAAATATCCTTTTTTTTTTAAAAAAAAAAAAAAGAGAGAAAAAGAAACCATTTGCATTCATCTGCCAATGTTTTAATCTGATTGTGATATTTCTTAATTACAGAAGAATAACGTCTCATTTCCCATCAGGGAATAATTCTACGATACACATGTTTTTTTTTTCCAATAATTGGAATTTCTTGTTTTCTTTATAGAGATTATTTTTAGATTTTTCAACATAATAATGAAGCTGATATATTATTATTGTATAAAAAAAAGAAATTGAGGCTTTCAAGTTGTGTTACGATAAAACAACATGAAAGCCACAGTGGCAGTGCGCGACTCATTGCAATTGCGATTATTATATTTTTTTCGCGATTGCAATGGGTGTAAATTTTTTGATTTTACTGATCCTATTAAATTTTTTTTTACTGGAAATAGAATTTTTTGATAAAAAAAATAAAAGAAAAAACTACTTGCATTATTTGAAAATAATTTGATTTATTGAAATAAAATAAAAGAATTTTTTTCATATTAGTCAAAATATGAAGTTAAAAAAAAATGTTATAGGATCAGTTGCGCGCGACTAGTTTTAATTTCATTTCCACCATAAATTTGTATCATCTTTTTTTTTCAAAGAGCACCTCACACATTCCATAATAATATTGTTTCACATTGTATTGGCGCGAGATCCCTTGACTGCTTTGAATTTTTTTAGATTTTTTTTTTTTCTCTGAAAATATTTTGTATTTTTAAGAATATTTGATTTTTAAAAATTGATAAAATAATCAGTGAATTTTTATTTGATTTTAATTGATCAATGAAACAATCATTGACATTTTTTGAAGCGTGAAAAAATTTTAAGTTATCAAAAAAGAATTTTTTTGATTTAATATCTTTTTTTTTTTTTGGTCAAGAGATCTACTGCAGCGCGACGCTGGCGATTATTGAATGCATTCAACGATGTTGTATTTATAAATTTTTATTTATTAAATTTAGTTTTTATGTTCAAAATTCAAATTAAGTAATAATTTTTTATTACAGTGTTGAATATTAATTTTTAGTTAATAAAAATTGTTTTTGAAAAAAATTCAAAATAGAATTTTGTTTTAAATAAAAAATTTTACATATTAATATCGTGAATGTAATCGATAAATTATTACAATGGTTATAATGATAGTTTTCTGCGACTCGTACAAGTAATTCCTGAGAACTCGTTTTCTTCTTATTATTTCTTTTAATTTTTCAACTCGTTCAGCCACTCAATTCTCATAAGCGGAATTTTGTCAATTTTTCTTTCTTTATTCAAAAAACGCAAATTTTTTTCTTTTAAAAAATTAAATCTCTTTTTATATTAGAAATAGATTATCAATTTTAAATATTTTTTGTAGAGAAAATAGTTTATAAAAAAAGATTTTAAAAAATAAAATAAAATTTTTCAGTTTGGAAATTAAAACTAAAAAATTGTTTTATAATAAATTTATTTAATTAAATATTTAGAAATAAATTTGCGATTTTAATTGTAATTAAATTTGAAAAAAAAATAATAATTTGCTGTCGTAATGCAAATTAATTTGAGAATTTAAAAAGTCGAAAAGTGGCTGTGACGAGTGATTACAAATAGCATTAGGATAAAAAAGTGATCGTGCTAAGAAGTTGCTCGACACTAGGTTTAAAAAAAAAAAAAAAAAATAGAAAGTTGAGATGAAATTTTTTGAAGAAAATAAAAAGAGATTAACGCAGCTGTCTTATTGTTGTGGATTGGAATGGTCAGCTCTAGGAATGGAATATTGGAGCATTGCAATTGGTTTCCACTGGTATCCTCTCATCAAAGGGTGATTCAGAATCTGGTTATTTGATAACACACACTTACACACTGTGTGTCTCTCTCAGTCTAAGTTTATTATGAGAGCTTACGACCCATACCTACCATCAAACTACCGAAGGGTTCTTTGCAGGTAAAGTAATTCCCGCGGCTAGTCTCTATCCCAAAAAAATATTAATCAAAATAATCTGATTTATTCCTTTTTATTCACTAAAAAAAAAACAGAAATTTTATGCAAAAAAAAAAAATATATATTCAATCCAGTTCAATTTTTGAATGCTGGTAAGTATTTTTTTTTTTTTAAATCAATTTCAAAACTAATTCGAAAAATTTATTATAATACAAAATTATTGTTTTTAATAAATTTATTAATATTATTATTACTAGTAAGAAAATTTATAAATGAAAAAAAAAATTTAAGTTTCTTTCCAATGATAAGTGAAATTTCCTTTCATCACATCACCAAAAAAATTTCCTTTGACATTTTCCACTGACCTTTTTAGAGACTAGCCAATTGATGATCCCCTTTTATTTTTTTTAGGTATGGATTACACTGTTTTATAATGCAGCCCACCTCTCGGCACGCGCGATACACTTGTGCTTTTTTCCTCTAAAACGTTTTGGATTAAATTTTAATATCACGCGAATTATTATTATTATTATTAATCTCCCGGAATGAAGAATGAACATTTTTCCAAATAAATTTTTCGTAAAAAGTATGAAAAAAACGAAGTTTAATATTAATGAGAATGCTGACAAATCCACCGGACGCATTCCGGAGAATTGTCAGCATAAAAAGAACAAAAATCCAAAACGTTTCGTTGCGCGTCTCATTAATCCTTTATGTTGAACCTTTCCAATTTTTCCTTTTGTTACACTGCAAATATATATAAATATATATATATATATTTCACGAAAATAAAAACAATAATCTTCTGAGAAATACAATTTCGTGATTTGTGACATTTTTCTCTTTTTTAACTCGTGTATTATTTGTTCTTAAAAATAGTTTTTTTTTTTCAAATCACGTTTCGTATTTCTTAGAATTTCTTTTTCAGACAGATCGTCTAGTGCTTGAATTAATTTCATGTTCTTGCAAAAGAGAATTTTCAATGAAATTTTTCCCCCGGGGGTCGATTAATTCTTCCTTTCTTTTGTTTGTGAAGAAATTTTTGTTTTGAAAAATTTGAATTGTTGGGAAAATTTTGCGAAAGAGCAAAAAAAAAAAAAAAGAAAAAAATTCATTCGAGCATTTTACGAAAGCTGCGGCGCGGCAAGAAGAGGTCGGGCAATGCGCGGCGCGATCTTTTTTGAGAATCGCGAACTCTTTGTATTAATAAAAAAAAATTTTTTTTTCTTTTTACCTAAACTCTAGGCATGCTATCTGAAGGCAATTGAGACACGACCTAATTTTGCGGTCGCTTGGAGTAATCTTGGTTGCGTTTTCAATGCTCAAGGTGAAATTTGGCTTGCGATACATCATTTCGAGAAGGCTGTAGCTCTAGATCCTAATTTCCTTGACGCCTACATCAATTTAGGAAATGTTCTCAAGGAAGCACGCATCTTTGATCGGTAAGTTGTTTTTTTTCTCTTAATTAGAAATTCAAATTTTAATATTTACCAATTAAATTTTTATCTACAAAAATAACATTTTTAGATCTTTTTTGATCGATTTATTTTTTCATTTATTACCAGTGTGATATTTTTTTTATTTTACCGCGAGACTCTATTTTTTATTCTCATATCCAATGCCTTGTAATTCGCATTTTATTCACATGAATAAACTCCACTGTGTGAAAATCAATTCCCTTTTGAAATTTGCTCAAATGAACGTGGGGTATTTCTTTCATGAACAAAAATAGTGGATCTAAAAAAAAAAGGTGATTAATAAAATCCTGTTATTTACCTATGTAGTAATTGAATTTCAGCTGATTTATTGTATGATAGAAGTTAATTAAAATTAATATAATTAAAATAACGAAGAAAAACAATAATCTATGTAAAAAAAAAAAATAGTAATAGAATAATTGAGAAAGTGAATTTTTTCGATTTCAATTAAATGTTATTTAACAAAGTAGAAATTTTATAAAATCATTAAATGAAATGGGGAAACTTTGAAGATTTTCATCTTGAAAATATTCTTTGATCCTTCTTTTTCTACGAGTGAAAGTAATCCAAGCTCATGACCAAGAAAAGAAGTGACTTTTATATCTTAAAGCTCTGAAAACTTTAAATGCAGTATCGTCTTTTTTTTTTTTTTTTCCTTTAAAGATAATATTTTCTGTCATTATATAATGGTCGTTTGAACTTCCATTACGTTTGTTTAAGATTCACGACGTTAAGTATGTGACTTTTCCAAGTTTTTCGCAAAAAGGATTATCGATACTATGAGAGGAAAAATTATTATTCAAGTCAATTTAAATCAAAAAAGAAGATTTATTCGTTGATAATTTATCTTTTAGGATTATAGTGTAATTTATATCTCGAAAAGGTTTTTTTTTTACAGTAACTTGACAATAAATCATATAAATATTCCCTTGAAATAAATTTGGCAACATTTCTTTTGTACTTGCATAGAAAATTGTGGGGGGAAAAAAACTTGAGGTACTTTGACATTATTAAAAGAAGAGACATGTTTCCTGGCCAAATATTTTTCTACTTATAAATATTTGCGAAAATTCTTTTTATCCATTGGGAATATTGGTATTTTTTATTTTACGATTCTTTTTGTCAATTTGAAAGTTTTTAAATTTATTATATCTTTTTTTTAATTTTATTTTATTGAATTATTTTCTTTTTTTTTATATTTTTTACTTTTGTCTAAGGATTTTATTTCTTTTTGTAGATTTAAAATTTTTAAAGAGCACAGTTTGATCTAACTGAGGTGTACATTTTTTTCAACCTCAGTCTTAAAGTCTGTGCAAAAGTAAAATTGACTCTTTGTTATTTCATTGACTTTTAATAAAAATTTCAATGATAGTCCAGAGTCAGATATTTTTTAATTTATGAAATATTTTTTTTATTTATTTATAATTTAAATATTTTTTATTTCTTTTCTTTTACTTTAAATATTTATTAAAAGAAATGTAAAAGGATTGGTTCTCTCGAGCATTTTCGTTTTGAAAGAATCTTAAAATAAATGAATTTAATGTTTTTTTTTTTTTTTATTTTTCTCAGTGGAAAAAGGTTTTTTTCTGGTTTATTCACAAGATTGAGAAAAAAAATAGTAGAATAGTAGTAGAAGTTATTTGTAAAAAGTAGACAACAATATGTAATATAAAAGATATTTTGCCAATTTTACCTTTTGTAATATATACTTTTATTCCACTCTCTAAAGAAAGAAACAACTTTAGAGAGTAATATAGCTTTTATTTTTATTTTGTCTAAACTTTTCCATAAAAGTTTACAACACTTGCTTTTTTGAGATATAAAGTCAAAGGGAAATAAATTTTTTAAATAGAATTGTAATTGAAATAATTCTATTTTAAAATATTGTCTTCTATAATTTTTAATGATATAATCATGAAAATATAATTCAAAAAAGTTTTAGTTAATTTTTAAAGTAAATTTTTCTGGATATTTCTCAACTTGTTTTTTTTTATACTTCAGTGTGGTTTTATTTTTCAGACACAATAGTCGGGGTCAACGTTGTTTTTCGAATTCTCATGCGTTCCATATATAACTGGTTCCAGTTTTATTTAATAAAAATCGATTACACTCTTGCCCATCTATTCTCGAGAATTCTTTGAGTAATAGAAACTTTTCAGAGAGAAGTAAATTTACAGAAAAAAAAGAAGAAAAACTTTTCACTTTATGTCGCCCAGACGACGAGGGATTTGTGCGCCTTTATCAAATTTTCTCTTTAGTAATCAGAAAAAAGGGCGCATGAGTAACTTCTCTTTTTCTTTCTCTCGCAAAAAAACTCTCTGGTCTGTGAATGGACTGGCTCACGCAATTTCTTATATATGACGATCGATTATAACAGCACGAATTCGTTGCCAGTTTTATACACCCCCTTTTTAAAAAATGGGTTCTTCTTCTTCTTTGTAAATTACGATCATTTGTTTACTTATTTTTCTTTTTCACCGCCTCTATAATAATTTCATGCAAAAGAAATAATATTCTCGTGGAAATTTTCAAAATTTATACTTTTTCAAATCACTGGTGAGAATTTTATTGAAATAAATTTTTTATAAAGAACTGACTATCAAAATTATATATTAGTTAGTTTGATTTAAATGTTCTTTTAATGATCGTCGAGGAAAAAAAAATGCAATTTCTTTAAAAAGTAATTTGTTCGTAAACATTAAAAAGCAATTTTTTAAATGGTATTTAATTAAATTTTGCAAAACCTAATTAAAATATCGTGTTTGTTACTTTAAAAAACAAAAAAAAAATACAATGTAAAAAAGAGTACAAAAAAGGAAATAAAAATTCATCTTTAATTAAAGGGAAAATGTTTAAGGAGAAACTGAAGAGAATAGGGTTTTTGATTTTGTATAAAACTTTACGGTTTTCAAGAATATACATTTAATGGGTTTTTTTTTTTTTTTTTTTTTTTTTGTTTTTAAACTCTTGTTCTTTTTTCCTTTAGAAAAAATTTAAATTCTTTTTAAATTCTCCAACGTAAAATATTTATCTTCATGAAAATTCCACTTTGATTCTTCTTATTTGGAAATTTTAAAATTCTAATTATTTTTTTCTATTTCAAAAATTAATTCCAAAAAAAATAATTTTTATTAGAAGAATAAATGATATTTAAATTTAATTAATGAATTATTTTTTTTTTATTAAATTTTTTTCTTGAAATGAGAAATTTTTTTTTTTTATGAAAAATGAAATAATTAAAAAGGGGGGGATTTTAGAGTTGATCAAGTGCATTGTACTGATAATGAGAATGATTGTGAGGTTTTTTGCCGAATGTGTGGCTGGAATTCTGGGGAATATAGAAATCACCTAGCAACGGACGCATATTCAGCTTCCGAGTCAGGCGCTCAACGTTGACGCCGCAACATCCTCGGCGTCGGCGTCGACTTTGTTGGTTTGCCGGTAGTCGCGTTAAATCCGCCGCAACGCCACTCCTCAGTAGTTTAGAACGTAGTCTACGAGACAGAATATCCGTCCGTCTGTCTTTCTCTCTCTCTCTATTATTATGACACGTTTTTAACGTTATCATGCACATTTTACTATTCTTTTTTTTCGTCCTCTAAATCATATATTTATTTAAATTTCTTCACTTTTACAGGCTTAAATTATTATTCGAAAGAAAAAAAAAGTGTAAAAAAACTTTTTTTTTTTATTTTTCCTATTAAAAAGCAAAATTTTATTTTGCGCTTCAGAAATTTTCAAGGAGATTGTGTCTCAGGATATATTTTCGAAGAAGGCTTTTGAGATTATTTTTCTCTTATATACAAACCAAGAAGAATCTCTCGAACAGATTCAACGCATTTTTTCTTTTTTTTTTTTAAATGGGCTTTGACATTATTGTGTGGAGAGGAAAGATTCTCATGAAAGACGACACGTGACAATTTATATATAGCTTATTTCTCTAAATGTTGATAAAAAAAATATTTCAAAAAATTCGAAATGTGTCTATTACGTAGTTCCTGATAGTGATAACGAAGAATAAATGTAAACAAAAAATGAATATAAGAAACGAATTTCGATAAAATAAATTGTTAAATGAAACAGAGATATTATAAAGAAGAAAAGTAATTTAGAAGAAAGAAATGAAAATAAAGCACGAAAAGAAGAAATAATGTTATTTAATTTTTGAAATTTTAATCTCTATTAAAAATGGAAAAAAGAGATAAGAAGATAAATAAAAAGTTACAATAAAAAAAAAAGTATACAATTTTTTAAAAAAATTTAATACTACGAAAAATAAATTAAAAAATAAATTACATTATAATTGTTAATGAATTGTAACTTGAATGTGATTAAATGTTGATGAGATTTAACATTGATGTGATAAAAAATAACGTGATAGACAGTTGATGTTCTAAAATTCATATACGCAACGATAAAAAATTAGATTTCGAAAAATGTATATAAAATTTCTTGAATAAGAATTTGATTTGAGCAAAGGATTAATTACATTTCAAATTAAACATTTTCTCTTTTTTTTTTTGCTTATTGAGAAAATTTGTCGCCTGATAAAGACTATACTAAGTGAACTTATGGATCCCATCAATTCTCAAGTTTTTAAAAGCCTCGATTTTAGTTCAACAGTTGAAAGCTTCTTCTTCTTCTTCTTATTCTTGTTCTTCTTCTAACTATAGAGAGAGAACAAAAGCGGACGACAAGAAAGACAATAAGACTTGGATTTATCCTGGAAAGTGATTTATTATCTTCATGAAAGGAAAGCTTCATTTGGGATAGTCGACGAAAAAACTTGATGACAATTTTGCCCTGAAATTTTGCGATTTGTTGAAAATGAAAAAACTTTTTTTTAAATTAAAAAGAAATTCAAATATTTGAAAAAAAAAATTGAAAGAGAAGAGGTGGATTAGTTTCGAAAAAAAGGAGATAAACGAAAATGAATTAAAAAGATAAATTTTTGAGAAAAAAAGGATTGCAACGAGAAGAAATGAAAAAGTTTTGAAAAAAAAAGGAAATTTACAAAATTCTAAGTGTCTTAGTTACGCACACATAAACATGTTTTTCGACTGAATTAAAGACTGAATAATTCGATTCTCCTTTGCTCAAAGGAATTCGGTACTAAAATAATCGTCCAAAAAAAAAAATATTCAAGTTACCGATTATAAAGAAAAGGATTTTAGAAGAAAAAAAAAATGTGTTAGCTAAAATTATTTTTTTATACTCGAACGATAGAAAAAAAAAAGAGAGAGATAAAGTTAGAAGTAGATTTTCCATTTTTTGGGATTATTTGAGAATTTTAATAATGACGTTATGGAGTACCAGTGTGTTATCGTTTACACAGTGATATCACCCTCAACATCCTTGGCACCATCTCTTCGTCTTCATCTTGAAAGTACAATTTTACGGCCACAACCTACTGGTTGTATCGCTTGGCTCAAGTCCTGGATCAAAAGGTTCATACAATTTAATTTCTCGTGAAATTTATTCACCTTTTTTAAATAACGTGGGGAAATTTTTTTTTTTTTTTTTTTTTATCAAACAAATTCAAGTATTTTTATTTGTATATAATGTAAAATCGAGGATATCGACTTCCAATCCAAAATACGATCACCTTTTAATGCTTATTATCGAATTTCCAATACATGAAGCGACATTTCATGTGAAACTCTATTTCCTTCAAGTATTTTCGAAAATAAATTTACAAATACAGATTTAGTTGGATTTTTTTTTTAAGTATTAATTTTGAAAATAAAAGAAAAATTTATACTTACAATAAATATATTTATTAAATTAAATTTTTTTAAATTAAATTTTTAAAAATTAAAATTATTTTATTGAAAATTAAAATATCAAAAACAAAAAAAATTGAATAAAAATGTAGCTTCAAGCAATTTTTTTTTCGATTCAATTTTAATTAAAAGTGAACGTTATCATTCGTTTTATCATTTAAATTACTTCTTCATTTAAAAGTAATTCCATTACGTTTTTTATTTTATTACTAAATCAATATTTCTTTTTAAAATATAATATTGATTAACGTCTCATAAGCTTGATAATAATTTACATCGATTGGCAGTAAAATATTTTCAATTTACTATATTAATTATATTATTACAGATTATTCTGATTCTATTCGTTTCGAATGTTTCTTTCGTGAAAATATACGGAGATTAAATTTTGATTTACGAGAGAGTATTATATAAATGTTTGTTTTTTATTTCTTTTTTTTCCCCCTCACATATAAAATTATAAACTTTTAGAATTGGCAATATATATGAAAGTTTGTACATCATCAGTCAGTGCATGTACAATTAAACTAGTTATAAATGTATATAATATATGGGTCAAAGTGGATAACATCGTTAAAGCAATTTATTTGAAAAATCGATATTTACACACAACGTTGCGTTAATGTGTGCGGTTTTCTAAGTATTAATTTGTAACGTGTCCAACCAAACAGAAAACCAGCATGTTATACACGCAAATTACCTCTTTTAAAACAATTCTCATACTTAGTAAGATTTATTCCACAAGTGTAATTTTCAATTCGCTCCAACTAGTTGCGAAGCTTTATTTAATATAAGTTTTCACATTTGTACTTGTAAATTGCATTTAATTTAATATTCTTGAAACTACGAGAAAGTTATAATACGAAAAAAGAAATTTGCATAAATATTAGAAATTCAAAAAATATAGAAAGTTTTATTTATAATTTTTATTCTAATTATTAATTTTTCCTCTACTTATTGCTACATTATTTAATTTTAGAATTTACAAAAATAAATCCTGTAAATGTTAAGATATCAATTGATTTTTTTTTTATATTACCTTCCAGTTGATATACATTTTGTCAAAGAAAATAATTCATCTGTAAAATAATTCACGTTCATTCAAGTGTAGATGAAAGATAAATTAATCTATGCAATTTATCACAAAATCTTTTAACGATAGACGGAAAATTACTATTGAATTTTCATGAAACTGCTAATAGTAATAATAAATTTTGTAATTATAAAATTTTATATTATAAAATATAAATAAAAATTTATTATATAAACTGTGCAGCAAAAAATTGAAAAAGTTAATTATAATTGAAATGATGTGAAAATTAATTATTAACATTGATGAAAATAGAGGTGGGATTAAAAATTAATAGAATAAAAATATCTCCAGAAATATTCTTGAAGTTGAAATTACTTGATATTGATTAATTTCATCTTTTGAATATATATTTATATATTTAATAAAAAATTAATTATTGAAAAGTAGAGTTGACTTTTTAATTAATAAAATCTTTGACGTCCTTTAATATATGTATATATAGAATTTTATTTAATTAATGAATTGTCTGAAAATAACAAGTATGAGTTTGATATTTCAATATAATACAAAGATAATATTAATTTTCCTCTTTATTTTCTCATATGTAAAATAATTTTTTCGCAGTATTTACACATAGAAATGTAATTATTTTATCTTATGTACGTAATGAGTTTCTCAAACAGTATTCAATTTTCTCCTCAAAACTAATATCCTTTGAATTATTATTGTTGCAGAGCTGTTGGTGCATATCTTCGTGCTTTGAATCTGAGTCCCAATAATGCAGTTGTTCACGGCAATTTGGCCTGCGTTTATTATGAACAAGGGTAAGTATTTTTTTCCATTTTTATTAAATTTTTTAAATTATGCTCAATTTTTTATTTTATTTATTTTATTATTATTTACGTTTTATTTTTTAAATTTTGTTATCAGATCAGATTTTCAAATAATATTTCCATATTTATGAGAACATGTGCGCTTTAAATTTTACAAACTTTATTTTTTCCAAATATTATATAAAAGTAGGTTGACGTTAAATTTGAACTTTTAATGCAAATATTGCAGATGGTGTAATCGATTTTTGTGAAACATGTTTTTTTTAAATAAAATATATTCAGAATTTCTTTCGTATATGAAAAATGTTTAACAATGTAAATTGATTTTTATTAAAATAAATATTTTTAGATGAGGGAGATTTTTTTTTTATAGTGAAATAGTAATTTAAATTTTTTCTTTTAGGCTCATTGACCTTGCGATTGACACTTATCGTCGAGCAATTGAACTTCAACCTAATTTTCCAGATGCTTACTGTAATTTGGCCAATGCGCTTAAGGAAAAAGGTCAGGTGGCCGAAGCAGAGGAATGCTACAATACAGCTTTGCGACTCTGTCCAACACACGCCGATTCCCTTAATAATTTGGTAAAAAAAAAAAAATTCTTTTTTTCTTTATAATAGAATTTCTTTTTAAAAAAATGAATAAATTTGTTTTTAAAACAGACAATCCGTCATTTTTTAAAGGATTAAAAAAGCATAGTTTGATCGGCTGACTAAATTGTTTTTTTACCTTTTGTTAGTCCTAAAGTCTGTGCGAGAAAAAAAATTAATTCTTTAGTTATTTCGTCGATTCTATTTAAACTTTCGACGATAGTCCAGAATTAAACAATCATAGAAATTTTATAATTATAAATTAAACAATTATTTTTATTAAAATTTAAATTATTAAGAATTCCTGTTTTTTTTTTGCAGGCCAACATAAAACGTGAACAGGGCTACATTGAAGAAGCGACACGATTATATTTAAAGGCATTGGAAGTATTTCCCGAATTTGCAGCAGCGCACAGTAATTTGGCTTCTGTTTTACAACAACAGGGTAAATTAAATGAAGCTCTTATGCATTATAAAGAGGCAATTCGCATTCAACCAACTTTTGCTGATGCATATTCGAATATGGGCAATACACTTAAGGAAATGCAAGATATTCAAGGTGCATTACAATGTTATACAAGGGCAATACAAATAAATCCTGCATTCGCTGATGCGCATTCAAATCTTGCTTCAATTCATAAAGATTCGGGTAATATACCTGAAGCAATACAATCATATAGAACGGCATTGAAATTAAAACCCGATTTTCCCGATGCCTATTGTAATTTGGCGCATTGTTTACAAATTGTTTGCGATTGGACTGATTATGAGGCGAGAATGAAGAAACTCGTGTCAATTGTTGCTGAGCAATTGGATAAAAATCGTTTACCAAGCGTACATCCACATCATTCGATGCTTTATCCATTGTCACATGAATTTCGAAAAGCAATCGCTGCACGACATGCGAATTTGTGTATTGAAAAGGTAAATTATTTTCCTTTTTTGTATTTCTTTTTTGTTTTTTGTATTTATGTATGTTTTTGTATCTTTTTAGATTCACGTTCTTCACAAACAACCGTACAAATATCCACGTGAAATGGGAACGCGTTTAAAAATTGGTTATGTTTCATCGGACTTTGGCAATCATCCAACGAGTCATTTGATGCAATCAATTCCCGGTCTTCACGATAAGCAAAATGTGGAAATTTTCTGCTATGCATTAAGTTCAGATGATGGGACGACGTTTCGTGCGAAAATTGCACGTGAATCGGAGCATTTTATTGATTTATCACAAGTGCCATGCAATGGAAAAGCAGCGGATCGTATTAATTCTGATGGAATTCATATTTTAGTTAATATGAATGGTTACACGAAAGGTGCACGCAATGAAATATTTGCATTAAGACCGGCGCCAATTCAAGTTATGTGGCTTGGCTATCCAGGCACATCGGGAGCGAGTTTCATGGATTATTTAATAACCGACGAAGTCACATCACCATTGGAACTTGCCAGTCAATATAGCGAGAAACTTGCTTATATGCCAAACACATATTTCATTGGCGATCACAAGTTAGTATATATTTAAAAAAAAAATAAATAAATAAAATAATAATTTAAATTAATTTGAAATTTTTTACAGGCAAATGTTTCCCCATTTGAAGGAGCGTTTGATTTTAGCCGATAAATCGATATTAAAGGGTAAAGTGGCTGACAATGTGGCTGTTATTAATGCAACTGATTTATCGCCAATGATTGAAAATACATTGGTTAAGGAAATACGTGAGGTTATAATGCCTGATTCAAAAAATAAACCCGTTGAAATATCATTGAAAGTTGCTGAATTACCAACGACAACGCCAATTGAAACAATGATTGCATCGGGACAATGTCAAATGTCAGTTAATGGTGTTGTTGTACAAAATGGTATGGCAACAACTCAAGTTAATACTAAAACGGCAACTGGTGAAGAAGTACCGCAAAGTATTGTAATAACAACAAGACAACAATATGGTTTACCTGAAGACGCTGTTGTTTATTGCAATTTTAATCAACTCTATAAAATCGATCCACTGACACTTCATATGTGGGCGAATGTGAGTTCAATTTTTAGATTAATATTATAAGATGACCTAAATTCCATAAATGGCGATTTTTTTTTTTATTTCTTTCTCTTCAAGGTATTTAGAAAATGACAATTTTCAAATTTTTCTTGTGATACAAATATGATTGGATTTTAATATTTATAGAAATTTTTCTCTTTTGCATTATATTTTATTTCCTTTTTAGAGATGATATTGTTTAAAAAAAAACTTGAGGCATTTTTTTATTTGGGTAAAAAATATTATTTTATTTTTAGTTAAGTTAGACATTTTTTAGAGTTTTAGTTTGAAATATTTTTTTGATAAATATCTTTATTTAGAACAATTTTAGTATTTAGAATTTTTGTTTTTAAATTCTCATTTAATTTTGATATACGAATTTTTAAATAAATAGCAGAATTTCTATTTTATCGAATCTTGATTTGTTTTTAAAAAAATTCTCTAATAAATATTTTAATTTAAAATTCAAAATTGTGGTAGATTAATTTGAAAATATGAAAATAATTTCTCTTTACAAAAATTTTCTATTAAAAATAATTCTAATTTACCCGAAATTTAATTTGAAAAATTCTCATTCAACTGAATTCTTTTTTTATTTATAATTATTTTATTTATTATATTTTTTTTTTATTAAGAAAATCGTGATTGGTAAATTTAAAAATCGCACCGAAATATTACTATCGATTGTTTGTTCAGCCATTTACAATTTCGTAAAAATGAAAATTCGTACTAATAAAGATTCAGTAAATTGAAAATTCTGATGTATTTAAAAATACAAATCACATAAAATTGGATTTAATAAAAATTCTGTTTAATTAAAATTCATTAAATAAGAAATTCCATTGTATACTAATTCGAAAAATGAAAATTTGTCTAAAAAATAATTATATATATCTAATTAAGTAAAATTTTCGTTTCTTTTTTTTTATTTGTTGAAAATGTGGAATAATTTTTCTTCTTTTTTTTAATGTAGATTTTGAAACACGTGCCAAATGGAGTACTGTGGCTGCTGCGATTTCCAGCGGTTGGCGAACCAAATTTACAAGCGACTGCACAACAATTGGGCCTCTCACCTGGTAGAATTTTATTCAGCAATGTCGCTGCGAAGGAGGAACATGTTCGACGAGGTCAATTAGCGGATGTTTGTCTTGACACACCTTTATGCAATGGTCATACAACAAGTATGGATGTTTTATGGACAGGAACACCTGTTGTCACTCTACCAGGAGAAACTTTAGCGTCAAGAGTTGCCGCCAGTCAATTAAATACACTTGGATGTCCTGAATTGGTCGCTCGTACAAGACAAGAGTATCAGGACATCGCCATCAGGCTTGGCAATGATCGTGAATAGTATGTTTAAAAAAAAAAAAACTTTCCAAATTATAGAAAACAAATTTTCTTTAACTATTTTTTCTAAAAAAAATTTTTATTCTACAGCTTAAAGGCGATTCGCGCAAAAGTTTGGAAGGCACGATCGGAGAGTCCATTGTTCAGTTGTAAAATGTACGCAATGGGAATGGAGATGCTGTACAAGAAAATGTGGGAACGTTACAATCGTGGAGAGAAACCCGATCATGTGGCTGCTATCGAAGGTGGCGAGAATCAGAAACAAATGATGTCTGCTTAAATGTCCAAATTGCAAAAAAAAAAAAAAGAGGTGCTTATATAAAATGTAATTAAATATTCGATCAAATCGCGTGAAATTCTTTTTGAATTGCAAACTTAATCGGCAAAGCAAAAAAGAAAAAGGCATTTACATTTTGCATCGATTATAAAATTTGATTTCCCTTTTCTACAATAGAAGAAAAAAATTTCAATTTCTATTGTAGATTTGAAAATTTGTATCATATGGCCAAATATCTTTGTTTATATAGAAAGAAGGAACTATTTGCTGGCAAATTTATCTTTGCACAATACCTTCGTTTTTTGCTCAAAATTATTACGAAGGAAAAAAATATTTATTATGAGACGCTATTAAATTATTATCGTTATTAATTTTTTTTTCTCTCTGGCCAGCAATGAGGGAATAATCAACTATTTCATGGACAATTTCCCACTGACGGATGGTACTAGTTATTATTTGTAAAAAAAAAAAAGAAAAAAAATTTCGTCAAAAAAAAAAAATCACATACACTTGTAAATAATTACACACAATCATTATTCTTTTATCATCTGAATAGCGTGAGAAATAATGATAAGATCTAAGTTTTTTTTTTCTCTCAATTATATATGCGTATACATATATAAAAGAAAAAATAAACACATTCTCATATTACATACAAACACAGAATGGATATTATGCGATGTAAATTTAGAGAATAAAGATAGAAAATGACTAAGTTTGAAAAAAAAAAAATACAAAATCGTTATCGTTCCTGGAAAAAAATATCCCTTTTGATTTTTTTAGATTTTTATAACAAAATTTGATTATTTAATAATAATATTAAATTATTAATGACGATTGGAGAAGAAAATTATGATTTATAATATAATTTTTTTCTTTTTGCAAATAATAAATAATTATTTACATAAAGTTTGGAGTTTGAAAAAAAAAATTTCAAACGATGTGTGTTCGTTAAAACAGAAAAAGAAATAGAAAAAAAAATGTGTATTCTAAAGATAATAAAAAAAAAGAAGAAAAAAATTACATAAACGTGGTGCATTACGCAAGAAATTAAAAAGGCCTTTTGCAACACGTGTGCACAATACGGGTGGGAAGAGATTCTGGATTGTCAAGTTACGCCATTTTCGTGAGAGCTCTATCATTTTAACTATATATATATATATATATATATATACTCTAGAGAACAGGTCAGCAGCGTATTAATTTATTTCAATTGAATACAGTAGTAATCGCAATTGCAAATAGTGATGATAACATTTAATTTGCTTCTCAATTCTTTTAAATGCGAAAAAATTCTTTTTACATCCAACAAAATAATCAACGGAAAATTTATTGCCTGTGTATACAAATTATAAAATTTCAAATACAGAAATTAGTGAATTTAATAATTATCAAAACTATTTTTATTTACATTCGATTAATTTGAAATTGACAATAATATTTTTGTTCTGAATGTTTGTGAATATTTTCTAATTGAATATTATCTATTTACTTTTCATTCAGTTTACAAATTATTTGTGAAAAATAGTTTTTGATATATTATTATAATTTTGAATTATTTTTTCATATTAAATTTTAAATAAAAATACATTTTTTTTGTAATAAAATTTAAAAAATTAAATTTTGATATAACTTGAAAATTGTCTTTTTTAGTTGAGTAAAATATTTCTTTAGGAAAACAAAAGTGAGGACAATATAAATGTTCACCGCGTTTGACTCATATATAATCGATTTAAAGTACTCACTCTCTCGCTAAATAATGAGCAATCTTGCATGAGTATGGGCGTTTCCATATGCGTGTGCGTGTCTTAATATATTACAACTATACGCAGATAAATTTCAGGGCCGCATGATTAGTTACATATTTTTTTTTTCTTTATATAAAATTATGAAACAGAGAGATATAGAAAATAAAAAAAAAAAAAAAATTAAATATAGAACGAAAGAAAACTAATTAAAAAATATTTTGAAATACACATTTTACATAATAGTCTTTATCGTTCAAAGGGCAATTCTATTTTATTCGATTCTTATCTTTATCGCTGTCTTTCTAAACCGAATTTTAATTAAATGCAATTCAAACCATTATTTGCAATTGTAATTTATTATTTGTAATTTCGATGCGATTAACGATCTTATAAGAATATAAAAAAAAAATTCTATTTCTCAAGGTTTCAAAATTTAACTGTTGGAAAAAATTAAAAGTAAATAAAGTAGAAAATTATTTATTATTATTGTAAAAATAAATTTAAAAAAAAAATTAAAAATATATTTTAAAAATATTTTTTAAAAATAAAATTTAAATCAAGTAAGAAATAATAAAAATTAGAAAATATATTTATGAAACTTCTTTTTTGAAAAGTAATTTTTTTTTCTTAAATAACTTGAAATTTTATTTAATAAAAGAATAATTTAAAAATTTTCGACTTTAGGACGAATCACTCTGAACCGGAAATTAAATGGTTTTAATTTATCACCTATTCACATATATATGTGTATAACCACCTGATATCCGCAGGTGCAAAAATATATGAATCGCTGACCGATCATCTGCTGTTCAATAAAAAAAAAAAAAATTAAATACGTTAGTTATAAAAATTTCCAAAGGTGTTATAATATACAAAAATATAATTTTCATTTAAATTATTATGTTAATTATAAAACAAGTAGCGTGCGATAATTTTTTTATTTGTCGATTCTGTAATAATTAAAATTTCTCAAAAGTCTAAATATTTAGAAAATTTCACATTATTTTTGTTTGAAATTTAATTCCATATTTACATTGTCATTAATTTCAACTCTTGAATTTAAATTTATTAAATAAATATATTTAAATAATTAAATAATAATTATAATTTTCCAAATATTTTAAATTCATTAAATTTGAATAGAAAAATTTAATAATTAAAATATAGAGAAAATAAAATAAAAATAAAATAAAATTATAAAAATATTTTTATTGAATAATGAATTTAATTTTTTTAATTATGGATTTTTATTTTGAAAATTTATTGATAGTATCCGCATTTGTCGCATAAATATCATATAATAAAATGAAATTTTCCATCATTGTGAATCTCATATGTATATATATATATATATAGAGAATCGGCCTGTGGGAGGTTCCAAGTATATAAGCATGAGGCTTCGGCGGATATCCTTGAAAAACTTTTACATCAGTTCCACCAGTCGGCCAAGCTTCTCTCTCTCTTTTTTTTTTTTTTTATTTATATATGTGATGTGTGTAATAATAACTTAGATAATATTTTTCTAACATTTATAAGGACAAAGAAATTTCAGGCACAAATTATTCCCAATTATCTATTAATTATTTATTATATATTATTCATTATTAATTATTCCTCAATGATAAAAAATTTGTTATTCATTGATGTGAATTTGATAAGTGAAAGTTATAAAAAAAAAATTAATATTTAATTACTTAAGAAATAATTAATTATTTATTAATAAAAAAATGCCAAAAAAAATTGATAATTAATTATTTATTAATATTATATATGTTTATTAAATTTTAATATTATTAATTAATTAATTTATGCAATTTGGAAATAAAAAAAAAGGTGTCATTTTTTTAATGAAAAAAAAAGAGATAAACGAAAAATTATTTTCATTTCTGGTGCAAAAATCGATTCTGCTCTTTTTGGCCAGGGCCACAGTCGGAGCAAGCGGATCAATCTCTCCACCCCCCGAAATTGCTTTCCCAGGAATAGGGTAAAACCTTCTGCAGAGAAAGACCCACTTTCTCCGAAAATTTTTTTTTTTATTATTGCATTTTCCCCAAAGATATTGATTTTTTTTTTTCATAACTAAAATAATTTTTTTTTTCTAATTCAGAATTTATTTACTTTTTTTTAATTATTATTAAAAATTATATTTATAGTAATTAATATAAATTTTTTTTTTAAATTTGAAAATTTATTTGGTGTTTTATTTTTTATTTTTAGATTTTGTTTAGATTGAATTATTAAAATTTTTTTGATTGAACGTTATATTAGCTTTAGGCGATCATTCACCATCGGTTGCAAGAAAAATATAAGAGGAGTGTGATTTACCTGGAAAGCGAGGAAACCATTGGATCCGCAAACGTGAAGGATCAAGGACAACCCACCATATATAGAGGAGGCTGCAGGATATTTTAAAGTTCCCTCCTTTTTGTGGGAGGATCGTGTTGGTAATTTGGGAAATTCGTCGAAATAAGCGTTAAACGTTCATTGGCAGGAAGATCATTAAAAATGGCGTTTATGGTCATTTTCGTATTTAGAAATTCTTTTCCTCGGTTTCCTCCCCCCCACAAAAATTGATTTATTTTCTCAATATTAAAAAATTATTCTTTTTGTTATAAATAAGAATTTTTTATTTTAGAAACAGTTTTTTTAAATTAAATAATACTGTTATAAAATAATAATCTTTCATTAAAAAAATCGAAATTAAATTATACGAGAATATTCGAATAGAAAAAGGTAGAATTTACCGTATTTGTTACATAAAATTGATTAAATAATAATTATGTTCTTTTTTTTCGAAATATTTTAATTATATTTTACTTATTTTATTTGTATTATTTATTTTTCTATTTAAATTTCAAAATAGAAAACTATTTTTCTTTTTGAATTTAAATATTTGGATTTATTAACTTTGATTTGATTGGTTTTAATTAATTCAAATCAACCAATAGCGCGTAGCGTCAATTACCGACCGAATCAAATTCATGACGCCGACGCGAACAACGATCTAACCTCTAATTTTTCAGCGCGGCGTCATACCAGTCATATAGTGCAATTGTTTAAACAAGTGATTTAGAGTGTTAATAATAAAATACAAGTAAACTATTACTATTAATAGTACAGTAACTCCGGTAAAGTTAAATAACTCTGAAATTATCTATATTGAGAAGGAAAATTGAAATCATTTCGCAAGCATGGCATCACTTTGCAAGCATCATGTCATCAATTTCTACGAGAGTATTCCAGCGAATATTTGCACAAGTAAGAAAATAAGTATTATTTACAGTATTTAATTTGTTTATTTAGAAAATATATATGGAATTATAGAAAAGAGGCGAGAGAAAATCACTATTCGATTAGCGAAAAAAGTGAGGTTATGTCTACATGTTTGGTGTCAAATTGTGTTTTATTTGTATCGGTTTTTTTTTCCTTTTTTGCAGTATAGAAACAACAAGGGGAGTAATTTTACTAAAATTATTTAATTGAATTAAATTACAATAAACAAAAAGTAAAAAAAGGGGTTATTAAACAGTCTTTAGAGTAAAAAAAACACTTTTTTTACCATTGAAATAATAAAATAAATACGATCAAGTTTATATTTATAAAGGTCCTATTGTATTTCATAATACTTGCACAGTAATTATTATTAAATTTAAACAAACAAAAACAAGTGTTTTATACCATAAGTGCATTAATGAAAAAGTACATATAAAATAATTATTTTCTATAATACAGTTGAATATCAAAAATCAATTCTTTTATCAATATAAACCGCGCATAATAGTTGAAATTAATTTTCTAAAATGAAATCAATTATTTTCACACAAGTTCGTTTAAGAGAAAAGGCCCCACTGTTTTTTTATTATTATCATAGAAAATTAGATAAAAATATTTCCCTCAAAAAAAAGATAATAAAGTGAACCCGTTGGTTGAAATTGTAGAGCATATAAAGCCCCTCATACTCAAACTCAGAGGTTAGTGTAGCGTGGCGTAA